ATCCTGCTAACTGTGGATGACTAACGACCCTCTTCCTTTCCCACATCTACTGGGCAGCTCAGAGGATGAAACGGGCCCTTACAGCGTTGATATGGCGGATTTTAAAGAGACATTTAGAATCACCTTCACAACTCTACTCGCTGACAGCAAGAAGAAGAAGAAGAAGTCACCTGTGACGGCTGCCAGCTGGTTGATGCTGACGAGCAGCTCTCCCTCTGAGATGTGTTTGAGAACTGCTTCAGTCTCTGCGCTCTCTGAGGAGCAGGAGGAGGAGCTGCTGCTGGAGCTGGACTCCTCTGAGGAGCTGCAGGACGACTCTGGTCTTGGACCAGGAGGAATGGAGGGAGGAGGCTGAGGGGGCTCCTCCTCTGCTACTGTCATCAGCCTGCAGGGGGAGACAGAGAGACTACAGTTATTAAAGAAGAAGGAGGAGCAGGACGAGAAGAAGAAAAAGAAGGAAGAGGAGAAGGAGGAGGTGGAAAAGAAGAAGGAAAGCAAAAGGAGAAGAAGAAGGAGGTGGAGGAGAAGAAGACCTCCTGCAGGAAGTATTGATGTGTGTCCTCACAGTGGTTGTGGGTGTGTATCCAGGTGTTCCTCTGGACTCTCCTCATCCAATGGGAGTTCAGCGTCATCCAAGGCAGGTGGGGGCAGAGCCTGATTAACATCATGAGAACTCTCTGCAGGGTGGGCGGGCTCTGGGCTTGATGTGGGCGTGGCTATGGGCTCTGAGGTCATAAAAGGGTTAAACCTGGAAATGAAGGGGTTCATATAATGATTAAGATGAACAGCTGTAACTGACCGGCTGCTGTGATTGGCTGAGGAGACTCCTCCAGAAGGCTGGTTGTTTCTGAGGGAGGGGGTGTGGTCAGGGGCAAGGTCTCTCTGATGGGCATGGTCGGGCTGGGTGGAGGGGTCGGTACTGGTGTAGGAACCAGTGCAACCAGTTTGTCCTGGAGCAGAACCAGCAGCAAGATTTAGTTCAGGACATGCACAAACATAAACAAATAAACAAACACAAATAGACAAACAGGATTTGTTCCAGGGATAACATGAGTCAAACACACACACACACAGATTCACACTGCAGACTATATGAAGGTGTGTTACCTCCTGATTGACTTCTGGACCTAGTTCTGTTGGTTCTATTGGTCCAGGTTCTGGTACTGGTTCCTGTGTGTCTCTGGTCCCGAGCATCAGGGCAACCTGCTCGCTCAGAACCTCGTTAACCAGATGACGAATCAGAGAAGAGTCCACAAGCACGTTAGAGTCCACAAACAGCTGCAGACCTGTTCCTCCTGCTGCCTCCACTGAACACACACACACACACACACACACACACACACACACACACACACACCACACACAACACAGTAGGTTAGTGGTTAGAGTACAAATACAAATGTATGATTGTTTTTATTTGTGTTTTTTTTTATTGAATGTTGTTTGACAGCTGGAGCTCCTCACTGATACCTTCACAGTTTAGCAGGAACATGCTGACACCTGCTGGCCAACATTTGATACTACACCTGAAGACTTGAAAATCTCACCAAAGTCAGAGGTCATACTCTGCTCCTCAGCCTTTGATTGGTCATAGGAGTCATTCTGGACGGGGTCAGAGGGAGATGGATGGTACATCTCTGAGATCATCCTGGACATCAGCTGCTGCTCCACCCTGATACACACACACACAAACACAGACAAATAAACACACACACACACACACACACACACACACACACACACACACACACACACACACACACACACACACACCACACACACACACACACACACACACACACACACACACACACACACACACACACACACACACACACACACGACATCATTGCTTTATGACATCAGGATGTTTATTCTCTCACCTTAAAGAGACAAATAAACTGTAATTGGTTTAAATTCCGCTTAAGAGACGAGCAAATGGTGAACTCACGAGTTTAGAAATAACATATAGAAAGAACATAGAGTCGGCCCTCACCACTCCACTAACTGGTTCTCCATCAGCTCTCTCTGCAGGTGGAGGCCCAGGACAGAGGTCTGATCCTGGGAGGGAGGAACAGAAGGGCATGTGGGGGGGAAGACTGGACCCCTGATACAGGACGGGAGGAGGAGACGGACCTCCTGCTAACTGCACCTCCTCCTCACCCCCCACAGTCACCTCCTCCTGCTGAGGACAGGGGAGAAGAGTAAAGGAAACTTTATGATGCTACACTTGAATAAGAAACAAGAGTAAATATGAATTATAAATAAATAATGACACAACATGATGAAGGTTTATAGACTGACTCTCAGTCAGAGTGAGGGAGTGTTTCCTGTTTGTGTCCAGCAGAGGGGGCTGTGGGACTGCAGCTGAGGAGCACAAGAGGAGGAGAAAAGAGATGGAGGAGACAAAGAAGAGGAAAAAAAGGAGGAGAATCTATAGAAAGAGGTGAAGGTTACCCCAGGAAGAGGAGAAGAAAAAGATAAGGACAGGAGGTGAGGAGGAGACAGGAGGTGAGGAGGAGGAGAAGATAGGAGGTGAGGAGGAGGAGGAGACGATAAAGACAGGAGGTGAGGAGGAGGAGGAGGAGAAGACAGGAGGTGAGAAAGAGGAGGAGATAAATACTGGAGGTGAGGAGGAGGAGAAGATAAAGACAGGAGATGAGGAGGAGGAGGAGAAGATAAAGACAGGAGGTGAGGAGGAGGAGGAGATAAAGACAGGAGGTGAGGAGGAGGAGGAGAAGGAGATAAAGACAGGAGGTGAGGAGGAGGAGGAGAAGACAGGAGGTAACAGGTAACAGGTGACAGGAGGTGAGGAGGAGGAGGAGGAATGAGGGAAGAGGTAAAGGTTACCTGTATGACATCAGCAACAGACAGGAAGTCAGTTCCAGGGAAGATGCTCTCCTCCTCTTCCTCACGCCTCCTCTCAATGACATCAACATGAGGGGGAGGAGCTTCACCTGCACCTGGCTGCTCCGCTCCCTGTCAACACAGAAACACCTGTCAGGGACCCCTGACTGTTCAACTATCTAAGTAAGGACCTCCCTGCACCGTGAGGACACTTTGAACAGTTTACAGGTTTACACCTGGTGAACGGTGTACTGAGGGTCCTCACAGGTATAGGAAGACATACCTGTGTGAGATGCATCAAAGATCCATTGAGTCAGACTCTCACTCCCTCACTCTTCATGAAACACAGTTAATCTATGATGTCATCACTTTTATTTAATATTTAATTCAGGGAAATATTTGGATTCATCACAGTCACACTGACAGGTACAATACTGGTTACTATGGAAACTCCCACATATCTGAGAGCAGTCATACTCACTTGTGACTGAAGCTCAGGTGTTTTGTTGTCCACGGTAAGTGGGAGGAGTTGTCCACAATGAGTGGGAGGAGCCATGGCTGGTGATGTCACATCCTGTTGACGCCCAGAGGGACACCTGGAGGAAGAGTCCATCCTGGGGCGACCTGAAGGGGGGGTGGGGGGTACTTTAGTCTGACACAGGTGTTCTTTACTGTTCACTTTTAAAAAACGTTTGATTGTTGTTTGTTCTGATGTTGGTTTGTTTACTGACCCAGTGGGATCGCCATGGGAACAGGGTAACGGTCTGCAGGGTTCACTATAAAGTCAGCCGGGTCACCAGTGGTCAGGGGGGAGCTGATGATGTAATGATTCTGAGGAGGTCCAGGTGACAGAGTGCGGGTAGGAGCCAAACAGGTCTGAGTCTTACAGGACTTCACCTTCACACCTGAGACGGAGACAGGTAACAGGTAAGAGCTAGCATGTGACAGGTAACAGGTAACAGCTAACGTGACAGGTGACGGGTAACAGGAGGTTACAGGTGACAGGAGGTAGAAGAAGGTAACAGGTGACAGGAGGTGGCAGGAGGTAACAGGTAACAGGTGACGGGTAACAGGAGGTTACAGGTGACAGGAGGTAGCAGGAGGTTACAGGTGACAGAAGGTAGCAGGAGGTAACAGGTAACAGGTGACAGGAGGTAGCAGGAGGTAACAGGTGACAGGAGGTAGCAGGAGGTAACAGGTGACAGGTGACAGGAGGTAGCAGGAGGTAACAGGTAAGAAGTAACAGGTAACAGGAGGTTAGAGGTGACAGGAGGTTAGAGGTAACAGGAGGTAACAGGTAACAGGAGGTGACAGGTAACAGATTACAGGTAACAGGAGGGAACTGATGAGCTGCATGGACTGGGGTTAATTTAGAATAAAAATAGGTTTCTGACCTTTGACGCTCTCCACCAGGCGAGGGCGGGGCTTCTTGTTGAGCGGGGATACAGGTGAGCTGAAGCGCAGGTATGGACTCTTCTTCAGGGTTCGTCTCACGCCCTCATACCGAGCTCTGCCGTACATGTGAGACAGGAACATCTCTCCATCCTCCTCCACCTGCTGCCTGTCTGTCAGACTACCTTTGGCTCTGACAGGCTCCGCCCCCAACACCTGGAGGCACAGACAGTCAGTGACATCATAATCAGTAAGTCATCACCTGAGTCTTATGATTGAATCAGAGTCGAGCTCAGTCTGACCTCTCCAGCTGTCTGTTCTCCTCTTCCTGACGCAGTCTTACTTCCTGTTCCTCTGAGCGTACTCAAAACCCTGCCTCTGTGGGCGGAGCTACCAGCAGCTTTCTGTGAAGTCGCTGCGGTGACTCTGCTGGCCGAGGGTTTGGTCACTGCTTCTGCAGCCCTGCAGGGGGTGACATCCTCCGAGGCCATCTCAGCCTGAGGAGAGGAGGAGAAGACAAGATGAAGAAAGAGAGATGAACCCTTTTGACACTTGGTCTGGGGATTACCCTTGGTTTCCAGGTGTTCCATGACTTGTGGTAACTTTCTCTCAGCTCACCTTGATGTCTTTGGACAAAGTGCTGATCCAGGCGTCCACCGTCTTCTTTATCCGGACCTCCTCAGTCCAGTCTCTGCAGAGGACACACAAACAGTGAGCCTGATTAGATTACAGGGTGATGATGCTTTAAGTCACCTATAGGTTGTTACAAGCTTTGATCACCTGTTAGCATTAGCTTGGCCTTCATGTTATCGTCACCAGCTTCCTGTGTGAGCAGCTGAGTGTAAGCTGTGTCTTAAGTTCTTACTAAACACTATTGTACCTTCGGTTGTGTCATTGTTTGGTTACCATGGAGATGTAAGGTTATTCTTAACTAGCAGAGCGTAACGTCCAAACACAGAGCTTAAGGCTACATGAGGTATCAACAAATGTTAGCCATCAGTTGGCAGAGAGTATGTTAGCATTAGCTACCTGTTAGCAGCCAGAGCCTCCAGCTGGCAGTGCAGCATCTCACCAGTTTTAGCTCTCAGCAGGACCTCCAGGTTCTCCTCCAGAACCTTCTTCTGACTCCTCACCTGACGGAGAACCTGACCTGCCTCCTCCAACATGGACGACACTGCAGGACTCCTCTGGACCAGAGAGGACTGAGGGGTCTGGATTTGGTGGAAAGGACTTTCACTGGACAGGGACAGGATTTGATGGGACTTAGTGTGGGAGGATTTACACTGGTTTTGTTGGGAATAAGACTGGTTCTGTTGGGATTTAGACTGGTTCTGTTGGGGATTAGACTGTTTCTGTTGTGATTTAGACTGGTTCTGTTTGGGTTGTAACTGGTTTTGTTGTGACTGGGATTGTTGGGGCTTGGTTTGTTGTGATGTGGATGGTTGGGACTGGGGACAGAGTAGTTTGGAGTTGGGTTGGAGCGACTGGGAGTGTTCTGGTCGGAAGTCGTCTGATTTGGTCTCGACAGGTTGTGACTGGGATTGTAAGGGCGTGGATCGAGATTGTTTCGTTTGGGACTGGTTTTGTTGGGACTTTGACTGTGAGGACTGGGATTGGGGTTGTGTCTGGTGTTGGTTTGGTCCAGGTCTGGTGGTGTTCAGAGAGTCTTCTTTCTGTTGAAGGAGAGTAAGAAACTAAGAATTGACATACATACAAACACCTGAAGGTTTCTGTTCTTACTCACCGTCAGCAGTGTCTTCATTTCGCTCCTCAAACGTCCCATTTCACTCAGCATCTCATTTGCTCTCCTCGCTGCAGCCTTACTGTGATTGGCAGATGACTGTGGGCAACTTCCTGCAGCTGGCCTGGTTGCCCTGGAAACCCTAGATACACCTCTGTGATACCTGTCATCTCTGAAAATAAAGAAAACAAATAGAGAGCTGCAGCGTTCAGAGCTGATCAAATATTTAAACTGCAGATTTGTCTTCAGAACATTTTAAAAAGCTTCTTATTGGTTCCTGGTGAGGTCATCCACTTCAATACTTTTCAACACCTTGTGTGTACACTACAATCTCTGTTATTTGAATGGTGGATAGTATCAAAGAGCACTTAAGGCTTAATAAAAACTACATATCTTCACGCATAGTTTAACTTAGAGAGAGAGAGAGCACTGTCTCAACTGTACTACTTCATATTTAAAATGTATTTATGCAACTTAGTCAGTGTGCAGGACTTTACCTGCAGTCATTAAAAACATTACATTCTCATTTTCACGAGTCTAGAGCTTCTATTGATGTTGTCATGTTATCAGACAGGTATCTCCATCGTTTGATTTTCACCAGTATCAACTAACTGCTCGCGAGCGACGCAGCGTGAAGCAACACCCTGTTACTATTCTCCTCTCTGTCAGTTGTATTGATGAACGAAGAAGGAGGAGGCTCTACACGGCACTGACACTCGCTTTTCTCACTCAACAGAGCCTGTTGTACAAAGGGGAGATAACGGTGCATAAATAGTATCCACATCATGATAGAAATGTTGACCTTTGACTTGTGTCAACAACACCAGAGAAAAACTTTATTCCGGCCGTGTATTGACGAGCCTCTGTGTTGTACAAAGCACCTCACTTCAGTTTGTCCACCTTCAAGACAAAACCAGTAGATGTCAAATTGTTAGCAAGAGGAAACTGAAATTCATGGAGCAAAGAATGATGTATTTAACGGATGCAGTGAGGATAGCCAGCGGGCCATTATGTGTGACGTGACGCTAGCGCTGTTAGGAAACGGTGTAACCCTCGTGTGCTGTTAGGAAACGGTTTGACGCTCGCAGGCTGTTAGGACACGGTGTAACACTTGCTATAGAAGCATAGTCCAATACTAAAGCTGCTGATGTGTTTTGACTCCCAGGAGTGACCTGGCTGACGCGCTGTACTGTCGTATGTAGGTTAATATGATACCGTTTGTTGTATGTGGTTTCAATAACATTATTCCAGGCTTATGTCTTTGGTTTGCAGCATAACACAATCCATTTTATTGCAGCACCATGCGAAGTGAATACAGCGTCAATCAGCTTCCATTCATTGAACAAAACAAACAAACAATACAGCTGCGGTTTCTCCATGCCGCCACAGCGGTCAAAAACCATATGCCCTTCCGGGGTCAAACACATCCTGTACCTTGACAAGTGACGTACCTATATACCTGTGCCCTAAGCAATAGGACAGCGACACCCAGTGGCACAATAATGAATATGTTTTACAGCTTGACCCAAAAACACGAATATGGCTCTTACACTCGCGCTGTTAGGACACGGTGTAACGCTCGCGCGCTGATAGGACACGGTGTAACGCTCGCGCGGTGATAGGACACGGTGTAACGCTCGCGTGCAGTTAGGACACGGTGTAACGCTCGCGCGCTGATAGGACACGGTGTAACGCTCGCGTGCAGTTAGGACACGGTGTAACGCTCGCGCGCTGATAGGACACGGTGTAACACTTGCGTACTTTTAGGACACGATGTAACGCTCGCGTGCAGTTAGGACACGGTGTAACGCTCGCGTGCAGTTAGGACACGGTGTAACGCTCGCGTACTTTTAGGACACGGTGTAACACTCGCGTACTTTTAGGACACGGTGTAACACTTGCGTACTTTTAGGACACGGTGTAACGCTCGCGTGCAGTTAGGACACGGTGTAACGCTCGCGTGCAGTTAGGACACGGTGTAACACTCGCGTGCTGTTAGGACACAGTGTAACACTTGCGTACTTTTAGGACATGATGTAACGCTCGCGCCCTGTTAGGACATGATGTAACGCTCGCGCCCTGTTAGGACACGGTGTTAGAATGTAAAAATGTTTCTCATTCTGACTCAGCTGATTGAAAAAGTGAAGACCTTAAATGCAACAATACATTGAGAGACTGAGGGTCTGAGGTGCAGCTCACACAGGTGTGTCTTTATGTACTTGTGAGGACCCTCAGTTACACCTGACACCAGGTCAGGGAGGTCCTCACTAACATGGTTTAACCATTGCTGGAGAAAAAACGAGAAACACAGATGAACTGAATTCTTTATGAGGTTACAGAAACACACACACTCACAAACAAACAATCACACAAAAAACACACACTCACAAACAAACACACAAAAAACATACACAAAAACACACACATACACCTGCTTCTGCAGACTGACTCTGCTGCTGTTGCTTAGTAACAGCTCAATGGTTTCCCATGGCAACGGGGTAGAGGAGCTGTTGGAGCAGAGAAGATTCATTCACAGAGACTAAACAAGAGTCATCACGTTTCCTCCATTCCTTCTTTATCTCCTTCTCACCAATCCTCCTCCCTTTCCTGTATCCTCCTCCCTTTGTTTCTCCTCTCCTCCTCCCTTTGTTTCTCTTCTCCCTTTCCTGTATTCTCCTCCCTTTGTTTCTCCTCTCCTCCTCAGGTCTGTAAAGATTCTTGAGTATTGTCGTTGTGTGGGGATGAATGCTGATATTTCCCATGATCCTCTCTGCCCCTCAGGTAATCACTGATTGAATAAAACATGGAGGGATATTTGCAAACATAAGAGGACTGAATGTGGGTCAAAATGGGCTCCATCATAACCCAGTTATAAAACTGCCTCTTGACCAATCAGAGGCAGACAAAGAGAACATGTCTGAACACTGCAAGAGGTGAGGGAGGGAGGGGGGGGGGCGCCTTCTGAATGCACATTTTTCAATCAGAGAGAGAAACAAGGGGGGCAGCGGAGAGGCTCTGCATAGAGAAATATATTGCTGACATTAACATCTATATCACACACACACACGTTCTCACACATGCACACATGCTCTAACACACACACGCTTTCACACACGCTCACATGCTCTAACACACGCACGCACACACACACGCACACAGACACACACAAATACACATGCTCACACACACACACACGAGCGGTCTGTGACCTCATCCCCTCAAGGTCAGCAGCCTCTCGGCTGTCTGATTAAAATAAACTTTATTGACAGAAACAAGATGTAGTGTTTCATTCTGGCAGTCAGTGTGTTTCCTTTGTTACCTCAACCAGGCTGTTACTGTTACCATGGCAACCAGAGCAACCTGCATGGCAACGAGGAGAAGAGTAACCTGACAGACACAGTGTGTTCAGGTGTGATTATGTATTCTTCTTGCTATTAGACAGAAAAGGTGAAGGAGCAGGAGGCCTACCTGTACGGAAAACTCTGTGGACACATGCACACCTGTACCATCTGTTACAGCTCATCAATGATCACATCTGTTACAGCTCATCAATGATCACATCTGTAACATCTGATCAATGATCACATCTGTAACAGCTGATCAATGACCATGAACAAAATCAGACTTTTTTTCAGCTAGACTGTAGAGCACTCTGTGGGGACTCCAGGGTGATTTATAAGGAGTCCTCAAACTTGTCTGTGTGTACATTTGCATGCACACAATGAGCTGCTACACTCAGCCAAGGGCACCTTACCCATGACTACACACACACACACACACACACACACACACACACACACACACACACACACACACACACACACACACACACACACACACACACACACACACACACACACACACACACACACACACACACACACACACACACACACACACACACACACACACACACACACACACACACACACACACACACACAACACACACACACACACACACACACACACAGAGAGAGAGAGAGAAAAATCTGCAATGCAGCAGATGAATACAGAAATGCAGTAACTTCACCTGTGTTGTCATCTGACAGGTGAGTGAGTGTGTGTGTAACATGAAAACACACTTACAGACACATTGCCGTTAATGTACAGAAACGTGCCGGAACTTACCTGCAATGTACGATCTTTAAAACAAGAAATGACACATCGGTGTCTACAACTTCTATTGCAGTTTCCATGGTAACAAACAGTCAGGGCGTTGTTTGATTTTGACTTTAAAATTCTGACATGACTAACTGAAATACTGCTGTGAACACCATTAGTGTTGTATGGCGTGCTGTAATGTAGAACATGCACACACACACATGCATGCACGCACACACACACACAGAGACACACACACATGCGCGCCTGCATGCATGCACACAGCACGCACAGTGTTGAACAGGTGACTGAATAAAGCTCCAGCTGAACCTCAGAGCACAGAAAGAAGATGTCAGGTCACCGAGAAGCTGCAGAACATTGAATTTATTACAAGTGACGGAGCTCAAAGGCACGTTACAAGATACACGGTGCGTCTGCTAGAGTTTATCTCTCTGCAGAGTCCTACAAAAATCAACAATCAAACTTGAAATACAATCAAAAATGATCAAAAATAAAAAGTCTTTGTCTTAAAGTGACGGTGTGATGAAGTCTGAGAGCTGTGTCTGTGTAAACATCACACCTCCTTCAGCTCTGTCACCTCCTTCAACTCCGTCACCTTCAGCTCCGTCACCTCCTCCTTCACCTCCTGTCACCTCCGTCAGCTCCTTCACCTCCTCCGTCACCTCCTCCTTCACGTCTGTCAGCTGCTTCACCTCCTCCTTCACCTCCCTCAGCTCCTCTGTCACCTCCTTCAGCTGTCACCTCCTCCTTCACCTCCTTCACCTCCGTCAGCTCCTCTGTCACCTCCTCCTTCACCTCCTTCACCTCAGCTCCTCTGTCACCTCCTTCAGCTCCTCTGTCACCTCCTCCTTCACCTCCTCTGTCTCCTCCGTCAGCTCCTTCAGCTCTGTCACCTCCCTCACCTCCTCTGTCACCTCCTTTACCTCCTGTCACCTCCTCCTTCACCTCCGTCAGCTCCTCTGTCACCTCCTCCTTCAGCTCCTTCAGCTCCTCTATGACCTCCTTCTGCTTCATCACCTCCTTCACACAAACACTCCCACTGTGTGTCTAAACATGAACATCTTCATGTCTCCACCCTCCTTGCCTGCCCTGTCTGCAGCTGATGACCTTTGACCTGTCAGTGCAGAGTTCAGTGACGATGGAGGATTTAATTCTTCGCATTTGGATCCGATCATAAACAGTTTGTTCTCAAAGCAGATTTCATGTCAAAGTTTAACCTTTGTCTGCATCTTTAAACATAACTGATCATCTTCATTATTTTCGGTTTCTCTCTGTAGAATTAAATGCTGACTCATGTAAACTCAAGTGTTAACAAACAGCTGAGCTGACTCAGCGCCTCTGTCAGAGTGAACACGTCTAATCTGAAACAGAGAAATTATACATTCATAAGAGACGATCAGGAAACAGTTACACCTCTGTAGGACTTCAAAATAAAAGCTCTGTAAACATGACTATTACTAATATAACAAGGGGATCAATCAGTCTGGGGCTGTCAGCATCTCCACACATCATCCACATGTGTGGCGACAATCTGGAACAGTTACTATGACGACAACTGCACAGAGCACTTTTAGTGTCTCAATCTCTTCACAGTTACGCTCAGCTCAGTGAATCAGAATCACACCGAGACAAGAATCAATAATCATCAGCTGATTTAACATCATCTCCACTGACAGACTGAGGATTAGCAGCAGACACCAGCAACCCCACCCCCTCCCCCCTTCCCCTCAGGTGTCTCTCTCCCTCTTCACCCTAACCTCCTCCTCCCCCCCCAGGATGGTGTTGATCTCGCCCTGCATGAAAGCCCAAGGCACGTGCGAGCCAAGCAGAGGACACCTGTCACCTGAGGGGCAGTAAACCTCCCCCCCGACCCCGCCCTCGGTCCCCTCCTGGCCCTTGATGTGGTCTCTGGAGCACGGGAAGCAGAACTTGTGACCCGGGACCGAAGGACACTGGACGAAGTGCGTGTCCTCGAGCCGCTCCGTGCACGCGCTGCAGCTTAGAGGCCCGCTACTCGCCACCGGGGACTCCGACACTGTCTGCGCATGCGCCTCATCCGCAGCTTCCGCGGACCGTGACTGACCCAGGTCTCCGATCCGTCTCTGTCCGGAGCCGGAGGGAGGGGAGGAGTCCCGGACTTTGTTAGGGGAGTGCGCGTTCACAAGCGTGTCCGCTGCCGACATGCGCGCGTTCCCAGGAGAGTGTCCGCTGAGCGGGAGCGCGGAGGAGTCTGCGGTGGAGGTTTGACAGTTGGACCAGGTCTGTCTGTGGTCCTCACAGTCCGGCTCCGGAGTCCTCCTCTTCCTCCCCCCGGTCCTGGACCCGGACCCCCCCCGGCCCGGGAGCAGGGAGAGAGGGGGCAGGGGGGGCAGGCTGCGGTCCGCGTGAGGCTGAGGGAGGAGATCCTGATCCACCTCGTCCTTAAAGAACCGCAAAGACTCCGGGAGCAGGTCTCCCAGCAGCCTCCAGTCAGCGCAGCCCCCGGGTCTCCGCTGGTACTCCAGGTACTTGAAACCGGACGAAAGACCCCGGCCGGGGTCCTTCAGACAGTCCTGGTACATCTGGCGGGCCGCCCCAGACGCGCTGGAGAACACGGTCCCGGACCCGCTTGGGTACTCGATGTAGATCTTCAGCTCGTGCTCCGGTCCCGGTTTAGAAACCGCGTCGAAGGCGAGCACGCGTCCAAGCAGCGCGTGCTCCTTCTTAAACCGGACATCGAACGGCGTGCACGCGCACAGGGTCAGCAGAGTGTCCCTGACCGGCTGAGGCCGCTGGGTCCAGTCCTCGTGACGGTTCCGGAGACTCTCAGTGAGCTCGACCAGTACCTCCGAATTTCGCTGCCGGTCTTTCAGGTCCTTTAGGTCCTTGACGTCCCGGTCCTGCGGCGTCTGGCCCGGATTCGGTACCAGCCCCGCGCCGCCTCGGGTCCTGGAGGTCGGGCTCTGGGCGTTCAGGTCCGGCGGTCCGTCCTCCGGTCTGACCCCGGTCGGTCCGTTAGTCCGGATGTGGTCTAAACGGGCCGCAGAGATCCGATCGGTGCTGAACTGAGATTTCCCGGGTGCGTCCGGGTCTTTTACAGTCTTTATCGCGGCTATCTGAGGAGGTCCAGGTGCAGGAGGTCCAGGTGCAGGAGGTCCTCCGTGAGCCCGCTTCAGGTCCCTTGCGGTCTCGATGACGACCTCGACCCGGTCCGCGCCCTCGTAGTTGACGCAGCCCCTGCAGACCGGTTCCGTGAAGTCCCAGATCATGGCCCAAGACATCCGTGGCAGGTCGCACAGGTAACAGGACTGTCTGCGGGACCACGTGACCTGCGGGGACCACATGATCCCTCTCCGGATAAATCCGGACTGGTCCAATCCACGTAACAGACTGACTGAGTCCTCCCCTGCTCCTCCTCTGTGGTCCTCCTGCTCTGCTCCTGTGTGTGTGTGTGTGTGTGTGTGTCTCTCTCTCTTTAGGAATGCCACCTGGCAGAGTAAGTGACGTAGTGTGTACGTGATGATGGATTTGTATTTAATCTCGTCCTCTTTGATCTTCTAAAAACACCAATCAGCTGTTTCATGACATTATTCATTCATAAATTCATATAAAAAATCATGTTTATCTGCAGGATCAGAATGTGTGTGTGTGTGTGTTGCTAGGCAGGTTTCATCTCTATTATTCCCTCCTTTCTTTCGCTCTCTCTCTCTCTCTCTCTCTCGCTCTCTCTGTAATGAAGCTCGATTGCCCTCTCAGGGTAAAAGTGTGTGTGTGTGGTCAGCTGAAAATCGTCCTTTCAGAACACAATACAACAAAATGTGTGTGTTGGTAACATTCAACAGATATCAAAACAACAAACATCTGATATCTCCAGGTGTTTGATCAGTTCTCCAGGTGTTTGATCAGTTCTCCAGGTGTTTGTCTCCAGGTGTTTGATCAGTTCTCCAGGTGTTTGTCTCCAGGTGTTTGATCAGTTCTCCAGGTGTTTGTCTCCAGGTGTTTGATCAGTTCTCCAGGTATTTGTCTCACACAGAGTGAGTCTGCAGCCAGGTGAGAGCCACAGTTGATATCAGACATTCACTGTAAATATTAATGTTTTTTATTCAGGTAGAGACCTCTAGTGGTCATAGAACGTATGACAGGAGGATCATATCTGCTACACGCCTTATTGTGAATAACTCTTATCCTTCATCAAATCAAAACGGATGAGTCATCAAAACATTCACCCCCCGTACAGTGTGTGTCGATCGAGACATGAGCTAATCAGACCTATATGGTTTTTTGAACCAGGCTGTAAACCTGTTAATCTCTGCTGTAAAAACAGGCTATTTAGAATGGGTGTGTATGTGACTTCCTGTGCTTCTGCGGCCAGCCTCTAGTGGACACATGAGGAACTAAACCCTGGATTTTACATTTCAGCATCGGCTTCATTTTTGAACACCAGAAGTTGCTGCTTGACATCAGACTACTCAGGAGGCGGAGCTCAGAGCTTCCACTGTATCCAGGGCCGTATCCGAATTGCCAAGTACCTACTCAATCTGTCAGTAGGCAGTAGTCAGTACCTACTATCTGTGCTGTACACTGTTTAGTACCTACTATTCAGTAGGCGCACCGCGCACACAGTAGGCAGATATTTGTTCCTACTTCTTCTGATTCATTCAGTATGGAAGTGACGTCATTTACGTTTCCTGAACCGGCCGAATTCACCCGTTTTTTGGGGGAATATACAGTATATACAGTCAGGTAAACAAAAAAACAATATCACAATGTAAATCAAGTAAAAGACAGATTAAATAACTAAATAACATACAGTAGCCTTCATAAAGACAAGTACAAATGAAAGACAGTAATATACAGAATATAAAGTAAAATAAACCAATAAAGACGCATTTAAATAGTGAAATCATTATTTAAATAGAGGGGGGAAGGTTTTATAATAATGCAGATATTTGTTATATTGTCTGTTGTTAATTTAAAGTAGTGATTTCAGTCGGGATTTTAACTCTAGATTAAAAATTGATTCAATTAATCCACGCTCGTTTGTTTTGATTTGGAGGCGCATGTGAAGTGTCGTTTTACATTTAATTTCACAGCATTGTGGGTGGTAAAATACAATTCATTTCCTGAAAGGATGCATTCGATCCATACTGCATGAAACCCAGAAGTTAGTATCCATACTGAAATGTTCAGTATACTGAGGTGGACCCAAAAAATGCATACTGAATGACCACGAAAGTTCAGTACACTGAAACTCTCTACTGAATAGTACACACTGCCTACTGAACTGTGACAATTCGGAAAGGGCCCAGGTGATATCAGATGCGTCACTTCCTACCTGTCCTCAGTGTGACAGTCTGTGAGCTGCTCTCACACACCTGAAACCTTTCTCACCTGCAGACTCATTCATTTATCTGTTTGTAGAGAGGAGAGACTGTCTGACTCCTCATCATCACAGTGACATCCCACAGAGTGAATGGACAGTCTGCAGGATTTCTGTCACTGCCCAACAAAACTTGCACTCACTCTCTCCTCCCCCTCACCTAGTTTCCTTCGGCCTTTGGTCATGGTGGGTTGTTGCCATAGAAACTGGTCCTGTCTCCATGGCAGTTACTGAGAAGTTCTGCTGACTGCTGAGGACGTTTTCTGATAAGAAAGAGAGAGAAGTCAGTTTGACTGACACGCATGCACGCACACGTTCTGCTGTATCAGTGTGAGTTCGAGGTGAAGTGTTACCATGGAAACAGCAAATCTGAACAGACATGAATGTGTGTTTCTGAAAGCGAAGTTGCTGCCACCTGCAGGTCACAACATCTCACTGCCTTTGTCCCCTTCCTGTCTCAACTACAGCTCCCATCATGCTCTGCTTCTTTTTATTTTACATCCTATGAACCGCTCTGTGTGTGCGTGTATATACATACCCGCAGGATCCAGGTGTCTGACCTGCAGACATGGTAGCTGACCAAATGAAGCTGAAGAAGTGAGGTCAGAGGTCATGGCAAGGTCAGAGTTCACAGGGGCATGTCCTGTGACCATCCTGAGGGCGGACTGCAGCAGCTGGCTCTGATAGGAGGAGAAAAGCCAATGAGCAGTCAGGCAGATTGATTTCATCAGCAAGTGAACAGGTGAGAAGTACCTGTAGCTGCATCTGTTGGCTGTGCAGCTTCTCCAGGTGCTGCAGTGTCTGCTGGCTCAGGCTCCGCCCACTGTCCCCGCCCTCTCTGACACCAGAGCAGAGCAATGTCAAGGTGATGTCGCAGCGATGTGATTTTATTTCATCATTGTTTTAATTTTGGATCTTTTTCAGTCAAACTAACTCCGCCCACATCTCTACCTGCTGTATGCCCCTCCAAGTTTACCTGTCAGCCTGCAGCAGGTTCTCCACGGCATCAGCCAGCTGACAGACACGAGCCTCTAGATCTGAATGAGACTGCACACACGCACGCACGCACACACACACGCGCACACACACACACACACACACACACAGTCAGTACTATAGAGTCAGTACTCAGCAGGTGAGCTGTTCTGAGGTCAGGTACCTTGATGAGAGGAGCAGCAGCAGATATGGCAGCTGCAGCTGCAATGGTGGCGTTGTCAAGGCTACCAGAGGGTAGCCCCGCCTCCATCTGGCCCACTGACACACCCACTGCATCCTTAGAGCTGGTTGGAGGAGGGTCTGGGTCCAGCAGCTGCACTTTAACCTCCCTCCTGAGGGGGGCACTGTGAGACCTGAGCAGCAGAGAGTGAAGGTGATTTTTGTCAGAATCAGGAATACTTTATTTATCCAGAGGGAAATTCCGTATAATAAAACAAAGTGTTGAGATTTAACCTCCAACACAGTGCCATCGATGGCGGTCTCCATGCTGGAAATGCTGACTCAGCCTAATTTTCAGTCAAACTAAGGACAGGCTGAGAGCTGGAGCTGAGGCGGGTTTTAAACCTTAATTTTTCCATTCCTTACCGCTGTTTCAGAGCGGCAAGCACAACACCGCGACCTCCAGCAGCAAACCGTGATGTCAGAAGGTTGTGACCTGCAGAGAGATTCCTGTTAGGACTGGAGGACTCCGCTGAAGGAGGATGCTGCAGAGAGAGCAATGAGCAAGGTAGAGAGAGAGGGAGAGCAAGAGAGCAAGAGAGAGAGGGAGGGAGAGAGAGAGCGAAAGGAAGAGAGAGAGACAGAGAGGGAGAGAGTGAGAGAGCAAGAGATAGAGGGAGGGAGAGAGGGAAAGCGCAAGTGAGAGAGGGAGGGAGGGAGAGAGAGGGAGAGAGGAAGAGAGAGAGCGAGGGAGGAAAAAAGAGCGCAAGAGATAGAGGGAGGGAGAGTGCAAGAGAGAGAGAGATAGAGGGAGGGAGAGAGAGAGGGAGGAGAGAGAGAGAGAGAGAGCAAGAGATAGAGAGAGCAAGAGAGATGGAGAGAGATTAAATCATTTTTTTTAGATATTGGTGAATTATTGATTATTAACTCGTCAGCTTTAAAAAGGTTTATTTAATTGAATGAATAAATGTTAAAACCTCTGAATGGAGCTTGTTATGAATATTATTCTAAAGGTTAGGATATTTGTATTGATATTATTATACTGAAGAGTCTGAACAAACATTGTTCACTCAACATATCTTATACAGACTTGGACCTCTAGGAGGGAAACTGTTGCTATGGCAACATGTGATAGGATCATGAAGGAAACAACAGGAAGTACAGTTTGGAACTGTAGAATCAGCAGAAGAAGAAGAGAGGAGGACTCACTCTGTTCTCTTTAGTCGGCTCAGGATTCATGGGAGTCCGTCTGTCTGCACACACACACACACACACACACACAGACACACACACGTACACAGACACACACACACACACACACACACACACAGTCAGTGAGAGCTGAGATGACATTCTGATATCACGTGTTATAAAACGACAATTTGAATACAAAAATACTAAAACTTTAAAACTATTTCAATCGTGTGTTATATCTATATCTAGGGGTATCTAGGACTTATATTTCTATATTACTAAAATAATATAAAAGTTTTAAACTCTGATGATTCTCCTATTAAAACTCTAGCTCAGGTCACCGGTTCATCTGTTACACCTGCCAGAGCTCTTACCGGGCGGAAGGTGAAATGCTGCCGGCTGAGGAGCAGCTCCGTCCGGCCTCCTGCGAGGCTTCGGCCGCTGCTGCTGCTCGGCAACAGGTTGGTTCTGGACCGGAGGCGGAGGATCTCGGACAGGGGGGTCCCACAGCTTCTGAACGGTTATGTGTACTCCGGATCCAGCTTCAGGTCTCGGGTCAGAGAGGAGGACTCGGGTGGAACGGATCAAAACGTCCCCGGTGTCCGAGCTGCAGGAGGACAGATCAGGAGTGTTGTCCCCGGAGAGCTGAGACCACATGATGCCCAATGATTACATTTATGTGAAGCTAATATCAGCTAACGTTAGCCTGTTAGCCTCCGCAGCTAACAACTTTTAAACTTCCCGCTTCATCTGCGCACGGAACCTCAGGGTTGAACTGTTCATCCCGGTCAATCAACGTAATGACGCAGAACCCCGGATGATTGAACATGTAATCAAACAGATTAAATATAATTAAAAATGAATAAATAAACAAAGAGGCTGAAGAGTGAAGCAGAACTCCTCAAACAGCAACTGTTGCTGACAACAACACTGCACACTTCCACGTCCGCGTCACAGCACAGATAACAACACGAGAGGACCGATGTCTCACTCTTCCCTGAATTAAGAAACCAAGAACTAAAGGCAGAAAAAACATACACCGAGACATGAAATGATAACTTTGAACAGGTTGAATTATTTTAAATGCATAAACATCAATTAATTAAAAGCTTTAAACAAAGGAGCCGGTCCGCGTCTATGAAGGGGCAGCAGCGCCACCTGTCTGATGTAAGTGTCTGATTCAGTTCAGACAGACTTTATTTAACGGGGATATAATTTAATTTTGCCAAATTTTGAGAATAAAACAAGAAGAAGAATAAGTGTTAAAGTCAGGATCACTTTTATGGAACAAGTTTAAACAAACAGTCAGATTTATTAAGACTGAAGTCTCCATGTACAAAAGTACAACAAACAACTAAATAGACAAATAAATATAATGTGTCCATGAGACATCAGTGCAGTATTTTTCCTTATTTTCTTTCATGATAAAGGTTTAAATATTCTGATTATTTGTTAAAGAAAACTTTAAATCGATTTGATGTGTTTGGGAGGGGACATGAAGGGAAACCTTCATGTTGCGAAGCTCTTGTGTCAGTCCGGACGTTTTTATCAGGAACACACAGGTCGATGTGTGGTAATATTTACAGTCTATGGTGGTTACTGAGCTTAACATTCGTCACTTTTTATTTATGTATTTTAATCAGGGATGGTAAATTCGAGGCTTTGAATCGTATCGATACATTCGAATCATTGTTTTGAAACGTTTTGAAACCTGCTCGCTCAACGTCGGCATCTACTGGCAGAAGCTGTCATCGCAGCCATTAATTATTGTTTGTGTTGAAGTGTTGAAGGGTCCCTTTTCCCCAACCCCCTCTAAATAGTTTTCATGCAGACACAATCAAATCATCACTTCTTGTTTGATGACCTTTCTCATAGTATGATGGTCCTATGCCACTGTTAGTTTGTTGTACCATTAAATATTTGTATACATTTATTGAGAATCAATATTGTCTAGTCAAATTCCTTGTCTGTATAAACGGACTTGACTATTCTTATTATTCTGATCCTGACTAGTTCTTATTGTATTTCACTGTAATTGTACTCGTCAAAACAAGGTGGTATAAATATTCATGTTCAGAAGCATTTTGTTTATTTCATTTATCTATCTATAGCAAAATAAATCTGCAAAAATATCTCCCAAACCACAACACCGACAACTCCTCAAACACCTGTATTTTCCGCGGACTTTTAAAACACTCTGTCCGGGTCACGTGACGTTTCGAAACGTGTTTGTAACGTCACGTAACGTCACGTGATGAAAGGTTCGAAACAGTTCGAACGAAGTGTCGGGTTTGCCCAATTGAATATCTTATGTCATAACATTTCCATCCTTGAATTACAGACTTATTAACGGAAATATCGGAGCTCACGCACGGGTCTGTCGGTGGTCGAGTTATTCTTCACTGTCTGTAGTTTAACTCGGTAGTTTAACTCAGTCTGTAGTTTAACTCAGTCTGTAGTTTAACTCTGTAGTTTTTTAACTCTGTTTGTAGTTTAACTCTGTCGGTAGTTAAACTCTGTATGTAGTTTAACTCTGTAGTTTAACTCTGTCTGTAGTTTAACTCTGTCTGTAGTTAAACTCTGTTTGTAGTTTACTCTGTCTGTAGTTTAACTCTGTAGTTTAACTCTGTCTGTAGTTTAACTCGTCTGTAGTTTAACTCTCTGTAGTTTAACTCTGTAGCTTAACTCTATCTGTAGTTTAACTCTGTAGTTTAACTCTGTATGTAGTTTAACTCTGTCGGTAGTTAAACTCTGTATGTAGTTTAACTCTGTAGTTTAACTCTGTCGGTAGTTAAGCTCTGTATGTAGTTTAACTCTGTTTGTAGTTTAACTCTGTCGGGAGTTAAACTCTGTATGTAGTTTAACTCTGTAGTTTAACTCTGTATGTAGTTTAACTCTGTAGTTTAACGCTGTCGGTAGTTAAACTCTGTATGTAGTTTAACTCTGTATGTAGTTAAACTCTGTAGTTTAACTCTGTCGGTAGTTAAACTCTGTAAGTAGTTTAACTCTGTCTGTAGTTTAACTCTGTATGTAGTTAAACTCTGTAAGTAGTTTAACTCTGTCTGTAGTTTAACACTGTCTGTATTTTAACTCTGTCTGTAGTTTAACTCTGTCTGTAGTTTAACACTGTATTTTAACTCTGTCTGTAGTTTAATTCTGTCCGTAGTTTAACACTGTCTGTAGTTTAACTCTGTATGTAGTTTAACTCTGTCTGTAGTTTAACTCTGTATGTAGTTAAACTCTGTCTGTATTTTAACTCTGTCTGTAGTTTAACACTGTCTGTAGTTTAATTCTGTCCGTAGTTTAACAGTCTGTAGTTTAATTCTGTCCGTAGTTTAACTCTGTCTGTAGTTTAACTCTGTATGTAGTTAAACTCTGTCTGTATTTTAACTCTGTCTGTAGTTTAACTGTCTGTAGTTTAATTCTGTCCGTAGTTTAACTCTGTATGTAGTTAAACTCTGTCTGTATTTTAACTCTGTCTGTAGTTTAACTCTGTATGTAGTTAAACTGTCTGCAGTTTAACTGTCTGTAGTTTAAAAAGAAGACATCTGATTGAAAACCATGACGGTTATTCTTCAGTACCTTAGACAAACTACGTTGATTGAGAAGATACAATTATTATTCATGTTATTTTCATTATTATTATCTTCATTTACAGAAGAGTAGTAGAGCCTACATATTAGATATTCTCATCCACAGTCCTTACCAGTAGGTGGCGGAAATGCCAATTCGTTGTTTGCCAACCGCCATAAAACCTTAAAGAAGAAGAAGAAGAAGAAGAGTGTGTAGTTCGTCCTCGCGTCTCTCACGTGCCCTTCAGCCGTCAGGAGGATCTTCAGCTCGAGCTCGTGCTCAGGTGAGATGATGAACCTGATTATTAATTTAGTTGACATTAAATCAGGTAGTATGTGACGTTAATTTGACGTTAATGATAATAATAAAAAGATGAAACAGTCTGAGCTAAAGCCGGAATTAAGAAGCTAATGTTAGCCGTTAGCTTACATTTGCTCTCAGAGAAGAATGAACATCAGTGAGTATTAATTGACCCGTTACCATGGTGATAGCGTTAAATGATTGGACCCGGCTTATCAAAATGAATCTATATAAATAACAAATATTTATCCTGAAGTGACGAGCTAGTACAGATAATTTAAGCACACAACTTTAATGTGAAATCGTGTTTACAGTCGGTCTGTTTGAAGGTCCGAGGCTCTTAAAGTGATCGATATATTAAATAACTGAGTTTATGAACTCTTATGTTAATGATTAAAGGTTTCAAAAGTCCCGAAGCTTTAGAGAATTACATTTTATCAGACAGGTGTAAAGGAGAGGAATGATGACGTCAGATATGACAGGTAAACTCCTGTAAATCATTACAGTGACGACAGATTGGTGTTAAGTAGACTCAGTTCAGTTCTATGCTGCCGTACCGTGACGTCATACAGGTATCTTCAGTTTGAATAATGTAATGGGAACATGTTTGTTTACAGAATCTGTAGCTCCATCATGGCCGTCCAGGTGACCGAGTCCGACCAGATCAAACAGGTAAACATCTTTAATAATCACCTTAACGATGAAAAGTGTCTAATTCTGTGAATGAACCTTAAAGCTGACAACAGAGATCAGTTACACACTCAGCGTTAAGTTATTCTCATTCCTGGTGTAAAGACAGTGGAGTTCATGATAAAGACACATGTTTGACGTGTTTAAAGGTTCTTTATGTAACATTTTACATGTATAAATCGTTTTTTATCGCCCATTAATAAGTGAACGATTAACTGATGTGAAAAAGTAGGTGTTCACTGTCTATCTGTGTTGCCTGTATAAAAATGTTTCCCCGGGTCGTATTTTCCGCGAAAGCTCCAGAAAGTGACATTTTATGTACGTTCTCAACGTCCTCCTCACTCCGCTCCGCTTACAAAGATCAACAGTACAAACTCATCACACACTCCCGGTCTTCACCTGCACAGCTAGAGGCCGCCTTCCACACACTTCTATCCGCTCTAGGAGCTCTCAAAGGCGGACAAACTCATCACACACTCCTGCTCTCAGTCAGTGCCTGCAGAGACTGTCGTTTGGAGGATGGAGAATGAATACAGACACACAGACTCCTTCACAGACTTTCACATGTGTATGACCACTTACCTCCTCTGTAAACATTATGCCTGTAAATATCCAGTGTTTCGCGGCCGATGATGATGATGCTCGTTTGTGTACGTATGAGCGCGTATGACAAGCACGCGAGGGAGAGAGAGCAACAGGATATGGTGCAGTTCGCCTAACAGCCATGCGGTTTCGCTACAAACGCAGTATTTTTGAAAGTTACATATAGCCTGTTTAATGTGTTTGACATGTTTGACGTGTTTAACGTGTGCCTGTGGTCGGTGGACGGGTCTCTCTCAGTTTAAGGAGTTCTTGGGGACCTACAACAAGGTGACGGAGAACTGCTTCATGGACTGTGTCAAAGATTTCACCACCAGGGAGGTGAAGCTGGAGGAGGTGATCAGCACACACACTAAAACAAAGAGACACTAACACACACACACACACACACTAAAACAAAGGGACTCTAAAGGTCCTGTCACACCAAGGAGGCTGTCTGTGAGCGGTCGTCGTCCTAGTCTTTGCGGTGTGTCCAGCTCCGTTGCAACCTGTCGGCCCCAGTTGGTCGAGAGGTATTTCCTCTTTCGCATGCACAGTATGATCGTGGTGGTTGGCGGTCGGCTGCAGTCTTTGCGGTGTGTTCTAGTGAAACTTTTTGGCCAAGACAAAAGACACAGGTGGCCTTCATCACCACCAGTTCCTTGCTGTCTGCTTGGTGTGTCAGGGCCTTAACACACACATACAGAAACATAAGTGTTAGAGATTTCTTCAGTCAAACTGTCCGTCTCTTCTGTCTGTGTGTGTGCGTGCGTGTTTCAGTCGACCTGCTCCGAGTCTTGTCTGCAGAAGTACCTGAAAATGACTCAGCGGATCTCCATGAGGTTCCAGGAGTATCATATCCAGCAGAACGAGGCTCTGGCAGCTAAAGCCGGTCTGCTAGGTCAGCCCCGCTGACCCCGTCTGAGATGTTGACCCCAGTAGGCTGGACCTGGTCCTGTTCCAGGATGACACAATCTGAGATGCAGCTGCTCAAGTTTGATTCAGCTGTCTGAAGGTGAACTGAAGCTCAGCCTCCATGTATGGCGATGTCATCGAGTCATGCTCTTGCTGCTCTATGGACAGAACCACACATACAGTCAGTTTGTCTGAAAGCATCATGGGAGATGGAGTCTCAGACCAGTTTCTTGTTTGTAAATAAACTTTGTGTTTGATGTTTAAATGTTAATTGTCAGGACTGCAGCGATGTCTGTCAACGTGTGGAAATAAAGATGTTTGAATGCTGTGATCAAACGTTTCTTCAACTGGGACACACACACACTCAGAGACACACAGCTTCTGTGTGAATAACATGTTCACAAACTGAACATATGAAGGAGGTCAGGACGTTCGTTTTCAGTTAAATGTGGTCGGAGAGAAACTCGTCAGATGTGCAAAGAAACTTTCAAGATTGAACAAAGATGTTGAGTGGAACATGACATGAGAGAACCGACACGAACCTGAAACAGTTCCAACACTAACAAGCTCATGGTCTCTGTCCTGAGCACAAACTGTTTATATGTAAATATATAAATTATTCTCTGATCCTCCGTATGATTTAATGACTTTTTACATTTTATGTTTAACTTTGAACCTTTCAGCTCTTTATTCAGATGTTTAATGATCTCTTAAAAGTCACACTTCACCATGTTCCTCTTAACTCTAACATGTGTCTCTAGTCTGTCTACAAACCTCCTGATGATGAGAAAAGTCCACCCTCTCCGTCTTTTGCCTGCCCCACTTTTCAGAAAATGTGTGCTCAAACAGGCCGTTTGGCGATTTTCCCTTCATGACATCACAAAGGGCAGTAGCCCCTCCCCCAGGTGGGTGACACTCCCATAGCTAGGTGTTTGTTCTGCCCTCTGAGTCTACCTTCTCACCGTAAACAATAGGACATGGAGCCACCCAAGCCCTTCCAGAGACGGGGCGTGGTCAGACACAGCTCGTTTACATTTAAAGGTGCAGACACAGAAACAGTCTGTTCTGAACAGGGCTGAAATAGAGGGTTTATAGACATGATCAAATACAGGATCAGAGTGGATTTAGAACAATAAACTTCACACACGTTTTGAAGAGCTCTGAGACTTATTTAAACTGGTTGAAGAGGAGGATGTGTGACATTTATTAAAAACATGAACTGATGATTCAAACTAAACCTTCCGACTTTGTGTCTGGGTGATGAACTTGAAACTACAGGCAGCTTCAGTTAGCTTAGCATAAAGACTGTCGATTGCAGCACTTCCATCTCACATCACAGCAGAACACATTTCTATGGTAACCACCTAAAAATTAAACTTCCATTAACTAGCCACGTTCACATTCATAATGTTTTTATTTAATGTGTCAGAGTGCAGGTCAAGGCTTTATGCTAAGCTAAGTAGCTTCTTATTTAGACTACAAACATGAAAGCTGTCAGCCTCGGAGTGAAAAGGAGGGTGTCTGGGTTTTCCTGAGGATGTGAGAGAGGGTCAGTGTTGAGACTGGACGAGATGTATTTAAAAACTTTATTAGAAACAGAGAGCTTATTGAGCGCCACACACTCCTCTGTGGGTGGGTGTGTATTTACAGTCGTCGCTCTCAAACCGCCGCTAACAAACGATCACATAGAAAACAAACAGAGTTGATGATACAAAGAGCCGTTAAAAATGGTAGAAATCATTCTTTACAGGCTGAAAATGTTGTGCTCTCATCCACACCGACCTTTAATCTTTTCTCAGAGCTTTATTTACAACACAAAGAAACAACACAGCCGTCTGACACACAGCCACAGAGACAAAAACCACGGAAGAAGAAACAACAGGAAATAGTGCAGCAGAACTCCAGTAGAGAGGGAGACGTACAGACGGACGATCAAATCAGCCAGAGAAGAAGAAAAACGCTGAAATATTACCAACGAAGAAGAAAAAAAAAAGACTCAGTCAAAGTGACATTCTGCTGAGTCATGTTTCAGACTCGCTCTTTAAATAAAATCGACTCCTTAAAGAATCCATTCATGAGTCAGTTTATCGTTTCAAACACAAAGATGGTAAATAAAAACGCCATGGTCGACTTCAACCTTGAGGTTTCCCCGAGTCCCACTGAAAACAGATTTCATATCTGATGAGATTCAACTCGTAATACCTTAAGTCTGAATTTAAAGTCACGTTGATCGACATACATTTTGAGATTCAAACGTTAAGATTTCATTAAATACACAAACTTAAATCGTGCTTACGAAATTAAACGTTTGGATAAATGTCCATCAGGGCTTCTGTAGTTTGGAAACTCCAAAAAAACAAATTCTAATCCTCGACAACGAATGATGGGACATTCATCTTTGTCAGTTATTTTGTTAAAATTAGAAAGTTTACCGACTTCGTCTGCAGGTTCTCTCCGTCAACACCGACGCCGCTTTCTAACGTTCAGGACGTTTCCATTGTTCAAATAAAAACATGTCGTCTCGTCAGGCTGAACGTTCGATTTCAGTTGTTTTTAGTTTCATCGTTTTTATTGTTTCCTGGCAGAAAAGATCCTCCAAACACACACACTCAAACAGTCTCTCTCACACACACACACACACATTCAAACAGTCTCACACACACAGACTACCCGAATAAATAAACTTCATTTGAATTATTTCAACAAAAAAAAAAAAACATCCACCTCTTTCTCCCCTCCCTCCCTCTTCACTTTTTTGATTTTATATCTGTATATTTATCTAAATAAAATCTGATTCTGTAGAAAAAGGACAAAAACTTGTTTTTTCTGTTTTCTTAAAAAAGTTCTTGAATGAAAAAAAGAGAAAAATAATTTGCATAAAGACGTGTGCTGCTGCTTCCTGTTTGTCAAACCTTACAGGAAGTAAACAGACTTATTTTGAAATCAGGATGATGTAAAGACGATCTCTGTGGCGGCGAGTAGAAGGCTGGTTTCAGTGTCCTCAAACAGGAAGTCAGTCCATAGCTGAGGGGGTGGGGCTTGTGCCCCTGTCAGTCTGAGCTCAGTCTCTGACCTGGAGGTTTCTCCAATCATGACCTCAGTGCAGGCAGAGTGGGCGGAGTCTGTGGAATGACAGGGCTGATCAGGAGTGGACAGGACCTCAGTGGGCGTGTTATCACCTGCACTCCACAGCGACGGTGTTCTGAGTGGGCGAGGCCGAGGAAGGACTCATCCCGGTGTCTGAGGAGCCCGAGGAGGTGGAGGCGGTGGTGTTAGACACTGAGGGGGGGATGAATAAACAACTCTCATGAGAATTTACCTGAATACTACTGAACCTGTGTCAGGTGGTTTCCCAGCATGCACTGCGTCTCCTACCTTCTCTCTCCTTCTTCTTTAGTCTCTTCCTGCGCCGGTCAATGGACGCCACCTCAGACTTCAGGGTCATGTAGTACTTCCTGATCTCCTGCAGCTTGTCCTGCAGGAAGGAGATCCTCTCTGTGCTGGACATGGAGTCCAGCTCATCTGTGGGGGGAGAGGGGGGGGGGGGGGGGGGACTCCCATACGGAGCAGACGTTTGAATAATAAAGATGGCGGACGTTGTTACCGAGCTGGAAGGTCCACTTGTAGGTCCTCTGAGGAGAGAAGGGTTGTTTGTCTTTACTGTGAGACGATGGAGACGACAGGCCGGGACAACGAGACTTTGGAGACTTCTGGGACAGGGATGAGACCCGGGACTGGTCCTCGCTGTCACTGCTGTGCCCTGTGGAGGGGTCAGAGGACCAGAAGACTACATCAGTAAACATTTGGGTCGGTCCATTTGTTCTCATTTATTATTTGCTTTGAACCAGGAATGTGCGTGTGCACGTCTTTTATTTAACAAACAGATTAATACCACAAATAAAACATGATCTCATCTGCAGGTTTACACTAACATGAAGGAGGACAAGACAGTGACATCAACAAGACATCATCTGCTCACCTGCTCCGTTCTTGTCCACCTTCCCAGGTGTGTGCGCTCGTTTCTGGTTACGTTTGTGTTTCTTGGTTGTCGGGCTCGAGTTTACATCAATCACCCTCTTCTGACCTGAGAGTCAACATCACACAGGTTAACATCAACCGACCAATCACAGGCCTCCAAATCCACAGACAAATTACAGGCCTCCAAATCCACAGACCAATTACAGGCCTCCAAATCCACAGACCAATCACAGGCCTCCAAATCCACAGACCAATCACAGGCCTCCAAATCCACAGACCAATCACAGGCCTCCATAACAACAACAACACAAAGAAGTGAGAAGGAGGACAGGCCAACAAGTGAGGAGGTTAAGAGCAAGTCTCTGGTCTTACCTCTGTCCTTGGCGTCCTGCAGGGACAGCAGGGAGGTGGAGGAGGAGGCGCTGCCATCAAATCCTGGGCTGGAGTCTCCTTCCTGCTCCCTCCTCCCCCCTCCTCTCTCCTCCTCTGCAGCGCTCCTGGCTGGGTGGCGCTCCTCAGGGGAGGAGCTGGGAGCGGTGGCCGGCAGGAAGGGCCTAACCTGAGGCTGGGGGAGGTGGGGGGACTGGGAGGAGGGGAGAGAGGTGTTGAGAAGGGGAGGCAGAGTGGGAGGAACTTGTTGCGGCTCCCTCATCATCAGGAGGAGGTGCTCTGGGGGGGTAGAAGGCTTCTCCTTCTCATCAGGGTCATCCAGGTCCACCTCGTGGCAGACCAGAGCCTCAGGGCCAATCTGAGGCTCTGCCTCCTCGGAGGGGGCAGGGCCATGAGCCTCCACAGCAGGGGCTGGCATCCCAGCATGCACCTCTGACTCCTTTGTAATTCCGCCAGTCAGTCGCTCCCCTGACACCTCCTTCAGAGTCTCTTCAGCCAGACGGGGCCACTCCTCTGTCTTCACCGTGCTCCTCCTCTCAGACTCCTCCCTCCGCAGGGGGGAGGAAAGTGTCTCTGGTGACGTGCTGGGGGCCATCTTGGATGCTGCAGGGGGAGTTTTGGGGGACGCGGCCTCCTCCTGCCTCCTTTCGGGGCGCAGCTTCTTCTCAGCTGTTCGCTGGTCCGCTGCTTTACGTTTCAGCGCAGAGCTCCTCTCCTCAAGTAACCCCGCCTCCTCCTCCTCAGAGGCGGAGTCAGTGTCAGAATCTGCAGGGGGAGACTCAGGGGGAAGGCGCTGGGTGGGGAGGCAGTGGAGGACCACCATTGGCTCATCCTGCCTCTTCAGGACGCCACGAGGAGGAGATGACACTGCTGCCATGTTGGAGGGGCTAACATGTTGGGCAGGGCTAAGACTGCAGAGGGGTGTTCTGGGCGGAGTTTCAGAGCCCGTCTCTCGGATGTTCGACCTACGACCTTTGAGCCTCGGGGAGGACAAAGGAGTCGACCTGTTGTCCTCCTCCTCTGCCGGAGCTGACAGAGGAGACGATACCGGCGGTGTCTTTTCCGGAGATGACTTGTGTTTGTCAGTGGTGGAAGGAGACATCTTATTGGTTCTGTCAGGGAGGGGGGACGCCCTTCGGGGGGACGTCTTAATGACCACTTCCTGTCCAGGAGACATCTTGCTGCTCTCGTGGACAGACAGCGTCCTGGTGACTCCTTCCTGCAGAGGCGACGTTCCTGCCTCCTTTTCTGAGTGAACGGGTAACTTGGCAGCTTCCACTGAAGGCTCCTCCCCCTCGTCTGCCTCCTTCTTCATTGATTGGCTCAGGAATTTGTCCTGAGGCATGCTGGGAGACTGAGGCTCTGAGGCAGCAGGAAGTTGACCTGCTGTTCCCGTGGCGAGAGTGTTTTCATTGTCAACGGTTGGCATGATGTTCTCACATGTCTCCTCCTCTTCCTCTTTCTGCTGGTGGCTGGGCGGGGCTTCAACCCTCCCTCTCCATGGCGACGGCTTCTTATCGTCAGGCGTGTCTTCTGATTCACTGTCATCAGTTGAGTTCCCCGACTCCTCTGCATGAAACAGATGCTGTGTTAGTTACTGTATGGATCAAAGAAGGGAAACGGGAACATGACAAGGATTATTTCTCACCATTGGACGCTCGGTCCGAGTCGTACATTCCCGACGTTCTCCGTGTTCTCCTGCGAGGAGTGTCTGCAGGGGGAGGAGTTTATTTAAAAGTTAACAAAAATGAACATGACCCAAAGTAATAACTCTTCTGAGCATGGTCAGTGTGTCTTACTGTCTCCGTTGGAAATGCTGGACGCCGTCTCAGACCGGCTCCTGCCGTTGGAACGCCCCTCTGTGCTGGGTGTTTTTGAAACACTGCGTCCTGGGAGGCCTGCGGGTGGGGTCCTGGTCTGAGGTCGACCTCGCTTCGGTCCCGGCGGCTTCACCGCCATCGTCGGTGTCTTCTCATCGTCTCGCTCCTTCTCTGAATCCTCCTTGTTCTGTTGGAGACAAAGAGGAGTTATTAATCACACTGCAGAAGACACGACTGCCATCACTCTGCAGGCCTGCTTGGTTACCATGCCAACCAAAAAAGAAATCCTAGGTCTTGTTTGAATGTTGTTTCAATGAACGCAAACTCCCGCACATGTTGAAAGTGTCCAACATACATTGAATATATCCGATCGTCTCTGACAGCACTTTTTGATTCTATTAATTTTTCATATTTAAGAATTATCATAAAACATTAACCGTATCAAACATGTTAAGCGTCTGACCAGGTAGACGTGATGAGGGTCAGGGGTTACCCAGAGAGGCGAGTTAAACCTGCTGACAGTGAAATGTGGAGCTGCTCACCTTGCCCTTCCTTCTCTGTCTCTTCTTTGTCCCTTTCTCCGGGGGCCAGATGATCCGGTCAGCCTTCACCCACTCATCGTACCTGAGGATCACACACACACACACACACACACCTGGGTCAACACAGGCCCAGCCTCCAGCTCACCTGAACTCCTCCTCCTGCACAGACGCTCACCTGACGTTCCAGCCGTAGTAATGAACAAGGTAGAACTGCTCTCCGTTGTCCACATCCGTCTTCTTGATGTGAGCCTCGTAGATCTTCTGAGTCTTTCCCCGGCCGTACTTAACCCTCACCTTCGTCCCCGCCAGAGAGTCCTCATCCTCCTCGCCTTCACTCCTGACACACACACACACACCATCCATGAATAGTGTTAAACACATTACCGGCCTGAGTTTAGTCTTGATGGTTTCCTGTCTTCACTCTGACAGCAGATTCACATATTCAATGTTTCATTGAAACACGGGTTCAGAGACTAAACATAAGAAACTTACAAAAACTTTCTGTATTGATGTTCAAAATCAGACTGAAGGACTTTTCTGATAGGACGTGCTGTGTTCGCCGCAGAGTAGGGGGCTGAGCAGAAGGGGAGCTCTCACATGGGCAAATCATCGGCGCACGTTGCTAGGTGACAGAAACGATAGTCTGGAAAAGTAGCTTGTTGGATGTGCAGTGTTTTTGTTTCTGTCCACTCTTCAGTAGAAAGCTCTGACCTCTCTCCTGTAGAGGAGACGAGCAGTGAAGAAGAAGAGGGCGTGGCTTCATGAAATCCTCTGAACACGACAGGATGTGGGAGTTTAGGCTCGTCTAGGAGCTGCAACTCTATAATGAGCGCTTCACCTGATCTTAACTCCTATTGGACATGTGGCGGCTGTGGCTCAGTTGGTAGAGTCGTCGCCTCTCAACCGGAAGGTCGAGGGTTCGATCCCCAGCTGAACATGTCCGCTGTGTCCTTGGGCAAGACACTTAACCCTGAATTGCTCCCGCTGCTTCAGTGGTTGTGTATGAATGGGATTAGTTACCAGTTAGTTATCAGTCAAAGGGTGTGAATGGCTGGGTGAGACAGGCGGTATAAGCTCAAGTCCATTTACGTGGAGGTGACGTCACAGAGCGTTGCGCCCAAGTTAAATATATTTTAACTTGTGCACAGACTGCAAATGTGACGTGCTGCACTCAGCTCGGCGAGGTGCAGATACGCTCCAGTGCTGCTCTACACTGGAGCGAGCAGAGCAGATTTGTCGTTTGTGATGTAACATCAGGACAATCTGAGCACGGAGAACTTCAACTGGTCTCTCCCTCAATGCAGTCTTCATATATCAGAGTTTATTTTAAATACATCACACAGGTTCATGAGTCTCACCTGTCTCCTCTCCTCCTCTCCATCTCATCCTCCTCATCCTCATCATCTTCATCATCATCATCATCCTCCTCAGAGCCTCTCTCCGAGTCCTCCATTCTCCTGTGGCTGCGTCTCCTCATCTCCCTCTGCTCCTCACTGTTATCTCCTCCTCTCTTCTCTGGTCTGGATGGAAACTCCCTGTCTGCCTTCACCAGACTCCCCACACACCTCCTCCTCCCCTGAAACACACACACACACACACACACACACAGGTCACACATCATATCTGTACAGGAACCGTATCCGTCAGTTGAAGGGGGAAAAAAGGGGAGCAGCTTCATGTCATGAGGAGACACAGGAGAAGACAGAACAGAAGTAACAGAAGGGAAAAGACAGGAGGAGGACAAACAGGAGAAACGGGAGTAAAGGTTTTCTCACCCTTGGGGACAACTGTCTCTCCTTCACCTCCTCCTTTTCACTCTCACTCTCTGACTCCACCTCCTCCATCTTGTCATCCACATGCTCCACCTTTAATTCTGGCGAGCAGGACTCTTTTAGCTCCACCCCAGCCTGCCTTAGATTGGCTGGAGTGGTGGGAGGGCGGGGGTTGTTGTGATGGATGGTCCTGAAGGCGATGGAGGCGGAACGACAGTACTCCTCGAAACCGTACAGGTACCTGAAGACGGCAGATACACGGTCATTAAAGCAGGGGCTGATGGGAAATGGAGTGCAAGTCTGACCCGTCTGAGTCTTTGATACATTCTACAGATGTTCAGAGATTCACAGGATCCTTGAATTTAATTCCTTGAATGAATCTCAGGTATCTTTCAGGTGAGTTCTTACTTCTTGTAGGCCGTCTTCACGTTGTAGGACGCTGCAGAGTTCAGGATGGGGATCCCCAGATCCATGTAGACCTGCTTCCATACGGTCCCTGACTCAATCTAAACACACACACACACACACAGGGTCAGCAAAGCCAACAGGAAGTGACATTACAGGCGTTTATGACGATCAGGTATCTCACCTTGTGGCAGCCTCCCTGCTGATAAACCAGTCTGAAGAGTTTGAACAGGTTCAGGTCTTTGTAACCCAGCACAGGGGGCTTGTTGATCGGGGTCCCTGAGGGACAGAAAGGTAAACAGTCAGTCAGACAGACAGACAGGTAAACAATCAGACAGACAAGTAAACAGACAGACAGACAAACAGTCAGACAGACAGGTAAACAGTCAGACAGACAGACAGGTAAACAATCAGACAGACAAGTAAACAGACAGACAGACAAACAGTCAGACAGACAGGTAAACAGTCAGTCAGACAGACAGGTAAACAATCAGACAGACAGGTAAACAGTGAGACAGACAAGTAAACAGACAGACAGACAAACAGTCAGACAGCAGGGTAAACAGTCAGACAGCAGGGTAAACAGTCAGACAGGTAAACAGTCAGACAGCAAGGTAAACAGTCAGTCAGACAGGTAAACAGTCAGTCAGAAAGGTAAACAGTCAGTCAGACAGGTAAACAGTCAGACAGCAAGGTAAACAGTCAGTCAGAAAGGTAAACAGTCAGACAGGTAAACAGTCAGACAGCAAGGTAAACAGTCAGACAGCAAGGTAAACAGTCAGTCAGAAAGGTAAACAGTCAGTCAGACAGGTAAACAGTCAGTCAGACAGGTAAACAGTCAGACAGCAAGGTAAACAGTCAGTCAGAAAGGTAAACAGTCAGACAGCAAGGTAAACAGTCAGTCAGAAAGGTAAACAGTCAGACAGAAAGGTAAACAGTCAGTCAGAAAGGTAAACAGTCAGTCAGACAGGTAAACAGTCAGTCAGAAAGGTAAACAGTTAGTCAGAAAGGTAAACAGTCAGTCAGACAGGTAAACAGTCAGACAGCAAGGTAAACAGTCAGTCAGAAAGGTAAACAGTCAGTCAGAAAGGTAAACAGTCAGTCAGACAGGTAAACAGTCAGACAGCAAGGTAAACAGTCAGTCAGAAAGGTAAACAGTCAGACAGGTAAACAGTCAGTCAGACAGGTAAACAGTGACACACAGAGCATGTTTAAACAAACCTAACAGTCACTAAAGATGGAAGCACCAGTTTACAGGAAGTGTCAGAGAGAAGCTCTGAAACTGAGGCTTGAGGCTAACGCGAACCTGGCTGCTAAGAAAGATTCCAAATGGTCTCTCTGTATAACATTATCACAGAGTTAGAAGGAGTTTGAACTTCTTCCACTGTCACCCTGTCTGAACATGTAAGTGAACATGTGCTCCCTTCATGCAGCTGAGACTACAGAGAGACTGGATAAACCTGTTGGAGCTCTAATAGGGAGCACAAATCTCAACCTACACACTGTAACATTATCCTCTGGTAACTCACTGCAGTGTGTTTGCTTACAATGATTCAACACACATTTCACACAATCACATCTGCTTCAGTACAGAACAGGGGGACTGGTGTGCACCCCAACACTCACCTCTGTCCTCCATGAACTTGTAGAGCTGCTGCAGAAAGTGGTCTCTCTCCTCCGGATCCAGCTCCTCCTCCGGCTGACCAAAGGAACAGAGAGGCAGACAGGTGAGCAGACAGACAGGTGAGCATCTGAACACCACGCAGCCGCTTCAGTCACTCAAGTCTCACCTCTTCTTTCATGTGTTTCTTCTTTTTCTTCTCCTCTTCATTATCCTGTTCTCCGTCACTCTCCTTCTCCACCTCATCCTCCTCATCATCACTGGAGGAGGAGTCCAGGATCTGACTCATGTCCATCTTCCACAAATCTGGAACCTCCCTGCTCTTCAAGAACGTCTGGGCAGCTAAAAAACCTGGAGGAGGGAGATGGAGGACCAAGATGGGGGGGGGGGGGGTTAGAGAAAAAGTTAAAGTATTAAAGGATGGAGGAGGGAGAGGAGGAAAAATAAGAAAAATTATGAGAACAATCATTGGAAGATAAAAAAAAAAGAGAAAGCAGTCAGTGTAGAGCTCTGACAGCCGAGTCAGGGCCTCCTGGTGCAACTGCTGTGTCTCACCTCTACTGCTGGAGAACTCGGACCTGATGATGCTGGAGGAGGTGACAGCGCGGACGTGTCTCCTCGCCACCGTGTAGCTGCAGGACAACAGGAGACAGGAAGCAGGAGAGTGAGGCTACTGTTCGGTTTAGAATCAAAGATCAATTCAATAAAGAAAAATAGAAAACTCACAACTTGGCATCTCCGAAGGATCGGACCAGACACTGATCCCTCTTCACCACCAGCTCATCGTTACAGCTTGGAGACACCACCTGAGGGAGTGAACACACCTGAGTGACATCATCGCTCAAAGCCAATCAAATCAGAGCCTGCACTCCGGGATGCGTGTATGTGCGTGCTCACCAGGGCCAGGTACCAGCTGCCTGGCTGCTCGTCCTCGTTCTCGATGCAGGATACTTTCCCCAACAGCTCGTCATTCAACCTCCTCCTGTCCTCCTCCTCATCCTCACTGGACGAAGACTCGTTCTCCTCATCAGCCCTGAGAGAGAGAGAGAGAGACAGACAAACAGTTAGTATTCCTTTCTCTAGAGCTGTGCATCTTCACTCGTCTCAGTTTTCTATTTTACTGCACATGGCTACTTTTTCAGAAACAGAGACTGTCTTATAAATATGAACTCCTTTTGTATCATTTAAAAAGTTTGTGTGTGTTTAGTTGATTAGATGAGAGTATTATGTTATTAAGTCTCTGTGTTCTCTTCTCAGGATGTTGTATCTCTTAGCTGTGAGCTTTGTTCAGGGTCAGTTTTGTTTCTGTCCTTTTTATTTCAGACAAGTTGTGTTAAGTTGCTACTGCTGTAATGTAACGTTTCACATTAAAAGCACTTCAAGATACAGATTTGCAGCTGTTTTTATACTGGCTGTTTACATCCATCCCCGGCTGAAGCCTCAACCCCACTTAACGAGCTGGCTGATATCATTCATAAATATGAAAGCTCCCACCCTGAAGCAGTGATTATAGCAACGGGAGATTTCAATCACTGTCTTCTTAAATCAGACCAATGTTAGAGCAACATAAAGGCTGCTTATCGGTCCCTTCCATCATCGGTCCATTCTTCCATCACTCCCCTATGTACAGAGGAACAGATTAGTCAAACTGACTGGACGCTCTACTCAATGCTGGTCTAAAGTTGCTGAAACTCAACTACAAGGGTGTTTTGATGTCACTGACTGGTCTGTTTTTAAATCTGATGACCTGGAGGAATATTGTGATGCTGTCACTGGATATTGACTTCTGCATAGACCTGTATCCCCCGTCAGGTTGTTAAAGGGATACTTCACCCGTTGAAACATAAATCTGTATTGACATTGTGTCATATATGTAGTAGAAATGTGAACTCAATTCTGAAGTTGGTGCCTTCTTGGCCGAGAAAAGGCAGAAAGTGTCTTTTTGGCTCACATGGGTGAAAGACACCAAATCTCAGAATGCACAGCACTGCCGGCCACTCCCACTAAGGTCCTCTTGGCTGCTCCTGTCGGCAGCCAAAACCACTAGATTTATATTTTTTCGCCATTATCAGCTTTCTCCATAGAGCCTGTTAGCATAGCTTCCAAGCAATATGGCGCACGTTAAGTTTTGATTCTGGGAGTGAGTTCCCACCCACTGATCTGCGATAGATCTGTAGCTTCAGTGGTCGAAAATATGAGGAACTAGCGTTGTAATTTCACACCGCTAACCACAACAGCTTCCGATGACGCAAAATGACGATTTTGCATCATCGGAGGCTCCTTTTCAGACTTAGAAATACAAAGATTTCCCATCTCAGGGGAAAATGAGGGTGGGATGCACGACCATTCAAAAATACTACCAGGTTTCTAATGATACAACGCTTAATGCAAATGGGTGAAGTATCCCTATAAGCAACACTCCAACTAAAAGCCCTGGCTCAATAATGATGTCAGACTTAAACTAAAGGGCCGTGCCACTGCTTTTAAATCTGGTGATGTCACTAGCTATAAGCTGGCCAGATATTTGCTGGAGTGGTCGATAAAAGCAGCTAAGCGCTCCTACAGAGAACGGATCGAGGGTCACTTCACTGGTAGCGACCCCCGTCGCATGTGGCAGGGTTTAAACACCATCTCTTCTTACAAACCCAGAAGCCACACTGCAGCTCATGATCTTTCGCTCCGAAATGAACTGAACACTTTTTACTCCAGATTTGATGCTGCAATCACTGAGGCTTCTGTATTCATCCCTTTCAATCCTAGTGACCAGAGAAAGCTGTCAGTGACAGTACAGCAAGTCCAATCCACTTTGTCCAAGACCAAGCCTCAAAAAGCCGCCGGTCCCGACTATGAACACTTAGACAAGGGCAAATCCTATGTCAGGATACTCTTCGTAGACTACAGTTCTGCTCTTAATACTATCATCCCTTCAAACTGCAGTGCCTTGGTTTGTGTGATGCTATCTGTGAATGGACTTTTAGTTTCTTGACTCAGAGACCTCAAAGAGTTCCAATCGGAGATTGTCTGTCTGAACTTGTTCTAAGCACTGGGTCACCGCAAGGCTGCATTCTAAGCCCATTGTTGTTCTCCTTGTGTACTTATGACTGTACTGCTTCACATCATAATAACGTTATCGTAAAATACGCTGACGATACTACGGTCATTGGTGTGATGAATCACCCCATGATGATGATCAAAAGGTACAAAACTGAGTCAGGTGGAGTGAGTTAACAATCTAATCCATAAACGTCTCCATCACCAAGGAGTCAGGATCTTTTTCAAACCGGCCACTACACCCTCTCCCTACCCACTACCCCTGTGTCTGCGCGTCCTCGCGGAGGGTCCGCCATATTAAGTTTGTCCCAAACCAATTAGCTTTTCTACTTTTGATGTCTTTGTGAAATCTCAATTCAACAACAAAAAAATACACTTTTTGCTGCTCTGATGTTCAACAATATTATCCTTGTCTTTGCATTAATTTAGGACACCCTGTTCTAAAAATAACAATAAATGAACTTAAATTATAAATTACAATAAACAATGTAGGCTCAATCTAATAGTTTTGTTATAAGTCTACACTAATATAACTAAAGAATAAGAATAATCTAGGTTACATAAATATTTCTACAGAATGCATTAGCTACAAAAAAAAAGCTGTTCCCGCAAGTTGCCGCTGAGAAACCATGGTAACACTCAGTTCCTGTTTCCACCTGAGAGAGGGAAGTTGTTCCCAAAGCCTGCCGCTGTATTTGTACCCTACACCTTGATGAAGGGGACTTCATTCAGTTGCAAGTGTGACTTCTAACGGAGTGCACTCCGTCTTGGAGGGGGAGGGTGTAGGGGTTGGTTTGAAAAAGGGCCTTAGTCTTTGACTTCAGACAGGAAAGGATGTCCCATCCTTCCATCATCATAGACGGTGAGGCAGTTGAGATGGTGAATAGTTTTACATTCAATCAATATTGGAGATGCTTTTGAAAAATAGAGAGTGGTTAGAATGCAGAAAGGTTTACAGACCAATGCAGAGCTGGATAAACACTGAAGCTTCTACTGCTCCTTTAAAGAAATCGTTGTTTGATCTCTTGAAATGGATTCAAATAGGTTGTACACATTTGAAGCGTCTGAAATGTGTTCACTGTGGGATCATTTTAATCAAACTAACAGCAGCTGCAGTTCATTATAAAATCAGATCCGTGATCATGACACACGTTTGTCTCTACATGAAGAGTAAACACTCACACGGCCTGGGACGAACGGCGTCCTCCTCGATTTGTCTTCTTACCGATGACCGGCGTGCCGAAGTGTTCGGGGTTGGTCAGCGGCAGCTGGTCCAACGTCTGAGTGGACAAGAAGACGATGACGTAAGATCTTAACATGTTGTGACACCTTCATGGTGGAAGGATACAGAAAGTAGTCCCTCCCTCTGAGAGACACTTACCTCACTCTCTGCAAAATGTCTCTCTCCCTTCAGACACAGGGACGTACGACGAAGAGTCTTCTCATCTCCATCATCAAACACTGAAACACAAACACGTTTCAGTGAGGTCACTTCCTGTCCTGACCTGCAGCCCTCGTCAGTGAGTGAACTTTGATTCATATTATTAGAAATTTGTATAGCGTCTTTTTAATGACGTTTAGCTTTGACCGATTGTGGAGGGCCGACATTCTCACAGGCGTGACCTTTGACATGTAGTAAGAGGAGACCGAGGACTGAGACAGCCTGCTGAGTCTTTAATATTTCATTTGAATTACATGTGAAATATCTGATCGATGCTGCGTTCAGGAGCTCCTCAGAAGCTCCGGTTTTCACATTTGGGAAGTCGTTCTTCAGACGTGTTTCAGTTTGTAAAGTCAGAATGCTGTAATAACAAAGAGAGTGGGCGTGACCTAAAAGAGGATATGTGAATGTTTTTGTTTCATGTTTAGGCTAAAAGTTGATGTGAAATCTTTGAATGAATAAAAAGTAACATTAATCATCTTTACGCTCCACGGGACGCCGAGTATCATGTCAAGGCAAATCACTTCTAAAACCCTGTGTCCACCTGGCCTTTTTATCCAGGCAGAAAGGTGCTGGCTCTGCGCTCAGGTTGTGTGAGTTTCAGATACACCCTGTGACATCAGGAGGTGATCCGTCAGTGTGGACCAATCAGAGAGCAGGATCATAGACTCACCCACAGTGTAGAGGCTGGCGTCCGTCAGCTTACCGATGACGCCTTCACTGGACAGACCCTCGTTAGTCTTCACTTCCACAGTGGAGCCCACCTGAGAGAGCGCACCACACAGAGGCCATTTATTAATACTCTTTACAGCCTCATCTCACTGTTACCATGGCAACACCTCATCATCATCACTGTCTTACCCTTAGAGGCCCTTTGACCTGGTCGTCCTGCACCACCTGGGAAGTGCTGTCACCTTTCAGGGTTACCTGCAGACACACAGAGAGGAGGAAGAGGAAGAAGAGGAGGATGAGAAAGAGGAGGTGGAGGAGGAAGAGGAGGAGTTATTTCACTGACCAATACACTCCATCTGAACCTCTCATCATTAACCTCTGTCATTAATCTAATTTCTGTGAAGACTCAGAAGGACAGACTGCAAGAGGCGTTACATCATGAAAGAGTCCGGCAGAAGTTTAGTGTGACTACAATATAATCACGAGAGACAAGGGAGGACTGTAGACATGGTGTTTTGTTTGTTTTAGGCACAGATCATCAGTGCAACTCTTTTCTGAAACTTGTATCCATATATCTACAATAGTATCTACTTTCCTCTATCCTACAACAACTTCCATGAAACTTTATTAACAACTGTCAACGCTCCGTCCCGATTTCACTCGTACAGTGTGAGCTCTCCGGCCGTACAGTGTGAGCACATAAATCGCAAGGTCTGGTCGGGCGTCGTAAACGATTCAGTCGTATAGTGTGAGCTGACATGCCACCCCGACTTTTACACAATCGGGGGACGATCGTACAGTGTGAGCTGGGCTTTACCCAGGGATAGACTCCTGCTGTGAGCTGCATATTTGAACAACCAGATCAGGAGGATTTCAGGAGCAGTCCTCCTGTTGTATCTAGAAATGTTCATAAGTGTGTACATGTAAAAACGACGTTAGAGAGTGGGTGGGGTGATGTTTTTATATCCTGCACCGGCGCCCCACAGTGGTGATCTCCGTACACATAATTAAAGAGCTTCATCGTGTTTCTGCTCATCAGTTTTTCTCTTTGACAGAGAATCTGTCAGACAACATGAAGCATCGATATGAAGGTCAAAATATTCCTCATATTGTCAGACTCTGTTCCTTCAGCTGCCTTCTGTCCACGTCATGTGCTTCCTGAGACGACATGATGCAGACAAATATCCGCTCTGATTGGTCACACTCACAGGAATAACGCACTGCAGCCTCGTCCAGCTGCTGATGTTCACTACAAACGTCTTCTATAATGTTAGTCCTGAGGACACCAGCTGTGTGTGTCCTCAGGTGTGACCCTGGAGTGTGTAGCACTTACCTTCACCTTCACCATGCGCTTCACAGTCTTGATCTTGGCCTCGCAGAAGGCTCCTCTGTACTTGGCACTGACATCCGTCCCCACTGTCAGGTAGGCAGGCTCGTCTGCTGCCTAAAACAAACACACACACGACATCAGGACCCAAAGACTCCCAGCATGCACTGCAACAGATGAGCTGCAGTTCTCAGGTTTATAAACTTTGACATTAAATCATCCTTCAGACAGTGGTTTGTCATCCACACTGACTGAAGAGGTGTTCACTGACCCTGAATAAAATATGATGTTCTGTTATATAGACTTCATGGGCAGATACACCTTTAATAACTGTCAGGTTGTTGAAATGTCCCATGATGCCTCACTGCCGGGTGTCTGTTCGAATAGAGAAAGCTGAAAGAGCTCTTCAAAGATCTGATCATCAACATACATCTCAGTCTTTAGATGCCTCAATTTTAAGTCTGATCCCATTGAAACTAAAGACTAGTAATAATGGCAGTCAGAGGTCACCACAGACTATATATGATATGATTCTACTAAAAGTGGAATAAAATACATCTGTTTTATTACCATGGCAACAAAAAACATCCTACACATCCATAATAGGTCATTTATGGTTTTTAATAACCAAACAGGTAAATAACTCGTTAAACTTCAGGCTGATGAAGTGAACACTGTTTGAAGAAAGGTTTTTATGTTTTTAACTTTTCATTCATGGACTTTTTCTGTTCAGTTTACTTAGAATCCATGTTTGATGCAGCTCTGTAACTTCATGTTGCGCGAAAGCCAACAGCAGCAGAATAAAGTGAATCTGTGATATTAAAAAAAAGTACTGGATCGACATTCAGAACGTTTGATTAATCTAGTTCAGTCAGTCTTATAAACACAGATTTGTGCATTTTCCAACTCAGGAAACTTGCTTATCCCATGTGACATGAATGCAGGAAGAGTTCTACCTCGTAGTTCAGCTCAGAGAATAAAAATATAAAACATGATTGAGGTATGTGAGTGTCTTTGAAAGTCTGTGAGGGTCAGTGGGAGTCTGTTAAGGTCTGTGAGAGTCTGCTAGGGTCTGTTAAGGTCTGTGGGAGTCTGTTAAGGTCTGCTAGGGTCTGTTAAGGTCTGTGGGAGTCGGTCAGTAAGAGTATCTGTTAAGGTCTGTGAGAGTCTGTTAGGTCTGTGAGGGTATGTTAAGGTCTGTGAGGGTATGTTAAGGTCTGTGAGGGTATGTTAAGGTCTGGAGTGGAGGTGACCATGACTCTGATTACCTGTAGATGATCCCATACTGAGTATTGATAAGAATATCTGTCTCAGACTGAATTCAGAAAGGAATGATTGCTTTGTATAAAACAAAGATTTTAACATGATGGATGACTAACACGATGGACAGATCATCGATTGTTGATACATAAACAGACTTCTGATGTCGGCCCTGATGGGATCACCCTGAGGACGAACAAACTAATTAAGTGAAACTAAAAACGACTCAATCAGCGTCTCTTCATGTTGTCATGGTATCAACCAGGTATCAGTGTATTTAGATGAACATTACTATGTTATAAAACTTTATAAGTATGGGGTGATGACACCTCTATCTGTGGTTTGTTATACAGACATGACCTGTAAACACTGTTGAGTCTTGTACTGGTCAGATCCCAGTAAAGGCAAGTTGAGAGCAGGATCTGTGTGAGCAGGTCAAACACTCACCTTCATCTCTCCGGTTATTTGAGGGAGTCCAGCTCGAAAGGATCCGGATCACTGAAACACACAGGAGGACACATGAGAGCTTCATCAGGAGGCAGTGGACACACAGGGACAGGGTGTCAAACAATGCTAAGCTAACAAACTAGCTGCTCACTTATGTTAGCTCTGGCATTCTTTCTGCCCCCTCCCTCCCTCCCTCCCTCCTCCCCGGATCAGATCAAATATGTGGCACCAACAGCTAACTCCAACACGCTCACAGCGTTCACTTCACCCGGACACGGAGGGACTGTTTCAGAGAGCTGGGGGTTAAATATTAGCGGGTGTGAGGGGGGACACGGGGCGGCTGCGGGTGAGGAGAACATCGCGGTCTGAGGAGCGCTCCTTCCCGCTCCGCTCCTCTGAGTCACTCCGCCATCACAGCTCGCCATGTCAGCTCTGCTAGCTCAGCTAACTTCACCCCCCCACCCCCCAAACCCGCCTGCTACACACCAGCAGCTGTGGGGGAGAACCAGTAACACATTACCGAGTCCCAGCACGAACAAAGTACAAACAGAAGCAGTTTAAAGCGGGGTGAGCTGGCGGAGGAGCGGGTCTTCACTCTCCGGTCCGGGGCTAAATGTAGCTAGTTTGCTAACTAGCGACAGAACAGCTAGTTTGTGATCATCTGGCGATTTAAAGCGTCGAGCACATTACAGCAGCTTCCGCTCGCAGGACGTACTAAGTTTGTACCGAGCCAAGCGGGACGGTGTGACACTCGACGGAACAACCTCTGCTGTGGGTTTATTTATTTTTTAATTGTGGCGTTTCTTCCACAAAGGCGCACAAGCTTCACATTTCTTCACTGCAAAAACAAGCCGACTGTCTGCCATTCAATCCCCAGCCTGCTCGCTACAACAGCGGCTAACTGCGACCATCCCGGCCCGACTGTGACACCCGCCCCCCCGGCTCCGAGCCCCGCAACCGCCGCAGATTATCCCCGGTTTCGGTTTTAGCTCTGTTCGGGCACATTTAGATGGATTTTATACTCACATACTCGGACGCGGCTGCTTCCCCTCTCACTCGCTGTGAAGCGATACACGAACAACAAGCTGTTGAGCCCCGAGCTCTGTTTCCTGGTCTCTGATTGGCTGTGGTGACAGCGGTGGTCGAAATGGAGTATTCCGATTGGCTGAGTGATTCCTCGATTATTATTGGACATACCTCTTCTTGCTTCGCAGTTGGGTGATACGAACGCGGCGCCACGAGGGAAATGACGCCATCTGCTGAATAATTGTCCAATAAGAGGTGAGTTGGAAGAAAAACCCGCCACCTGAGATCTTCATTGGCCTCGCTCACTTTGTGCCCAACAGCGGCGCGTCCCTATTGGTTGAGCGGGCTTCCTTGTCTGTAATGACGCGGCAGGAAGCCCTGCCCGGATACGTGCCGGAGAGCTGTAAACCAAACCCTATTCAAAAAATCTTCAATTATTTGACATCGTTTATTGACAGGACAATAAACTCTATTAAAAGCAGTTTAGAAAACATGCACATTACTTTAATATTTGCTCACAAAGCAGAAGTCATCATAAAAAGTGCAACATTAACACCGGTTTACCACTGTGTGTCAATGACAATAACTGGAAAGAGAGGTCAAACACAGAACTAAAGTTTAATTTGTGTTATTAAAAGCGCTCCTTTATACATGACAGGTATGCCGAAGGTTAATGATGATATCCTGACGCAGCTTAATGATCCTATTTTTTTTCCATCACATAAATAACTCGACTAAGACCGCTGTAAACACTGAGTAGACATGTTTCTAAATTAGGTTCCGTGGTGCCCGCTTCTATACGTGAGACGTCACGTATCGGAGCTTGTGTTGAAGCAGGCACCACAACAAAACGCTCCACTGAAGTTTTTAAAGACTCAGACGGTCAGTGAAGGAGCCGATCTGAGACCTGAGGGCGGAGGTCAGGCGGTAAACACACCGTTAAAAAGCATCACCGAGACTAACGGAAGGGTTAGCTGAAGACGCTCGGTGTTTGTGGCGCCGTTTGTAAAGAGACGAGGTGGGCGGGAACAACAGAGCTCTTACGTAACAGGAAGAGAGTGACGGCAGAGCCATATATGTCATGTTCCTCTGTGGAGGTTATTTCTAAACACATGCAGAGATGGCTGCTGCTCTGTTCAAGTTTACAGCTCATCATATTCATATTGAGCTGATCTTAACACTTCATCAAAGTAAATAACGTTTGATTGTTGTATAAATAAAGCTCATAATCTAATATCCATGTCTTTTCACCTTCTCATGTACTTGTTATTTTGTCTACCAGTGTTTCACAGACTCATGTTTATTTACAGGTAACAATCAGCTGACCATCAGAAGGAAAAACCAACACACACAAACTGTTCTTTAAGTTTTTATTCTCAAAGCTGAAATCCATCAAACCAAAAGAAAAACAAGCACAAGAATGTGCATGAACTATAAAACATAAAAAAGGTTTTAGATGAAGAGTGGGTGTGTGTGTATGTGGGGGGGGGGGGGTCCAGTGCTGAATTTACATGTTGTCTTCATCCGAGTCATCCTCCTCCTCCAGAGAATCCTGAAACACACAAACATTGCCGTCAGCTGACTGAAGCTGGGTGTGTTAGTTACACCGTGTTCTCAGAACGCTAGCGTCTGATATGGCGCATTGCTCAATTGCTGTGAACACTGCATCCATGATGCTCGCTGTTGACTCAAATCACAACACCAAGAGGCTCGTCAATAAACGGCTCGCTGCGAGGGGAATAACGTTTTTTTCAGGTGTTGACACAGGTCAACATCTCAATCATGATGTGGATATTATGAATGCACTACTATCTCCACTTTGTACAACAAGCTCTGCTGAGGGAGGAGAGAGTCAGTGCCTCGTAGAGCGCCCGTGTTCCTCGTCCGTGAACATGACCACAGAAATGAAAATAGAAACAGCGTGTTGACGTAAAAACGCTCTGCTTCTCTGGCAGGCTGATAGGACGCTCAAATAGGAAACAGTTGAATGAAGATGATTTTCTCACTGAGGCTCGCTCACGTTTCACGCTGTTAGGTCAATAAAAAAAGGTTAAAACACTTTTTGATACCACGTGTTTGAAAACGTTGTGATAACCGAACTTATAGGGATTAGGCTAAACAACGTTACAAGTTGTGTGCAGCAGGCCGGTAAGAGTGAGTAACCATGGTGACTGTCTGTCTGTCAATCAACGATGTCCCGGCCCCTCTATGAATTAAACTCTTCTGTCAGTAAAACTTACTTTGATCATGTGTCACAGAATGAACACATTCTGTATTATATATAAACAAAACTAAAGTTAGTCAGCTGTAGGAACTCTGCAGGGCTAAAATAGAACAGAAACACAAGAACTCAAAGTCTACATGTTTTTAAATGAATGCATCACTGCGTGAAAATGTTCCTGATGAACATAAAAAGAGGACACATTAATTCATAATTTCAAAGTGATGCAGAAAACCTTTAAATTGTGCATAAATATTGATCAAATCGAGGGAAAGACGTTTCTGATGCTAAAAATGTTCTGGGTGGGAGACCTCACAACCTCCTACAAACATGTTTTTCAAATAGATTAAACTTGTCAGCTCAGTTTTTGTGCATCTAAAAACATTATATAGGGAAATAAGTTTGGTTGAACTGGTCAGTAACTTGCAAATTAGTCTTTAGATCAATATGGAATTTTTTTTGATAAAATCATGATCTTGCCAGAAAAGAAATAGTGATATAATATTTTTTTCCATATCGCCCACCTCTACTGCACACCTTCTACACCATGCCAATGTTTTTGTACGCTTCAGACAGCATGCAGTCTGTCTGCTGTTTTAAACAATTAACATAACAAATCACACAATGCTGGATCTCTAGGACTTCTATTTGTTTTTGCCGTGGTAACAAACAGGTATCAATATCATTAGATGTGTACTTGCATGAAAGTTTACAATAGTGTGTCTCACCTTGGCATATTTCTCAGCTTCCTCTCGGACGTCTTTGGGTACCAGCACATGTCGTCCATTCGTGACTGAGGAGAGGAGATGGACAGGAGGAGACATTTAGGTGTTACCATGACAACAAGAGCTTCATCATGAAGAGGTGACAGACCTGGATTAAACATAGTGCTACGTTTACCTGTTCAGGAGAGACCCAGCTCTAATCCTTACAATAACCATTCTGTGTGCTTGTTTATGTGAGTTCAGCTCTGTGATTGGTCAGACCGCAAAGAGGAAGTGACATCACAGGAGTTCAGTAGGCTGAGTGAAAGCTCGCTGACTGTGCCGATCAGAGAGAGTGATCTGTGGCCAGATTAGAGAAAAACATGTCTGTTGATCTAAAGCAGGGGTCTCCAACCTTTTTTCATCTGAGAGCTACTTTCAAAAAATTAAAGTGGCCAAAGGCTACTTGCATCAAATCGCTTGCATTTATTTACATAGCTCAGCTAAATGAAGCTACTGTTTGTACATGTGTGAAATTGCAATAAGCCAATGCTTATCAATAATCTTAAATTCACATCAATGTCCAAGAAAAAATTAGTACTTCCTATTTGTTTTTAATGGGCCAAATATATGAATAGTGGGAAGAGGTGCATTTACCGTTGTCAGATTTTTATTTTTAACACAGTCGGTCAACCTATAGGCAAGCTACTAAAAACCTGCCCGCGAGCAACCCTTTGGAGAACCCTGATCTAAAGAAAAGCTGCCTCTCCTTAACCCTAACCATCACCATGGAAACAGATTCTGGACTTATGGTAAGAGTTTTGTCTTTGAATCAGCTGTGAAGTGATGTCATTCACTCCTGTGACAAGATGTGAAGTAAAAAAAACAACCTGGAAGTAGCGTACGAAGAATCAGAGTCGTCTACACAACACTATAATGATAATATCTGTCTTTCTATCAATGCTACGTGTAGTTGAACAGAATCACAATCTGAACTAAAGAGTGGAGAAGAACATACTGGAGAACAGGAAACATGCAGCAGCAGGTTCATTAGAGCACAGAGATGGTAGAGGTGGCGTGCAGACAGTCTATGGTCATGCAGCGATCACAGGGAATAAACGTAACCACCCCCTCCCACTCGCTCCAGGTGAATTCTCCTGATTATATCCTGCTGCGTTCTCACATCAGCTCACTCTGACTTTCTGCAGAATAAATACGAGGAGGCTGGAGGAGAAACTCAAACATTCAGCTGTTTGTGTTCACACATCGCGCTCAGCATGAAAACATTCAGGAGTTTAGTGCCAGAGTGAACACAGTATGTCAGCTTTCATTTGTTTGAATGATCTAGTCAGTTTGTTCATTAATCACTTGAACTAGTTTCACACTTCCTCCTTAAGAATAAATATGTATTACATGATCAAAAAACTCTGACTCTGGGGCGCACTGGTGGCGCAATGGTTAGGGCGCGCTCCATGTATGAAGGCTATCGTCTCGAGCGGGAGGCCCAGGTTCGCTTCCACCCGTGGCCCCTTCCGCATGTCATTCCCCACTCTCTCTCCCTGGTTTCCGACTCTATCCACTGTCCTGTCTCTGCATTAAAAAAAAGGGGCACAAAAGCCCAAAAATAAATCTTAAAAAAAAAAAGAAACCTCTGGCACCATGAATGCCTAGTGGTTAGCTTGCCCAACATCACACAGACACACAGACAGGTAAACAAGACACACAGCTCACCCTCTCCGACCCAGCTGAGCTCCAACTCGAAGGCTTTGTCCTTCACCTCATCATGAACGATGTAGATTCTGAAGAAAGAGAAGAGACGGAGAGTTAATCAGACAGAGGAAAGACAGAACAGACACAGACAAACAGAAAAAGGACATACAGAGGACAGACAGTAAAAAGAGTAAAAAGAAAGACAGGTGAGACAGTGAGACATCAGTAGAAGTATAAATTAAGAAGTATGTCAGAGTTTAAAGACTGTGTCAAAGTTACTTCAGGAGTTTATTATGAAACTCTTCCTATGATCCACTTCCTTTACAGCTACATTAACACTGTGAATACACAGAGTTACCTTAAACACTATTCACTGTCTTCAAACACATCCTGTTCTCACATCAGTGTTACACCACAGAGAGACTGGAACTGAACAACTCAATCCAGCACACATCTTTACATCGAGCACTAACTGGAGTTCAGTCCTGAGGCTGATCATGTGACTCTCTACAGACTGAGGTGAAGACATGATGTCCAATCAGAGCAGTATCATTACTTAACAGTCTTTATCATCTCTACTTTATGTCACAAGTCTGCTCTCTGTCTGTTTTTATATGATGGGAGAGAGAGCGAGAGAGGGAGACAGAGACACAGAGAGAGGGAGAGAGAGATAGAGGATTGGAGTCTGGCTTCTGGACTCCTTTATAGAACCCATTTTTCTGTATGGTTGTGAGATCTGGGGTCCTCTTGCACACTAAGATTTTTCTAAATGGGACAAACACCAAATTGAGACTCTGCATGCAGAATTCTGCAAATCCATCATCCGTGTCCAACGGAAAACCCCAAATAATGCACGCAGAGCAGAATTAGGATGATACCCTTTAATCATCAAAATTCAAAAGAGAGCTTTTAAATTTTATAACCATTTAAAAGAAAGTGACCCTGACACGCTCCATTACAAAGCCCTGACCTCCAGAGAGTCTTCAGAGAGCTGCCCCCTCAGACACCTGGTTCTGGGACTGTACTCCCAAGCAGAGCCCTCAGACAGAAACCCAATCAGAATTAACCAAAGTATTAAAAAACAAAAAGAAAACTATTTAACACATTGGACAGAATCAACCAAAAAACAAAGTAAATTAGAATGTTATCTGACCCTAAATAGAGATAACACAGTGGCAGAATATCTGAGCACTGTGACTGATCCAAAGCTGAGGAAATCTTTGACCACGTACAGACTCAGTGAACACGGCCTCGCCATCGAGAGAGGACGCCATCGACAGACCTGGCTCCCCAAAGAGGACAGAGTCTGCACCCACTGCACCCAGCATGAGGTGGAGACAGAGCTCCACTTTTTAACCACCTTGTCCTCTGTATCAGGACATCAGAGACACATTCTTCCCACTCATCACAAACACACACAAAGGATTTCACTTATTGGACGACGAGCACAAACTAGTGTACCTGCTGGCTGAGGTACAACAGTGTGCAAACATTGCAGCACATTATGTGAACTGCTGCGACCAGAAGAGAGCGTCCAACAGCTCCAAACCCCCGTGAACAAAACATACATTCCATCTGTAAATAACTGTACATACACACACCACAGAGCTGTACATACACCTTTAGTCTTTAAAAAGATAATCTCTTCAAATCATATGTATATTTTGTATTTCTGTAAGTAATCTGAAATAATCTGTATATATTTTAAAAAGATAAATGAAATTATTATTTATTTATTTTCATTCTTCTTATATTTAAAAAAACAAAACATAAACCTGCACAGCTCTGTTAGTTAAATATTTAATCTTTGGTGTTCTTTAATTGTACGTAATTTTTTGTTTTATTTTGACTTAAGCATTAGCAATGTTAAAGTATGTTTTCCAATAAAGCCCTTTGAATTGAATTGAAAGCGAGAGAGAGCGAGAGAGAGCGAGAGAGAGCGAGAGAGAGCGTGCGAGAGCGAGAGCGAGAGAAACAGAGACAGAGAGAGCTCAATGCGAGTTTAAAGTTCCTGTATCCTGACGACACGATGCTGCTCTGATGTGTGAAGTCGTGACTGAGAGTGTCAACATTCAGCAGCAGAGTGAGGCGGTATCTCGACCACAAACATCTGGACTGATGTCAAGTTCAGTCATTTGTTCAAATGTTCCCTCACACAAACTAAAGAAGTCACTCACATGTTACGGAGAGCTTCACTACTCGTCAATAAGGAGATGCATGAGAGACGCTCGCTGACACAGACAGGATGTCAGGCGGAGCTGCTGCTAACGTTCATGTCATGACCAATCAGAGACTGATTAACATTTGAAGAATAAATTCAGACACTGAGATAGAGAGGGCGGTCAGGCAGACCATTTGATGGATTCCATCTGAGTTTCATACATTTCTAGAGATCCAAACAGTACCAGCATTCAGCTAAGTCATACTGAGATCTGATTTCAGGTCCGTACAGCCTGGCCCTGACCGTCAGCTTTGAGCTCAAACCTGCAGGCTGCCGTTTCATTTGTCCAGAGAGAGAAACGTTCATAATCAGTCTCAACACTAATTCATCACACTGTGATATAAAGGTGGCTTTATCATCCAGATATGTGTTCAGTGTTAATAAAGGTTACAGTGTTGTTGTTTACTCACATTTTGGCGACCTCTTTGACCAGCTCCCTGCAAGTCATCTCCTTCATCTATGCACACGCACAGCAGAGGAAATAAACACACACAGGGTTTGATTTCCACATCTTACATCATCATGTGCGGTAAAATCTGTTGTATCAGACACAGTTTAAATACTTATTCATTCATCTAAAGAGTGCGCAGCTTCCTAAATACCTGTATGAATAACACACCAGTGTAAAATGCTCAGACATGCACTGTTACTACAGCAAGTGCAGCCGCCATCATGACACCATCTGACGCCATTACCCCTTTTTCATTGTGTATTGCAAGATTTGCTGGGATACATGGCAACGCAGACCAGGCTGGCAGCGACACTTTTTTGTGTGTACACCCTATGTACAGAGGATGTAGTCCTCAAAGCGGGCAGCCTAGGTTTGAATCCGCCACAGGAAGAATATCAAACTTTTTAAACTGTTTATCATAAAGATGCAGGTTGTTTAAATTTGATTGGTTAAGGTTCAGACTCACCTGAAGCTTCTCGATTTCCGTCTTTGCTGCTTGTTTTGCTTTCCCAATGGAACAGCCCCAGTAACCCTGAAAACACACACACACACACACACATTCATGACTTTACTTTAGTTTGAAACACTAATATTGAAATAATAAAAACACTAATAATGCAAGACCTGCTGTATCTTCCTGCTCGGTCACTGTGAGAAACATGTCTGAACTAAAGTTTACAAACACCATCAGTGTGAAAACTGACACCTTAGACAGACAACTGAAGAAGCCTGACATGCTAAACACGCTAGGTGTAACCATCGTTCCAGAGCTATTGGGAGTGATCGAACAAAACTTACATCAACCATATTTCTCTGAATAAGTCAGGATTTCTTAACTTGCTGTGATGTAACACCCCTTTGCTCTGACATAATTGTGTAGTATCACATCACCATGACAACACCCTGGGTATAAACATGTGTGTGTGGTGACTCACGTATGAAATGCCTGACGGGTCGACCATGTAGAGCTGAGGACCGTCGTCTTTGTCATACGAGCCCAGGATGAAACTATGGACAAAAAACAACACCATCACCATCATCATCATGAACAGAGCGAAAGACTGAACACTGCATCATCAACACTTCTCCTCTGCAGTCTGTTTATAATAAGGAGGAAGAGTATAATCAAGCCCTCCTCTTCCTCCCTGATCCGACGACTCATCTCTTCAAACATAAACAATATATATATATATATATATATATATATAGAGAGAGAGTAATATATCATTAAGTAAGGTCTTTTACCTGCTTTTGGTAAAGTGTCTCGAGATAACACTCATGATGAGTTGATGCTATACAAAATAAAAATTGATTGACTGATTGAAACAGTCCCTGACCTCCTCCCTCAGTGTGTATCTGTATCTGTCAGCTGATGTCACAAACAAACATGTTTCAGACTCACCTGCAGCCAAACGGCCGCACGGCGCTGTAGAGTGTGTAGGCGTGGACGTACATCGCCACTCTTTCTGACAGGTGCTGCAAAAACAGGGGACACTGTTAGCTTAGCATCACACAAACTACAACAACAGGGGACACTGTTAGCTTAGCATCACACAAACTACAACAACAGGGGACACTGTTAGCTTAGCATCACACAAAGTACAACAGGGGGCACTGTTGACTTAGCATCACTCTCCTCTTTCACAGTGCATTATGTCATTCAGGGTCCTAACAAAACCCATAAAGACAAACCTTCAGGGGGATGTCGTGTCCATAGTTTGATCTGAAGCTGGACGCCTCTTCTCTGGCAACATCAGCGAGCGAGCGAGCATCAGCTAACAGACCCGCTACGGCCTAGAGAGAGAGAGAGAGAGAGAAAGTACAAATAAAAGATGTTTCTTAAATACCACAGAGTGAGACTCTGCAGTACAAACAGCTCTTTGATACACTCTGTTCTGATCATAGACACACTGGCTACGTTTACATGTGCACAATTTCTTCAATCTGATTGAAATCATTCCGATTTCACCGTTTACATGGACGCTAAATAAATGATCAGATTATGCCGTGCGTGTTCATGCATTGGCATTAAATCAGAATAAAACCATTCTGACATGCGCAGACTGGTCCCACCTTTCTTATCTGCCGGAAACATCAGAAGAAGAAGCTGACATTTCAGCCTGTGTTTGTAAACAATCAACACTGTCGCAAGCATAGCATCGGAAGAGTCTGCCAGGACCTTGCTTATTAATGTTCTAAAGGCTTTTACTGTCTAAAAGTGATCTTATTGGTTAGATTATTGAATTCAATATTATACTGACATTAACGATAAACTGTAAACATACAATAAATCAGAATTAGATTCTGCCACACTTGTCGGCATGACTTTAAAAAGAGACTGTAATAGTTCTTCTCAGTTATGAGTTCACTTTTATTCTTCTAACATTATAATTTGTCTCACCTCATGTTAAAAATATAGTTTTTTAGGCAGAGGTCAGTAAGTCAGTTTTAATGCTAGCGTGACAACATTAATATCATATGAATTGACAGTTTACAATGAATCTGTTGATATCAAAGATGTAGCTCGCTGGAAAAAGGTGCTAAATATCACTCCAATAGGGACTCATTTTTACCACGATGTAATATGTTTTAATAGGGTCGTATGAAATCGTACCTATGAAAAGAGATTAATAAAATACATTTATAGGATACTTAAAACACAAATATAATCCCAACGAGACTGGTCGGAGAGGGTAGAGCTCGCCGATCAAGAGTGGAGACAAAACTTTTGAATGACACGGCAATCATTCATGACGTTATGCACTCTGATGGAGAGGTATATGGAAAGACGTCACTTCATGTGGGGCAGACATGCGCAGTAAAGATCATTTTATTCCAGTCATGCAGACACGATCAGATCGAGCTGTACATGGATCTTGATCCGAACAACGATCGGCATAAACCACCCCTCTCTTGGAATGAAAATTTATTTTGACTGACATGTTTACATGAAGCATTTTTATTCTGATCAGCCTTTTATTCCTATTATTTGTGTCCATGTAAACGCAGCCAGTGAGTGTGTTTACATGGAGCCACTTCTTTAGTTTGTCCACGCAGTTATGTTTCCAACGTGACCTGACTTGTTCCAATTTATGTGTTGGGAGACTCTCAGAAACCAAAGTAAGGCGTCTACATGCCGCAGTGTCCTGTTTTCTCCAGGTAGAAAAGTCCTGTTTCTCAAAACATTAAATCAGGACATGACATTTATATGAACAAAAACAGGATACTTATAAAACTCGATCAGAACCGGGATACTGAAGTCCAAGTAAACACAGTCAGTCACACATGAAGGTGAAATCATGCGATGCTCTCCTCTTCTTTGACAAAATGTTAAAACGTCAATAAAGTTAATTTAAAGACATGAAGTGATGTCATAGCATACTGTATTTTAAACCTGCTGTTTGGGCAGCAGCTACCACAGTTACCATGGTTATGACCTGACACTCAGAGCTTGATACCGCATGTTTTAAACAATACAACCTCTGTTATTTTAATGATCGATTGTATCAAAAAATTCTGAAGCTTTAATAAATCTACATCGGTGTCATCAGACAGATGTGTATGAGAGGAAGATAACCTCATACATTACAGACCAACCCCTTTACTCTCTCAGAACTGAAAGACTACTTTGGCAACGTTTCGGTACAAAAACAATGATAATGTGTGTTTGTGTGGTTACCATGCCGACGTGTCTGTCAATGTTGAAGATGCGTTTGTTGGAGCCCTCCTCGTACAGTTTGGAAAGCACAAGTTTCTCCACCCCGAACACAACACCATCCTTACAGCGGATCGCTATGGCCGTGCTGAACACACACACAAACACACACAGTTTTGGTGGGGTTTTTCTCCACAGGTAGGGACACCTGTCCTCCGCCGTCTACTCCATGTGTAGTTTTATATTCATCCTTAATGTGATTAAAAATGTATGGTATAAAGTATAAACATGCTGACCTGCTGTTCTCCACCGCCTTCATGGCGTACTCCACCTGAAACACTCGGCCATCTGGAGAGAAGGTGGAGGCTGACAGGTCATACTGCAACACACACACACACACGTTTAGTTTTTATATGGTGTTGTGAACTGCTGAGTCACTGAAGGACATTTCTAACCGAACGAATAATAATTACTATTCATATTTGTTGTTTGTATCTGCTTTAAAAAGAACAATAAAAACCATGAAAGGCTGCCGTGTTCCGTTTTGTTAATTTTAAAGTTCTCTTCATGAAAACTCGGACAGAAATCATGAACTACTTTCCATTAATTAATCATCAAAAGCTACAATAATTTTAAGACTGAGTTAACCTGGTTCATGTGCAGCTCTGTGAGAGTTTAAGATAAATAAATTTAAAGACTTAAATATTATAATGAACTTTACAGGTGATTTAAAGTGTCTCAAACTGACTATAAACTTGTTTTAATGTGTAATTTTAGTAAATTCATGTCATACTCATGATTGTTGCTGCTGGTGTTCCACCTGTATCTGCTATTTTATCTGACTTAAATATACTTGTTGGATCTAAAGAAACCCCGAAAGAATTAAGACTAATCAGTATTTAATTAAATATGTTTAATGTTTGTGTTCAGAGTCTGGACTTAGGCTGACACGCAGAACATCTTAAATCAGTCTTTTTCTGAAGGGGCTTCGGCATGTTCCGTTGTTAACACCTCAATTACAGTTATATTTCCACATTGACTGATTATGTAAAGAAACATAAACATCAATTAATATAAATTGAATTAGTTTAACATGTTTCTCAGTAAACTGAACTTTTAGTTAAATATAATTTAAAGTGTAGGCTGAATACTTTCTGTTTCAGTTTAGCTTCTGTTAGCAGGCCTCGATGTGACTCAGCAGGCTAACGAGCTAGCATGCGGGCTACAAGTTCTATGGAATTAGGAGATATTGTGAATAAATGATGATTATTTTGATATTAAAGGCATTAAACTTTGACACAAAAAAGGGTACGATGACAGTTAAAGAGCAGCTTCGGTTTAAAAAAGCAAAGAAACACTTACCCCGGTCCCGATTGAGCTCATTTTAACTCTGTCTGTGTAGCCGGACGACGGTTATCACAACACTGCTGCGCATGCGTCAAATTACACTGTCATTCATTACACGCGCTTCCGGCTGCTGCCTTCAAAATAAAAGAATCAGTGACGATTTGTTTCTCATAAACAGACTTACAGTGATGTTTGATGTGATGAAAGTATGGATGAAAGCAAGAGCTAAATTACTTTGATTATTTAGAGATGTGAAGGATTGTTTCAAATCACCAAACACTTGATACATCTTTGATTTAAATTAGAATATTTGTTTTTTGGAACTTAGTTTTTATTTCAATTTCATCAATAATCTTCACATTTTGTTTGTAAACATATAGATACAGCTGTTAATAACAAAGTAAATAAAATAAAGATGCAGATATAACTTCCCTCTCTCTTAAAGTGTAAAACTTGTGATAAAGTTAATAAGAAACATAAACGGGGGGTGAGAGGGATTTGTGTGTGTGTGTGTGTGTATTGTAGCATTTGAACTTTCGTGTAATAATAGTAAAAAATCTAATCATATTAACACCTGTTTGGACAGCCGTTATTCAGTAATTTATTGTTTTAAATGATCACAAACTGCAGACATACTTCCTGCACTCTGTCTTAGTTGCACTAATATGTTTTCATCCAAATAAGAATGTTAAGTTCTGTTGATCAGGATTTATTTGATGTCCTGCATGTCCTCCAGGCTGAAGAGGTGAAGGCCATTCGGGGTGCGGCGTTGACATGTTTGACATCACATCCTGTTTACATTCAACACGACATCCCCACTGCTTCTGAAGAGACGTTTAAAAAAATCATGTCAAGTCTGAACCTTGAACTTGGAGAACATTTCAACAGCCTTCATGATGCACACATGTATATGAAGTGACCCTGCCCCCACCCCTCCCCTTCCAATCAGATGTCTCTGTTCTCCCAGTAAAGTGTGACACAGAGTTGTTTAAGAAAAGTGTCCGTAAAGTTTTATTCAGTCTCAGTATGACCAGGTGATTACAGACCTGCTGAAGATTAAACAAATGTGATTTCAGAATCATCTCTTTTTTTTCCTCTATTCGTTGAATCAGAAATGGAAGCTTTGGTCACATAAGAGTGAAAAAACATTCGTGTACAGTGCACTTTAAAAAAGAACCAAACAAAAACAAACAGTTTTCTTTACAGGAAATCAAACAGAGCGACAGAGCGACTGATCGACGTTAAGGCAAACAGAGCGACGCTCCTCCGCCGGCTGGAATGACAGACAACTCAAAGAAACACAGGCTACAGTTAGTGAGGAGGAGGATGATCAAGATTAGCGTTCATTAGTTAACTAATACAAACATATACAAGGCTGTTTATTTAGTGACATTACACTTTAATAAGAACAGGAACAAGAGCCCACTCAAAACAACGACACACACACACTGTCAGATAAGACAGAGAACTGAGGAGCAGGGGGAGGAGCAGAAGGAGCAAGAAGAGGAGGAGGATGAGGAAGAGGAGGAGGAGCAGAAGGAGGAGCAGTGACAGACACGTTAAGAGCTGAACCAGACTTCAGGACTGTTGAACTCTGAGTCACCGAGTCTTGGGGTCGTCATGACACCCGAAGTTTAGATTTTGATGATTCTAGTAAAAGAAATCTAATGATAGAGATACCTGTTTGTCACCAAGACAACAACAACAACAGAATGTAAACTGTACATATATATTATCAACATTTTGTTTCCAAAATGTTTTGTGTGCAATTTTTGTTAACAAGAAACAACTCATTACCCAGTATCAGTCTTCTGTCGTTGTTGCCATGGTAACGAACAGGCATCTATATCGTTGGATTTGGACTGTTATCATATCAAAGTTTAAATTCTGGTGTCCTGACACTCTAGAGGTTCAGATGGAGGGCAGCACAGACTTACGAAGACCTGTTCCTGCAGGAGCTGCACACCTGAGTGACGCTCAGACACCTGACCACTCAGCAAGTTAATCACTTCTAACACAGCAGCACCCCCTAGTGGACATGTTTTTTTAATCATATGAACATCACTTAGGAGGAGCGTGCAGGACTAGTCCAGGTGAGATACAATAACCTGTACAGGTGCTGCAGGTGTGATACAATAACCTGTACAGGTGCTGCAGGTGAGATACAATAACCTGTACAGGTGCTGCAGGTGTGATACAATAACCTGTACAGGTGCTGCAGGTGTGATACAATAACCTGTACAGGTGCTGCAGGTGTGATACAATAACCTGTACAGGTGCTGCAGGTGTGATACAATAACCTGTACAGGTGCTGCAGGACGGGGGAGGAAGATGAAGATGAAGAGGACGGTGTCTGGATACTGATTAAGTCTTTTTTTAAGCCTCACTCTCTCTCTCTCTGGTCCACAACTTGCAGTGTTGATCGTCCATCCGCCTCGGCTCCGCCCCATGATGTGAGTGTACAGTTATAGGGGCGGGGCTGTAGCAAAGGGGCATGTGTCTAGTTGGATGTAGGCGGGTTCGCACAGTTAGGTGTTCCCTTTCAGGACACCCAGACAGCTCTGCAGCAGCTGGAGGTTTCCCTGCCGGAAAGAGGGGCGGAGTCAGACACATTTACAGAGGAAAGAGGGGCGGAGTCAGACACAGGTACACATGTTCATAAAGAGAATAAGGTGTATGGCAGTGATTGGTTACCTTGGCGTGTTTGAGCTCCAGCTCGGCGAGCTCCACCAGGTTCTTCCTGAAAGCCGCAACTCGTCTCGTCTTGAAGTCAATGAGCTCTGAGTTAGAACAGAACCATGTTAGATAACACTCTGTGTTTGTGTGTGTGTAATCTACAGCTGTCTCAGGATCAGGTGTTAACGTTTCAACCTGGGCTCAGACTGGATTTATGCGGGGAAGGTGAAACTTATGTTTTTAGGTGTGAAGGGGACTCGAGGGGACACGGGGGCTGACCTTGCTTGGCCGACTCGGAGATCTTTTCAAACTTGTGGCAGCAGAGCTGCTGGCTGGTCTCGGCCTGGAGGACGTCTCTGTTCTTGGCGCGAGCTTTGTCCAGAGCCTTGTTGGCGTTCTCGTAGTCGACCAGGGAACGGCTCCTCCGGTACAGTAGGTCCTGTTACAGGTCACAAACTTTAAAGGTCACCACACCAAACTCCTGCTGTGATTCAGACCTGAACACATGTAGACTAAAACAGTTGAGTGGTGTTAATGAACCACCAGATTTGAATAATCAATGGGGTTAAAAATACTCAAGCTTAAACAATATATCTGTTCTATAGGACAGGTGAGTAGGAGAGATTATTAAATACAAACTCCTGCACACTGTCTGAACTCTTCAAATATGCCAACAATGTAGTGTGCCTGTGTGTGTGTGTGTGTTTTCAAAGAGAGTGAGAGATCTAACACACCAACGAGCTCCTCCTCTCTGCATCGCCCCTCATTTCTCTAAATGTTTTTAAATGTATTGTTTTATTTATAAAGTTGGCTGGAACAGAGAGCGTTGTGTATATTTCAGACAAATATGTGAAAATCACATTTTCTGTATCACATTAAAAGTTGCAAAAAAAAGTCAAGGGTCTAAATGATTTTCACTCTCTCTGTTTGTTAGGATGACTCATGATGCTTTCACTGTCAGTAGGAAATCACACCTTTGCAGCCTGTGACTCTCTCAGGTAATATTTGAGCAGGTCAGCCAGCTTCAGGTCTTCGTCTGCTGCAACTCGAGATTCAATCTTCTACAACACAACAAAGAGAGCCCCGGTGAGTTCTGATGGAGGAGCTTATCAGCTGATCAGAGCCGTAAACACAGAATCAAAGATCATCTATTCCCTACGAAGGAAGGGATCACACTTACCCTCGTTTTCTCAAACAGCTCAGACACTTTTAGGAAGAACCTGCAAAAGAAGAAACAGGAAGCATTTTATGAACAGGAAGTAATGTCATCATGGCCATCTGTTTGGCCTGAGCTGAATATAAACAGAGTGAAGGTGAGGCGTTCGTACTTGCAGACGTCTGTGGAGTCCTGTGTGCCTAACGTGTAAAGAGACGAGGCGATTCTGTTGATGTCGTCTGCAGCATCTGAGCACAAAAACACACTTTTTACATTTCGCAACCCTTCCCATAATGCACCTGGGCAGTGTCAGGCATGACTCGAACCTCCTCCAAACTCTTGTTGTGACTCACTTTTGTGCGAGCGAATCATTCTGTCAGATTTAGCCGAGGCGTCTTTGACTCGGTTGTGATATTCTAACAGAAACGTCTTCTCGTGCTCGAAGAAGTCGTCCACATCCTGAAAAACAAGCAAACAGGAAACGTTACGACTGACGTCACATTTCAGAGAAGAAGAAACATATCTTAGCTTTCAACTGAGATGTTTGTCACCTTGACTCCGGCCACCAGGACGCCATCAGCTGACTTCACCACGTTCTTAAAGAAATCCTCCAACTTCTCCTTCTTGTTCTTCCCTCGTACACTCAGCTGTGACAGCAGGGGTCAGAGGTCACACAACAACAGCAGCAGCATGGTACAGGTACACAGCATACAGGTAACAGATATGACAGGAAACACTACTCTGCACATCCTGTTCTGTTGTAGGACTGGTGTTGTGTCAGCAGGTGTGTGAGGAGACTGCAGGTGTGTGAGGTGTGTGAGGTGTCAGCAGGTGTGTGAGGCGTGTGAGGTGTGTGAGGCGTGTGAGGTGTGTGAGGCGTGTGAGGCGTGTGAGGTGTGTGAGGCGTGTGAGGTGTGTGAGGCGTGTGAGGCGTGTGAGGTGTGTGAGGTGTGTGAGGTGTGTGAGGCGTGTGAGGTGTGTGAGGCGTGTCAGCAGGTGGGACTCACATCCTGGTTGTACTCCAGGAAGACATGGAAGTTGAGGTCTTTCCTGAGGACGGGGTGAGCAGCGACACGGCACAGGAAGACTTCGTGCATGGCGACGGTCTTCTTGAAGATGGCGAGGTACTCTCTGGAGAAACACACAGAAGTCAGCATGACACACACACACACACACCTGTGTGACACGGCTCAGGTGAACTTCATTAGTGAGTAACTCACGCCTCCAGCTCCTGCTTCATCTTAGTGAACTCCTCCTTAGTCATGGATCCCTCTCCCTCACCGAGCTTCTGCAGCTTCTCTCTGGATGCGTCAAAGTCCGGTCTGGGAGGGGCGGGGGGGATCTACACATCAACAACAACATAATTAATAACAACAGCAACAACAAATGACTTCTTACCCAGAGGAATGTGATTAGTGAATATTCAGGCAGGCAGGGACATTTCTTCAGTCCTTTGGGCGTCTCGTCAACATGAAAAGGTTACGATGACGTCTCTCACAGACACACTGCAGTGATTGATCATTCAAAATAAGAAATGATCAAACATTGGGTGTCTAGGACTTTATATCAAAGTTTTCAATTCTTGTATCGCAACAACACTAGTGCGTGTGTGCGTGCGTTCTTACAATGTAGCCAGCATAGTCTTCATTCTCAACAAACGAGTCGTGCAGCCAGATGAACTCTTCGTGCTGTCGGACCACCGAGAACTCGTTCTGCTTGAAGTTGGGGAGTGTGCTCTGTTCAAACAGGAAGTAGATCATCAGGTCAGCTGACTGATGGAACAAACATGTGACACTGACAAACACACACACCTCACCTTGGTGTGGACCGTAAACTTGACCTTGTCCCTCTCACTCAGAGCGTCTGAGATGTCGACCTGCAGCGTGGCGTCCGTTTGCAGATCCACATTCACCGCCCGTGGCTGCAGGAGGAGCAAAGAAACCCTAGTGTTTAAAACGGGTACTGCAGTCCAAATTCTAAACATTAGACAGAGATGATGCTCACGCAGGTTGCCATGTGGTGGACACTGAAGCTTCAGTGTTTATCCAGCTCTGCATCGGTCTGTAAACCTTTCTGTGTTCTAACCTCTCTCCATTTTTCAAAAGCATCTCCAATACTGATCCTAGTTTGAGCACGTTTCTGCTCGTGGAGCTTATTAGAAACATGCAGAGGCTTTTTAGGTCGGGTACAATCACTTCTATCTGAACCACTTCTCTTGACCGCTTCCATCGCTGCAACACCTGTTGACCTGATAACTGCTCTCATATCTGACAAACCAAGGGGCGTCCCAAACGGCCGTGTGGGGGTACCGCCTTAAAACCTCCTACCTTCTCTGGTCCAAACAAATCCAGAGCATTCAGGACCAGAATCTAAAGTTAGAAGGAGGACATACTGACTGCTGCATTGTTGTCAGAGAAGCCAGCACGTCAACATATCATGTTTCCTTAATGTCTGATCATATAGTAAGGTCACTTTATCATTTCAGTCACTACACATCTAACTGACTGGACCTTTAATGTGTGTGTGTGTGGTGTGTGGTGTGTGTGTGTGTGTGTGTGTGTGTGTGTGTCATGTGACAGCCTGATGGTCAGGCAGTAGCAGCTTATTAACAGCTCGTGATTAATCTGAACCCCACAGCTAGCCGTTAGCTCGGTTAGCTTTGAAGCTAGCGGCCTGTAACTCTGTAACTCTGATTGGCTGTCAGCTGATGAACCAGTTTAACTGAAATAAACAACGTTAGCATGTAGCTAATGTTAGCCAACACGGCTAACTTGGGGACCAAAGCTAATGCTAACAGCTACTTCACCCGAGCCGTACAGAACACAGAGTTGACAAGCACACACACAGGTAACACACACACACAGACACACAGACAGACAGGTGAGCAGGCAGCCAGGTAACACAGTGAGACTCACTCCCCGGTCCTCTTCGGAGAGAAAGTCAGGTCCGTCGTCCAGCCCTTCCTGCTGCGGGGACACAGAGCACACAGAGCCGTTAGACACACACACATACTCACCGTGACACACACAACCACACAGCGACACACACACAGCGCAGCACCGGCGGCTTCGGGACCCGTTACCGAGCAGATCACGGAAAAAAACAAGCGGCAGAGAGGAGAAAAGAGATAAACCCACCATCATGGCTGCGAACGGGTGGAGACAGGAAGTGCTGTGACGTCACCAAGGCAGGCCGATATCTGAAATAAAATTGAAAACAAGCAATTTTTACATTTAATCAACACTTAATTTTGTTTATATTGAAATTATTTTATTAAATCCAATGATTTTTTTCAGTTTAATTAAATGTAAATGTAAATGTAATGTAAGATATTTAATGAGACTTTATTTGATGATAGTATATATCTTTAGTTTAATTATTTTTTAGTGATTTTAGTTATTTAATTTACTACAATTTATATCTAAAGTTACAGAAACATTATTTCAAAGAACTGTGTTAAAAATAGCATATTTTAATCATTGAATGTTCTTTTAAATAAATGTGTGCCTTCTGTAGTTTATTTTTTTTAAACTAATCAGGTCTGAATCAATCAATCAGTCGGATCAGCCAATCACAGGGACTGAGGCAAATGTTTGGGTTCATCTGGCTTCTATAAACAGCTCTCTACACCTATCTCTACACACCTGGCCCCACACACCTTTCTCTACACACACTACACACATGTTGTGGGTGGCTGTGGAAGGTCAAATGTTCGATCCCCAGCTGAGCAACATATCCGATGTGTCCTTGGGCAAGACACTTAACCCTGCATTGCTCCCGCTGCTTCAGTGGTGGTGTGTGAATGGATTAGTGTTGTATTTACTCTCTGATGTATGTCACTTTGGATAAAAGCATCTGCTAAGTGAATTGTAACATTGTAACCTGGCTCCACAAACCTGTCTCTACTGCTTAACTTGGTTAATTGTCCATCAGTGTTTGGTCCTCTGCGTGCGACCTGACCAGGTGAATGACAGTTTGTAGTGATGACGTCTGGCGTACTGACACTTTCATGTATCTGTATCACGTTATCATTGTTTTCGTTTGATTGTTTTATTATTCTCAGTATGAATGAATTTATTGCAGCTCAGTTTGATGTGACATCATAGCTTTTTATTAGACCGTTCTCCTTTAATGACCTGATGACACAGAGAGACTCTGGAGGTTTGTCACAAGAGAACTGCTACGATTGGTTAATGAATGTGCAGGTGTAGTTTAATCTCCACCTGATGATATAACTGGTCCTCACCTTGAAGAAGAGCCGGCTGTGACGTCCACATATTCCTCCTCATGTTTATTATTCTAAGATAAATGTTCTGATAAAACAACGTTTTTTATCTTCTACTTTATGAAGAGAGTGCTGTGACGTTCAGCTCGTAGTGTTTGACTTTGTATGATTTTATGTCGCTTTACTTTAAAGGCTTGTTGGTGTTTGAGGTCGTTCAAGAGTCACAAGGACTCAAACTGTTAAATATCCCAGCAGCACTTTCACCAGCTCTACAGGTGAGTGATGTAACACCTGCTTAATGACAGCCGTGATGTATTCACAGGTAGTGAAAGTAATGATATAACTTCATTTTAAACAGACGACATACATGTTTTATTATGTCTCTGTTAACCCGGTTAGTAACTGTAGAGGATGTCGTTCAGGATCGTCGCCTGTAGTCCGCCTTAACCAGCCTTGACCAGCAGGTGGCGACAAAACTCTGTGATCATGACTGTTATCTGCTGACCTGTTGATACAGGGTCTGTACTGCTGACCCACTTTTAGGGCTTCTGGGTAATGGAGTCTTTTTTCTCGGACTATATTTAGACATGGATCCTTTTGTAAACACATATTTATTTATAGACTGATACACTTTTGTCTTCCTTTTTCTGAATGATTTCACATTCAAGTTATTTTTGTGAGTTATTATAGAATATGATGATAGAAGCTGCACACTTATTTTTAAAACAAGAGATTTTTAAAAGTTGATTCAGTCTCCACCTGAAACATTCGAGTGTGCAGAGAAACTTCAATAAAATGACATTTATATTATAAAGATATTCATAGTCATCACTTTAATGGAATGATTGTTCAATAAAACTTGTGCAAAGATGGTGAAGACTATAAATCTCTAGATTTACACTAACAATTATATTTGAATATGTTGTAAATTATTATTTTTTTTTTTTAAGTTTTAACATTATTAGTTCTATTGTATTATTGATGTATTTATAGGAAGGGTTTGTAAAGAAGCTGCTGGATCTTTCTCTGAGTCTCCTCAGAATAAAGTCTGTTCTCTGTCTCAGACGACTCCACTCAAACACACCTCCACTGGTTGGTTTATTAATTAGTTGGTTAATTCAGTGATTGCTTCTTGATGATTATCTTTGTTTGCGTGCCAGCACACATGCCGTCAGATTCTTCTTGTGGTGAGATCAAGAGTGAATATTGGTCCTTCATGAGAGATGTTTCTTTAATCACAGAACTTTTACTCCGAGTCTCACGATGTGGAACAAAGACGTTCTCCTCTCTCTCCTCCTCCTGTGGATCTTTGTTCCTCTGGTGTGTCCACATGTTTGTCTGCAGCTCCTCACTGTGATTGGGATGATGTTGTGTGTATATGTATCTGTGTGTAGTTGTGACGTGAGCTCGGCTCTCCGTCCGTCCGTCCACTTTGTCCTTTTGTGGACGTGATGACGGACTCCACAGCATGTGTGCTCCAGAAATAGCAGCAGGAGGATCAGATTCTTGGAGCAGCTTCCTCTGTGTGTGAGTCATCCTTTACGTTTAATAAAACCATTCAACTACAGCTGAAAACCACAACGACTCGGCACACAAGTCCCAACCATACACCAAGTCCAAGTCCCTGATCCACCTGGTTTCAGACCAGAGCCAGAGCAGCTGCATTACTAACACCTTTTAAGGTCAAGAATCTACAGCGTTATCCATTCATCTGCTTAGCCCGACGACTCACCAAGTCACGACTAGAGACTACACAAAGTCACAACTAGACTCACACCAAGTCACACCTAGAGACTCACACCAAGTCAGGACTAGAGACTCACACCAAGTCAGGACTAGAGAGAGATTCACACCAAGTCAGGACTAGAGAGAGACTCAAATCAAGTCAGGACTAGAGAGAGATTCACATCAAGTCAGGACTAGACTCACACCAAGTCAGGACTAGAGACTCACATCAAGTCAGGACTAGAGACTCACACCAAGTCAGGACTAGAGACTCACATCAAGTCAGGACTAGAGATTCACATCAAGTCAGGACTAGAGATTCACATCAAGTCAGGACTAGACTCACACCAAGTCACAACTAGAGTCTCACACCAAGTCAGGACTAGAGACTCACATCAAGTCAGGACTAGAGTCTCACACCAAGTCAGGACTAGAGACTCACATCAAGTCAGGACTAGAGTCTCACACCAAGTCAGGACTAGTGTCTCACACCAAGTCAGGACTAGAGACTCACATCAAGTCAGGACTAGAGACTAACACCAAGTCAGGACTAGAGACTCACACCAAGTCAGGACTAGACTCACACCAAGTCAGGACTAGACTCACACCAAGTCAGGACTAGAGTCTCACACCAAGTCACAACTAGAGATTCACACCAAGTCAGGACTAGAGACTCACATCAAGTCAGGACTAGAGTCTCACACCAAGTCACAACTAGAGATTCACACCAAGTCAGGACTAGAGTCTCACACCAAGTCACAACTAGAGATTCACACCAAGTCAGGACTAGAGACCCACACCAAGTCAGGACTAGAGTCTCACATAAAGTCAGGACTAGAGGCAGCATGTCAGGACCACAGACTCACACCAAGTCACAGCTCGAGACAGCAAGTCAGGAGACAATTTCTGTTGTCATGACATTTTTTAAACTTCATGCCGGTTCTACTGAGGTTGTTCAACTGTTAAATGTTCTACTGAGGTTGTTCTGCCCCTGATGGTGCTGACTGAAGTGTTTCTGACTTAACTAGGTTCTACTCAAGTGTTTATGGTTCCAGTGAGGTTCTGCAGACTGTGACTTGATTCATGTCAACTAAGAATGATTCATATGGGGTTCTACTGAAGCACCAGTAATTCTGTTCAGGTTCTAATAAGGCTGTATTGGTTGTTCTGCTGCATTTTAAACTGTTATTTAAAGTGGTAGATGCTCCAACTAGAGATGTACTGACTTTGAAGGGTTCTGAAACAGTTCTACTAAAGTCATTCTGGTTCTATTGAGGTTCCTTTTTCTAATTAGGTTTCTACGTGAGCTGTGGTGGTTCTCATCGGGTCCTATGGACTTTATTTAGGATAAATTTAGGTCTTTTTCACATATAATAAAGGCTCTATCGAGGTTCTCTGGGGTCACACTAAATCATTCTAAAGGTCACACTGGTTCTAACAGAGTTAAACTGGTGTTCTGTGTGTCTGCTGAGGTTCTGCAGAAATGTTGTATTAGACTTTTAAACCTGACAGCTGATTAACGGTCACTGCTAACTGCAGAACTTGACACCTGGTCATGAGGTTCTCAGGTGGACACTTGGGGGCTCATTTATCAACAGTGCGTAAGCACGGTTCTGTGCATAATGTGTGCGTAAGAACATTCCCACACAGAGAGTGGGATTTATCAACTTGTACTTTTACTTAGAAATGTGTGTAAATATAAGCACAGTTCTGAGAATGCTTACGCACAGAATCTAGCGGTAGAACATTGAAAGCATTACGAGTGTCACAGCACGCCAGAATCAATCTCAATGTAAATGCATGTTCCGAGTTTTCTTTACAGGTAATTAAAAACCCCAAATAAGTGATTTTGTATAGTTTGAAACAGACGTGTTGCCTTAATTTGTTCCTAAACCTTAAAAAGACCGACATGACAGGCGTTTGAAATGTTACATTATGGCTCGTTTTGACTTGATAATTTGGCGAACCATGCGCTCCATAATAAGGGCTTTTCAAAAGAGCGCACTGATCTGTTTGGTCCAGCCTGTCCTCCGCCTGTCCTGCTGTGCTCCCCATGACGTTGTAAATGCACCGTTCTTGGGTGAAATTTTGGACTATTCTGTTATCCTTCAGATGCAAATGCTTTTCGCTTTTGTGCCACGATGCGTTTTATTTTTTGCACTGAGCTTAATATCAAAGTTCATCTTACTCTTTTCGCCTCTGACCTGTCACCTTCTCTCATGCAGCATTTTTTCTTTTGTTAGTAACTTATACTAAGTGAAAAGACTAATAATTTAATTGGGTCACTTAGGGCGATAGTTACTAACCTTATTTTATTTATTTATCTATTTGTTTATTACCATTTTTTATTCAACCTCAACCTCATCCACTTCCATTTCTGTTATAAAGCGTCTTTTCTTTGCTCTCACATTATTCCGCCGAGGTAAATATGTTCAAGAGGTTTTTAAAGAGGTGTGTTGTTACCATAAATGGTTTAGTGGAGTTTCTGAATGCAAATGTCCCCAAACATGCACGAGCCTGCTGGTTAAGAACATGTGGGATTTATCAACACTGATTACCTACCGATGTGCGTACAATCGCCGTCCACATGTTTGATAAATACAGATTTTTTTTGTACTTCGTAAGACAGAATTTAGAACACTTTCTTCGCACTGATGATAAATGAGGCCCCAGGTGCATGAGCTGTGAGTGAAGGTGCTCTGTGATTGGTGGATTCAGAGAAGAGGCGGGACTCATCAGATCTGCCACAGGCTTTTATTGCAAAGTGGCTTCCTGTGATCTCAGAAACAACATTCCACTTTAAGGCTCCAGATGTTGACGTGTTGTTGTTGTAGTGGGGTCATCTCTCACTGAGGGGCGGGGCTAATCTGCTTCCTGTTGAGTTTCTTCACAAAAACAAAGTGCACTCTAACTAGGTGGTGTGACGGTTACATTCAAACTGAAGTAAGGCGACGACCAAACAGCTAGAATGACGTGAGTCCGACAGGAATGAGGCGAGGTAAACAAACATTCTCTTGATGACATAAACAGAGGCTTTGACGTTCTGTAGTGTTTAACAAAAAGTGCCGGGTTACATCTTCTTCTCTTCCTCTGATGCATAGTCTAACAATACGTCTGCCTGCTTTAACACGCTGGAGAAGAAACAGTGAACAATAATAAATAAAGTCATATGTAAAAAGCTTCATGCTGCGACCCGTGTGCTGCAGGAGGCGGAGCTTCGTAGCATGGCGCCCGCCTCCAACACATTCGTCTGCTTCCTTCACATGGACTTTTTGGCAAAACTCTGGCTGTGAGAGAGACAACCTTCCTGGGGTTTGGTAGTGTGTCATCTTTTGTTTACTGTGCCAGGTGAACAGAAGTCAGGTGGCAACAAACTGGGAGGTGTTTGCATATCGTTATGTTAATGAGATCTCCTTCATGTTAGGAAAAAAAAAAGAACAAAAACAAAAACAAAGAGGCCTAAAGACGCTAACTCCTTCAGGACATGGATACAGACAGAGCAAGCTGCTGAGTGAAGCGGCGGTGTTCAGGTGGGGTCAGGTGCTTCGGTCCGGATGGCACGGCGGTTGGCTTGGCTCCGCTCGGCTCGCCGCAGTGACATCACAGCGGCTTGCCCTCCAGAGACACCACCACGTTCCCGCCCAGCTTCTCAGCCAGCGTGCTGCGGTCCTGGATGTCGTCCAGTCCGTTCACTTGCCACTCGTGTTTGATACCTGATGGGACACACCTGAGGTCACTGAGGGGTCACACACACACATCTCACCTGAACACACACACGTCTCACCTGAACACACACACGTCTCACCTGAACACACACACGTCTCACCTGAACACACGCACGTCTCACCGGAACACACACACGTCTCACCTGAACACACACACGTCTCACCTGAATACACACACGTCTCACCTGAACACACAGACGTCTCACCTGAATACACACACGTCTCACCTGAACACACACACGTCTCACCTGAACACACACACGTCTCACCTGAATACACACACGTCTCACCTGAACACACACACGTCTCACCTGAATACACACACGTCTCACCTGAACACACACACGTCTCACCTGAACACACACACGTCTCATCTGAATACACACACAAGTCTCACCTGAACACACACAAGACTCACCTGAACAACAACAATCAGCTCATTGAGGAATATTTGTTCACGTTTTTGTGCATTCTGCACATTCTTAGCATTGTTTACTGATCTGTGGTTACCATGGTTACACTCTACACTACGGTTTGTCAGCTCGTCACAATACTTTGATACAATTCAACACCTGTTTGATACCATGTCAACAGCAGAAGTCCTACACAGCCAATAGTAGGTCATTTATTGTTTCTAATTATTAAAAGTTGCAGACAACGACCTGAAGACAAATTAGTTGGCAACGCTTCAGGACCCAAACATTGTCAACGTATTTCTGCAACATGTGGAGTGTCTTCTGCTCTGCTTGCTCGCTCTCGCTCTCTTTAGGTTAAAAACACAGAACTGAAGGTCTGAAGTTTTCTTAAAGCTGCAGTACTTTTTTGATTCTATCGATCATTTAGAGACTATATCGTTTAACAACATGTGGTTTTCAAATCAAAGCTTCCTAAACATTCACATCGCTGTCAGTCTGGTTCAAGGATCAGGAGATGCAGATGTAAGACTCTATAACCTTATAATGACTCACCTGTAAACTTCTTTTTGATGGCGTCTTTGGAGCTGGCGTAGATCATCTTGCTCTTCAGTGGAGCCGTTTCTGGAGCCCTGACAACAAACAGACACAGTCATCAACACCTGTGATATACAGGAACCTTCATCTGGTCCCTGACACCAGGGTACATGGTCTTTATAGAGGCCTTCTTTTCTATCAGCACCGTACCAGAAGATGAAGACAAGGTCCTCCTTCTTGGACTCCTTGGTCTCGTAAGTGGCGTCGTACAGGCCGTATCTGCAGTCGTTGAGGGGGAGGAGCTTAACGAAGCAAGCATAGGGGTCGTCCACCGTCTCGCCGATGTCTCCCACCAGGATCTGCTTCCCCTCCTCCACAATGATCTTCTTCCTGTCCTCGCTCAGACAGAACAGGATCGCCTTCTTCCTCTTCCTCACCTCGTCCTGGGATGACGACTTCCTCACCTTCATGTCGTTGAACACCCTGACGACCTCATCGTTCACTGTCACACCTGACGTCTGTAGACCAGAGGAAGGGCACATTAACACAGAGCTCTCCTCCTCATCACATCTTTTCTCTTTCGCTTGTTAGTTTGCTCCTAGCACTCTTTACATGACTCTGATTGGCTGATGAAATAACTGGTAGTAAATGAGTTTAAACTTCTGGCTGATCGATCTGAGGCCGTCTTCGACCACGCTCAGAATACTTTCACTCTAACATGTTGAATTGGCTGAACAGCTCGAGGCTCTCAGGTTTAACAAAACATCAACACGTCTGAAAATTCTAAGCCTTTGTTATTTCATCTCACCAGAGCTCAAACTATGATTAATAATCAAGGTCATTAATGTACACTTCAAATTTATTTTAATCAGACAGTTCAAAACCTCAGAGGTGTGTTCTCTCTGTCCAACTGAAGGCTTCAGGTGTTCTGCAGGTAGAAGTGGACCTATGTTTGGTGCAGTGAGGAACAGGTGTGAGAGGGAACACCTGAGACGTTCTGCAGGAAAAAGTGGACATGTGTGTGCAGTGAGGAACAGGTGAAGAGATGTTCTCACATATTCTTCACTCTGTGTTTGTGTCTTAGTTAAGTTGAGAGCTGGTCGTTATCCTACCCTCAGGCTGCAGCTGTAAACACACCAATGTCCTAAAGTGTGACTCAACATGTTAGCATGCTAATGTTAGCCTGGCATGCCTTAGCTCTGCATCATGGATTCAGTTATATTCCTCAACATGATGTCATCAGAGCAGACCACTGCAGAGACCTTAATGGGAACAGAGCTGAACAGTTTGTCTCCTGTCTGTCATCAGCTGTGTAAATAAAGTTTGATTGAACTGTTTTTAGTGTTTGTTGCAGTGAGCTCTACAGAATGTCCCTTTAGGCTGCAGACGATCAGCTGACTGGAGGTGATCAGCTGATCCACATCAGATGCTTGTCTGTTCTCTGCAGCTGAATGATACAAACACTGATAGGAAGTCCGCTTCATCAAAACATCCAGGTTCAACTTTATATAACAGCTGATCAGATAACAAATCACAGCTGATCACATAACAGATCACAGCTGATCAGATAACAAATCCCAGCTGATCACATAACAGATCCCAGCTGATCTAATAACAAATCCGAGCTGATCTAATTACAGCTGATATAATAACAGCTGATCAGATAACAGATCCCAGCTGATCTAATAACAGATCACAGCTGAACAGATAACAAATCCCAGCTGATCACATAACAGATCCCAGCTGATCACATAACAGATGCCAGCTGATCTTATAACAGCTGATCTAATAACAGATCACAGCTGAACAGATAACAAATCCCAGCTGATCACATAACAGATCCCAGCTGATCTAATAACAAATCCCAGCTGATCTAATAACAAATCCCAGCTGATCTAATTACAGCTGATATAATAGCAGCTGATCTAATAACAGATCACAGCTGATCAGATAACAGCTGATCACATAACAGATCCCAGCTGATCTAATAACAGATCACAGCTGATCAGATAACAGCTGATCTAATAACAGATCACAGCTGATCACATAACAGATCACAGTTGATCTAATAACAGATCACAGTTGATCCCATAACAGATCACAGCTGATCTAATAACACAGATCACAGTTGATCTAATAACAGACCACAGTTGATCTAATAACAGATCACAGTTGATCACAGCTGATCTAATAACAGACCACAGTTGATCTAATAACAGATCACAGTTGATCACATAACAGATCACAGTTGATCTAATAACACAGACCACAGTTGCTCTAATAACAGATCACAGTTGATCACATAACAGATCAGTTGATCTAATAACAGATCACAGTTGATCCCATAACAGATCACAGCTGATCACATAACAGATCACAGTTGATCACATAACAGATCACAGTTGATCACATAACAGATTACAGATGATCTAATAACAGATCACAGCTGATCACATAACAGATCACAGTTGATCACGTAACAGATCACAGCTGATCTAATAACACAGATCACAGTTGATCTAATAACAGATCACAGTTGATCTAATAACAGATCACAGTTGATCACAGCTGATCTAATAACAGATCACAGTTGATCTAATAACAGATCACAGTTGATCACATAACAGATCAGTTGATCTAATAACAGATCATAGTTGATCACATAACAGATCACATTTGATCTAATAACAGATCACAGTTGATCACATAACAGATCACAGTTGATCTAATAACAGATCACAGCTGATCTAATAACAGATCAGTTGATCTAATAACAGATCACAGCTGATCTAATAACAGATCACGGTTGATCTAATAACAGATCCCAGTTGATCACATAACAGATCACAGTTGATCTAATAACAGATCACAGATGATCTAATAACAGATCACGGTTGATCTAATAACAGATCACAGTTGATCTAATAACAGATCACGGTTGATCTAATAACAGATCACAGTTGATCACAACAGTTGATCTAATAAAAGATCACAGCTGATCAGAGTAGTTATACAGGTTAGATAGTCCAACTGGTTAGTTAATGTTACAGGTTAGCAAGTTTTGGTTAGTTAGTTAGCCATACTGGTTGGTTAGTTAGACACACTGGTTAGTTGGTCGTGTCATACTGGTTGGTTAGTTGTGTTATACTGGATAGTTATTGTAAGTATGTAAGATATCGGTTCATATAACTTATCAGTCTATATTGCTTTATTTCATTTTATGCGTTCATATACTTATTGGATGTGGCGCCGACTCGTCAGGCATTAAAAAACTGCAGAAAGTTTGTCATAGATGAGACGGTCCAAAGAACACGTAACGTTAAAATAGACGTAAACAAAAAGTCCACGCCTCGTAAAGCTTCTGTAAGGGAGGAAATGTATTCACGTGAATGTGTCAAACCACCAGTCTGTTGGTTACGTTATGTTTACACTACATGTTGAGCCTCATTGGTGATCTGCAGCGTAGTACAGCGTATTAATGTACCCTGTAATGTAGACCTATAAAAACATCTTTACTGACTACAGGTTGAACCGTTCTGAACCCCAGATGTGCAGAAACGACAAGTGAATTTCTTTATAATGCAATAAAAATATATCAGTAATCTTATTGGCCATCAGGAGCAGGTGGTTGTCGATAATACAAATCATGCATCACTAGTGGTTAGTAAAGTGTTACTGGTCAGTAAAGTGTTACTGGTCAGTAAGTGTTACTGGTTAGTAAGTGTTACTGGTTAGTAAAGTGTTACTGGTCAGTAAAGTGTTACTGGTCAGTAAGTGTTACTGGTTACTAAAGTGTTACTGGTCAGTAAGTGTTACTGGTTACTAAAGTGTTACTGGTCAGTAAGTGTTACTGGTTAGTAAAGTGTTACTGGTCAGTAAGTGTTACTGGTCAGTAAGTGTTACTGGTCAGTAAGTGTTACTGGTTAGTAAGTGTTACTGGTCAGTAAACCCTGCGCTCTGCCTGGAGGCCTTCAGACAGACAGACTGCAGAGTCACTGCTGCCTGTCTGTCTGTCTGTCTGTCTGTCTGTCTATCCGTGCTAACTAATCTGGAATAAATCTAGCCTACTAGAACCGGGCCTTCAGATGATTAATTGGGTTCAGCAGAGACGGGTCAGCCCGGGATTTTCTGTCCGGTCTCTCGTGCTTCCGGCCGGTCAGCCCCGCAGGACCACAGCGGAGAGAAGATGGCCGCCCCGGGCCATACGGCCTGGGGGCAGGCTCGGCTCGGCCCGGCCCGGCTTGGACCGGCACGGCACGGCTCGGCTTACAACACCGACCACTAAACAGATAAATCCGATGAAACCTCCGTTAACGTGTCCAAATCAACCCCCGGGGTAAGAAGACGACAGTGACTGGACACCGAGTAACGGTCGTTGAGAGCGCGCGGAGCTAACAGTGAGCCATGCTAGCTAACATCAGGCTAACCGAGTAACGGTCCACTGCAGACCGGCTCATACAGACTCTAACCCGAGTTCACTGTACCACAGTCAGGCCCGGAGGACACAATAAGGGAGGTTCTTACCATGTTGTCCCGGGGTTTGTCCGCGCTGCTTCAACGTCAGATCGGGGTTTCTCAGGGGTGAAAGGTAGCGGGGAATGTGGCCGGCAGGAGGAGGAGGAGGTGGAGGAGGGAGGAAGGAGGGGAGGAGGGAGGAGAGGAGGAGAGAGGAGAGGAGGGGAGGGGCCTCATCGCAGTGAGCAGACCTGCGTAATACCCACACACACACACACACACACACACACACACACACACACACACACACACACACACACACACACTCCGGGGGAGGAGATGACAGAGGTGAGGAGATGAGGGGAGGACAAAGGAGAGAAGGACAGAGGGGAGGCGGACAGAGGAGAGAAGGACAGACGAGAGGACAGAGGAGAGAAGGAAAGAGGGGAGGAGGACAGACGAGAGGACAGACAGAGGAGAGGGGAGGAGTAATGCAGATATCACATGACTCTTTCTTCATTTGATTTTAAAATATTACTCACATAAAATGAAATAGATATTAAAACATATTTATTCTGCAGAAACAATGACTTTGTTTTGAAATTTGACTGTATCCTCCCTATTGGCAGACCCCTGTTGTTGTTTATCATTATTGTTTTTCTGATATAAAGATGTTTGTTTTACAGTTCTGTTGTTTCCTCTTTTAGATGCTGGACTACAGTTCTAACGTGTAGATGAACATGTCTGAACGTGCATCTGAATTATTTAAATGGTTTTTGAATTTTTATCTAATAAAGTAAAAAGAAAAACTGACACTTCCTTCATTTTGGCTCTGACTACACCTGTGACTGGCTGACTACACCCTCCAAAGTGAGTCTGGAGCTCAGGACTTTTTTCTGGATTCATTGGGGGAATGGCCCTTTAATGTAAACTCATGCAGCAGACTATGAGGTGTGAATGTGCAGGTGTGTGTGTGAACAGATGAGCAGGACGCAGCAGCTGGTTATAAAAAGTAATTTATTTTTTACATGAGAACAAAAACAAACATGTTAGAGAGCGTGAGGAGGCTGAGGGCGTCTATCAGTCATAAATAAAGATAACTAAATAAATATACAGCAGAGGAGGCTGCAGGGTAGTGTGTCCGGCTGACCTCCACACACACACACATCCCGTCAAACACACACATCCTTTCAAACACACACACACACACACTCTCTGACTGCAGGCTAATACCACAGAAGAAGAACGGAACAAAAAATCCTAAAGCAGGAAAACATCGCAGTAGTCAAAATACAGAACACTACAAATCCACAGAGGCTCCAGTTTTAAAGGGACAGTTCCACATTTAGGAAAGAAAACAAATTAAGAAATTATTTACTTTTTATTCATTTACATCAATTTAACAGACCAAGACTAGCTGTTTACCAAGCTAAGCTAAGCAAATCCTAACTCAGACTTAAAAGGTAAGATAGTGACGACCACCTGACACATCAAGAGACACACAACTCCATTAAAGACATGCTGGCCCTTTAAGGCTGACCATCAGCAGGTGTTACAGCTCATCCAGGTGACTGCTTGAGGTCAGAGCTACAGGAGAGATAAACATGACCTTTTTAACCTTTATGTCATGAGCTTACATTTTATTTAGGTTTAGGATGAAGTGAGAAGGAAATTTGTTGACAGGGGGCGGAGTCCCATAGAGGGGCAGGGGTTTGTGTTTTTTTGTTTGACCTCGTTAACAGTTTGAAACCTGAAGAGAGATGATCCGTATATTTATGGAGGTCTGTGACAGCTCATTAACTCTACAACGCCAGAGTTCCCACGACGAGATGTCTAAATAAGAAGTGTTGATTCACGCCTGCTTAGAACTCACAACAATCAACAGGAAGTCCTTTAATCTAAATATTTAGACAGACAGCTGATTACCTTTTAGACAAAGTTAATCACCAGTAGTTATCCGCAGCTTCTTCTACATGTTTTAGAAACGCTCCATCTCTTCAGATGTTTGAGGTAAACTGGACTGGGCGTACACGTCCTGAATCAGCTGATTTATGTTGACAGACAGTCTCAGTCAGACATCATGAAGTCAGGACAGAAATCTTCATTCACACATCCAGTTTGTAAATTCACTCCTCAGTCATGACGAACAGAATGAGCCAGAATAAAAAGAACCTGAGTGTGTGTTCAGAGTCCACGTCGTCCTCAGCTGCCACCTGAGCTCCTAACTCCTCCTCTCTCAGTTTGATCAGGTGTACATGAAGGAAGGGACCTTTGACCCCGTGATAACAGGAACATTTTATAACCCCTTGGTGTGTGAGGTGAACTTTGACCCATTCATCCTGTTGTGTTGATCACACTTTTAAACAAGCAAGTTACCGAGTTATGGAGAAAACATTCATCTCTTAAAAGTTCTCAGTTGATTAACAGACGTGTGAGTCTAGTCGACTCTGGTGAGGGTTAAGACGTTTCAGTTAGCACCAGAATAAGTCAGACAACTCGGAAAAGTCAGTTAAATTCTTAATATGGGGTTACATGTTGTGCCTAAGCTGTAACGCAGCCACCCACCACTAGGCGGGGCTGTAGCTAAAGGTAAACTGAGATGTAACCTCTAGACCGGAGCAATGTGTTAACACATTCAGCTCAAGTGTGTAGACGATCACCTGCAGGAGGACTGAAGGCTGGATGAGCTAGCTTTGCTAACGTCAGCATCACTCAGTAAACTAAACAACATCGTTTGCCTGCAGACGCTGAGATGTTGAGCCGTGCTAAAAACGTGTCTACGTTTTCTTCTCTTCAGTCTGAAATGAATTTTGTGTTTCAACGACTTTGTAATCCCTCAAAATGTTAAGAGTTAAAACATCTATTTCAAATTTTATTCAGTCTGGCTCTAGTTGTGCATTTTTAATATGTGAAAAATAAAACTGTTTAGGTTGTGATTCAGTTGAACTCCACATTTTACTGGCCGCCACAGACTTTCAAAAGATTGATTCCCAGCCTAAGAGCTCATCTCCATAGCAACACCATGCTTCAGTAAAAAAACAGCTGCACTGTAAAGTTGAGTCCCTGAGCGAGCACAGCAGCCTGATAGGATTTATTGAAACAGCCAGTGCAGATCTGGAGGTTCTTTAGAAGTGTTTTCTGGATGAAGAAACGATCGGATGAAGCCTGAGGGGACTCTAAGGTGTCCCTAACATGTCCCTAAGGTGTCTCTACTGTCCTACAGCACCACAGGAGCGTCTGCTACACGTCTTCACACGTCCACACAGGTCTGTCACTTTCTACACAGCTCCCTACAAAGATTGTTTTTTAGAGACACAAACTCGAAGTCATGTGACCAGGTGAGATAACTGGGAGTTCACCTGTGGATCTAAATGTGATTGGATCATTAGTTAGGGAACAGGTGAGTCTGAGGTAAGGTGGTCAACAGGCTGGTATCAAAAAGAATCAAAGCTTAAAAAAAAAGGAAAAAAAAAAAAGTTCAGATCTCAGTGACATTCTAACTCAGAACGAGTGCACTGTCCGAGTCACACAAATATCAAATGTTGCCAACATATTTGTGCAACGTGGACAGTGTGCAGCAGTTTGCCTGCAATTTTTGGTAATTAAACACGAGAAATTGTCCAAAATTAGGTGGATTTCTCTTTTTGTTGCCACGGTAACGAAACAGGTATGGATATAACAAAGACAACAAATGTGATGAAGAATCAGCACCAACTTAGTCTGTAAGGGGGGACTGGGTGTCGCCCCCCGGACCAATCAGCAGAGAGGACGGCGGTGAGGTCAGAGTGGTGGGTTTGGTTCAGTGTCGGGAGCGCTTGGTTAGCGGGGTGGGGCTTCGCTCCGATAGGCCGAGTCTGCTGAGCTCTGAGTGGAAGTACTGTTGCAGACGAAGCCCCGCCTTGGCTTCGTTAGTGTGACGAGGATTATACTGAAGACAGTTAGAGAACATCAGGTCCACGTCACTGACAAACTCACCTGGACAGAGACAGACAACAACACGTTTTATTATTCACTCATTATCGAGTCATGCATCACATTGTGACTGAAACATTCATGACAATAACACGATAGAGAGAGTCTGTGTGAGAGAAAGAGATCAGTGTGTGTGAGAGTGCGTATGTTTTCTCACCTGCTGTCTGATATTCACAGTTGTTCACTCTCTCTCTGATGGTGCTGAGGGCGATCGGCTTTTTGATGATGTCATAGTAATCAGGAACCTGCAGACAGGTGAGTAATAGACAGACAGGTTAGTGACAGACAGACAGGTGAGTGACATACAGACAGACAGACAGGGGAGTGACAGACAGATATATGCTTTCAGTTTGTGTCCATTAGCATTACATAAGACTATATCTATGTGTTTGAGTGTGTTGTGTTTATGTGTTTATGTGTTGTGTGTGTGTGTACCTGAGTCCTAGACACCAGCTTCATGAAGGGCCAGCTGTCTTCATGTCTGACGAGCTCCACGGCCAGCTGCTCGCAGGCCGACAGCTCGTGGACGCCATGGTTTCTGCCAGAGGAGCGTCGGCTGGAGGAGGAGGATGATGGAGGGAGAACAGGGAGGATGAGTTTGGGAGGAGGGGCCACATCTGGGGGAGGAGCAGAGAGGTTACTGGTTTGAACGGCATTCATTAGGGTCCAACGTGTTTAGTGGTTGTTTTCTTCTTTATGTTTGTTCACACTTTTGTGTTTACAGAATGGTTGTTTACAGTTTGTTTTGATTGGTCATTGATGTTTGTATATCGGCTGTTTACCATTTGGAAACCATTTTCTTGTGATTGGTTGCATACCTGTTGGCGGTCTCTTGCGGGACTCGCTCTGACCAGGTGAGGTCTTGGTGTTTCCATTTGGTGCAAGGATCTCGTGGCTTAGGCGGGCACTGACTCGACTCCCAGTGCGAGGAGGAGGTTTACCTCCAGATGCCTTCCCTGAGGGGGGCGTGGCCTTCTTCCCTGAGGACCTGTGATTGGACAGAATGAGTATGACAGTAAGGTAGGATCAGGGCTGCAGTAAACTGGAATAAGAGGAAAGACACTGACTTTGAGGATGATGAGGTTTTCCCTGCTGAAGCGCTGCTGTTCTTGGGTGTTGCCTGTTGACCTTTTGGTGTGGTCTGCTGACCTTTGGGCGTGGCCCCTTGGCTCTTGCCTTTGGGGGGCGGGGCCTGGCTCTTTTTTGTGCTGCTGATTAAAAGTTTGGAGAAGTTGCTTTTTCAGACTGATCTCAGTACAGTTACATGGGGTGACTTTTTTTTTCCACACTCACCTCACAACGACTTCCTCCTCCTCTTCCTCTGACTCCTCCTCTTCTTCTTCTTCCGTCTCCTCCTCTTCCTCTTCTGACTCCTCCTCCTCCTCCTCCTCTTGCTCTTCCTCATTTTCCTCTTCTTCCTCCTCATCGATAGAAGAGCGCTGACGGGACGGGACGCGGCTGGATCTCTGTTTGGGTCGACAGTCTGGACAGAACCAGTCACCCTGCGGAACCGACTGAGACGAACAGAGAGAGACAATTTATTTTATCTAAAATAACAAACATGTTCGCCATTAGCAAGAAGTTCCTCATGCTCTTTAGTTTACTGTGATAACAACCAATGTTTGTTGGTATGTTTACCTTGAGGCGGGGCCTCAGCTAGGGGGTGTGGTTTGTGTACCTTGGGGCATGGTAGCAGACAGTGGGTGTGGTTTCTTTACCTTGAGGCGGGGCCTCAGACAGTGGGTATGGTGTCCACGGTCACAACCGTCACACAGCAGCATGTTGTCAGCGTCTCCTTTGCGTCTGCAGATGCGACAGCGAGCGTTGAGGACAGAGCGAGACCACAGGATGCTGCGCTCCAAAGTGGAGAGGTGGACAAATACCTGGAGAAATTCTAAATTTAACACTCTGATGATTTTGTTTGAATGACATTTTACAAATGTATTATTTATCTATGTCACTGACCTGAGATAAACTGGAGGAGGACTGGAGAGAATCCCTCCATCGCTCCAACACCGTCTTATAGACCCGCCCACTGTCACTGCCATCTGACACACAAACACATACACACAGAGAGACACAGACAGACAGACACTTTAGTCTTGTGCTGAGGGGTAACAGTCAGGCTCTTGTGACATCAGAATGTGAAAGTCAAAACCGTCAGATGATGAAATTTGTTTATTATCAATGTGATGGCATCATTTCCTTCTTATTAAACAGGAAGTCATACCGTCACTAGCCAGGTCCTCGTCTTTCTTCTTGTTTTTCTTCGTCTTCTGGTCCTTCTTTGGGTCTTCCTCACCTGTCGGGGACAGACGGACGGACGGACGGACACTCGTTAAAGTATTTACTCTGCACATACACACCTGTTGCTTTAACACCTGTCTGAGATTATCTCTTCACTGAAACCCTTCTGGAAACCTTAAAGGGCCCATATTATGCTTTTTCTGGTTTTATATGCCCTTCAGTGTGTTTTCAAAGTGTCCTGCATGTTTAGGCACATCTATGTGCAAAAATTCAAAGCTTCTCCTACCTCCTCCTGTTAGCTGTAGCATTAGCTGCACGTAACGCTCAGTTCTAGCCCCCCTCAAAAAAAATGTGTCAGTGTGACGTCTTGTCAGTGTGATATCACTGATCTAAGACCATTGGCTCGTTGTGGTGAGCCCAGCAGCTCACGTTGCACGCCCGTTAACTTCTGTGGCACGCCCACGATATGTAGTAGCACAGTAGTGCTAAGGTGCTAATGTTTTTGCTCCCCGGCCCTCGGAGCCAGAGTGGCTGAGCGACTGACCAATTACGGCAGAGCCGACAGGCCGACCAATCAGATCAGACTTGGCACACGCGGGGACTCTGAACATGGGCACTTCGGAGTTTTTCAAACTTTAGCTATTGTGAACATACTTTAGTAGGTACATAGATTAAATATACGAACCCCAAAAAGGGCATAATATGGGCTCTTTAAGACTTGTCCAGGCTGTTCCAAAACTTTCCAGAGCTGGAGAGAGACTCACCCAGCGGAGCTTTGAGGAAGCGTCTCTCGATGCCTTGCTCGATGTGAATGAGAGCCTGAGCCAGAACTTGTACCATGCTGCTGACCACCTGAGGAGTCCCGCTTCCCGAGGCCCCGCCCTCCGATTTAAGCTCCTGCAGCCTGAGGCACACAGAACACGCACACACATTTGAAATCAATTCGAACAAACACGTATTTGTAGAATCATAACACATGTTTGCTCACAGACACAAACAGGAAGAAGACGTCAGAGTGAAACAGATGCAACTCTGTCTCAATTCTCATAAAGATGGCGCCCTCTAGCTGCTGTCTGTGAGATATCCTTAAACTATTCTTAAAGAAACAGGCAGATCAGTAAGGTTTATAAAAGATGATAAGCAGACTCCACCTCTCTGTCTGAGTGCATACCTGTCTCTGGCTCTCAGGTGAGCAGAATCTACCTCCATGGCCTCCACTCGCCCGTTCGTCCCTCCGTTCTCTCTACCGTCTGAACCCAGCAACTCGTAGTTCCCTGCCTCCAGTGCAGAGCGCCACACCCGTCTGTCCATCACCTAACAGACAGAGAGACACATAGGTCAGTTACTAAAGGTTAGCTCACCTGCTCTGTGTCAGTGTTCTGCTGTAGGTGTGCGCATACCTTCAGAGTTCCTAGAGTTCCCTGGTGGATTCGGTCTTCAATGTCCATCAGCAGGTCTCTCAGGCGACCCTCCATCAGAGTCTCAGCTGCAGCAGTGCATTTGGGACGGAACGCGAAGACTCTGGATCAACTGAACAAACAGAACGGGTGTTTTTACCTGTGTGTATGGTATTCACTTGTAACCTCACTTGTTTCAATTTATCTATCTTCTCACCTGTCGGTCTTGTAACGGAACCAGATGCAGAACAATCTGACAGAACTCCCCCCTTTTTTTAGTTAACCCCTGGATCAAAGAACTGCTAGGAGCTCAACAACATCTTGTAGGTTAACGCAGACCAGGAACCAGGACATCTCCTATGACTCTCTTGTGCTTACGTTAGACTGTGAATTACGATTGAGTTCTCAGACATTTCGTCTCCGAACAAGCAACAAACACTTCCACAGATAACTCTCATCCTGGGAAAGAGCCTCATGCTGAGATCTGAGGATCGTCCAAGCATCATAAAACTGACAAGAGACTTTGTGGTTTTCTCAAACTGAAAGATCTTATATTGTGCATTAAATGAATGTCCATGTAATTTCTGGTTTTCATATACATGTCCGTGAGGTTATTAGTGACAGTTTGATCTGATTTAAGTTTTCATACGATCTACAGAACTAAAGTTAAGTAAAACCAAGTTTATCGTCTTAGACACATATTTTAAACACTTATTTAAACTATATATAATCATATTGCATGTTATCATATATAAAAGATAACATAAGTATATTATCTTTCTATGTTTTCATATTACATTGCTCTATGATGTGATTTCTTTGTGGACTGTTTAAAATCTTTTTGTTTTAATTTACAGCTTTGAAAAGAATAATATTCCACAGTGTTTAGCGATTTCTCTCTCAATGTTAAATTTAGAATGCTCACATTTAGAAAATATGGTAACGTCATAAAGTGTTTTTCCGCGTGAACTACTTTGAGTTTATTAAGTAAAATCACTTAACCTAATTCAAATCATGAAGTTATTGGAGGTCACCTCTGCCCCTGAGTGGAGACCCGCCCCTCCCTCTGATACAGACATGCAGAGTCAATTTCTAAGTTAGTTATCTTTTGGTTCTCAGGAGAGTGATCAGCTGGCCTGGCCGCTACTCTTATGATATCATTTTTTGTGTTTCCTTTTTCCATGTTTTCGCCCCACGTAAGCATCACGTGTCGTTTTTCATTCATTCTTTTTGTAAACAACTCATTTTTATCTGACTAGAGATAACTTGAATTGTCCCACAAATTGTATCTCGAGTTAGTTAATTTTCGCAAGACTTTTAATTCTTCTGATCTACTCGGAGCCACTGAGACAGACACGGCTTCAGCTGCTGAGCATCAACTTTACACTGCTGTGTAATGTAATTCCCCTAATCACATTTTTCTTTAAATCCTTACAAAACCATTTTTAAAATTATTTTATTTGTTACTTTCACCATTATGACGATACCATAATAGGTAAATTAGAATCAAACGATTTCATTTCCATAATTTTGTTATTAAAGTCATACAAATGATCATCTTTGATATTTACTTTATTAATCTGCATTATTGTTTACAATTCCTGTAATAAAATCAGACATAATCATTTAGACCTTTGTCTGTGTTTATTTAATGATTGAAGTGATCCTAGAGAACTTACTGATATGAAACTGAATAATTCATTAACTTATACAGTTAAAGTTAATTTCTTCCTTTAACAGGAAGTGGTGCCCCGAGAAATATTTAGAACATAATATCTTAAGTTAACTACGCTACAGTCTCTACCTGTGCTCTCACCTGTATATATCTACCTGTGCTCTCACCTGTGTATATCTACCTGCAGTCTCACCTGTGTATATCTACCTGCAGTCTCACCTGTGTATATCTACCTGCAGTCTCACCTGTGTATATCTACCTGCAGTCTCACCTGTGTATATCTACCTGCAGTCTCACCTGTGTATATCTACCTGCAGTCTCACCTGTGTATATCTACCTGTGCTCTCACCTGTGTGGCAGTACTTCTTCCTGTCACAGCTCTGCAGCAGCTGTGTCAATCTCTCTCTCTCCTGCAGCAGCGCCTCCTTCAGGCTGCTCTCTCGGTGACCTCGAGGGTTCAGAGCGTCGATCAGCTGATCCACCTCCTCCACTGAGGTGTAGAAAGACCACTGGTTGGGACGTTTGAGTGGCGGCCCACAGGTGTGGATGGGGGCGGGGCTTGATCCAGCACTGTGTAGGAGGAGGCTTGTATCATCATTAGTGACACACAGATCTTTTTCAAACTTACAAGAATCAAACAAACACTTACCTTCCCTCTGCTGGCTCCTCCTTCATGACCTCCTCCTCTTCCTCCATCTTTGGGGTAGTGGTATCCTGAGCAGGTGTTGGGTGTGGTTGCAGCATATCCTCCGTTAGGCCGAAGCAGTCTTCTTCTACAAACAGGGTGGAGGCTGAGGGGAGGAGCCAGTAACGGCGATATAGACGATCTTTGCCCAGAGGCAGGAGGCAGGTGCAGGCGGCCGCCTTCTGGATCCGCTCCTGTAGTTCTCGAACCTACGAGAAGTAACAAACGCAACTTTCAGGGGACACTCTGAACCAGAATGGTTCCACCACCATCAGACTTGAGCCAGTGTGCAGAACATGTTCACCTGCTTCAAACTAGTAATCAGTCAAACATATTAAATATATTTATGTATATATATTCAGACCTTCTCTTGCTCCTTCTCTTGCTCCTCTGCAGTCAGGCTGGAAGGAGGGCAGGACGGGGGTTTGGTGTCCGAGGTGGGTGTCTGTTTCTCTTTCTGGTTGAGTTTAGCTGCAGGAGATAGAAGACACTGAGGAGTCAGAGGAGACACTGAGGAGTCAGAGGAGAGAGAGGAGACACTGAGGAGATATTTCCTGTTACCTTTAATCTTGTTTTTCTGCTCCTCCTCCTCCGTGTGAAGTTTCTCAGGACTCTCACTGCAGACACAAACATGTTCAAACTGACGATTTCTTCTGTTTTTAATCATTTTACTCAAATAATACAAACAACAAAAACTTTATAAAATCAGTGACATAAGAAATTTAAAGATAGAATATACAGTATGTACAATGTTGTGATGAGTTGACTTCTCCACTCTACCTGCTTGTTTGGAGTCCTCCCTTCACTTCCTGCTCCCTCAGTCTCTCTTCCTGCTCCTTTAGTTTCTCCTCCTTCTCCTTTAGCCTCTGCTCCTGCTCCCTCAGCTTCTCCTCTTTACGCAGACGAACTCTGAAGTACAGTGGAGAAGGACCAGAAGGTTTAGTTTTTGTCTTAAATTGACATGAATTACATCCTGTTTTCATTCATGTTTATATATACCTCTTGTGTATACCTGTGTTCACTGTGTGCATACACCTGTGTTCACTGTGTGCATACCCGTGTTCACTGTGTGCATACCCGTGTTCACTGTGTGTATACCCGTGTTCACTGTGTGTATACCCGTGTTCACTGTGTGTATACCCGTGTTCACTGTGTGTATACCCGTGTTCACTGTGTGTATACCCGTGTTCACTGTGCATATACCTGTGTTCACTGTGTATATATACCTGTGTGTGTATACCTGTGTTCACTGTGTGTATATACCTGTGTTCACTGTGTACATACACCTGTGTTCACTGTGTGCATATACCTGTGTGTATATACCTGTGTTCACTGTGTACATACACCTGTGTTCACTGTGTGTATATACCCGTGTTCACTGTGTGCATACCTGTATGCGGCCTCCTCTCTCTCTCTGCGGTGTTGTTCAGATCTGATCTCTCTCAGTTCCTGTCTGGCGGCTCGTTGATCCTCCACACAGTCTTCAATCAGATCTCTGGTGGACGCCAACGTCAGCAACTTCCCCAACAGAGCCTGCAGGATCCTCAGCTTCTCCCCTAAACACACCAACACCAATAACTAATTTATAACTCAGCCATAACTCATTTATAAATGTTCTAATCATGACAGTTATTATCTGACCTGGTGTCAGGTCGTACACCGCCGTGTTAGACAGCCTCTTCAGCAGCAACGGCTCGGCCAACCGCAGCTCGACACATGGGTCGTCCATCAGCGTAAACCCGCCTTGCTTCTGGTAGCGGAACTTGGCATTGCCATGGTAACAGTCTGCCCCAGATGCAAGGATATGAAGACGCAGGATTTCTGACAGCGTGCAGCTGTCCAGGTCGAGCTGCTTCAGACTGCAGCCCTGATGTAGCTGAGGCCAGGCCGCTGCCAATGAGGCTACGGCGCTCAGAGCAGACTGAGTGGCATCAGAATCATCCTCTAGAGCCTCCGACAGGTCTGTGTATGAACAACACAGGACACACACACATCTTATATTTACATTACACACACTTTGTTAGAAACTGAACATCTGATGACAACTAAACTGTAGCTGTCAGCTGTCTCAGAGGACCAATCACTGCTCTCCATGCAGCCCCCACGTGTTTGTGTATTTCTCAGTAGATGTTTACATGAGCGAAACTTCTTTAATACGAACAAAATCATTCAGATTGGGGGGGGTTCCAGATTCACTGTTTACATGGACACTGATGTGTGTGTGCATCAAATGTTTATTCAGAATAAAAGCATTGCGACATGTTCAGAGCTTCCTGTTAGTCTTATCTGTTCCTTCCTGTTAAGAGCAATAAAAAAAAAATGTGCTCTAACTTCCTCTCAGCAGTCAGAACTCAAACCCTGTGTGTTTATTTCCCCGTTATTATTTTCAGACTAGTTTTTAAAACACGTTACAGTCTCCGTGCACATCGACTCCGCCTGTGTTGTAAACAAACTCTGCTGTCGCTGCACGTTTCCAGAAGTCTGTTCTACGAAGCGAAGTTAACACACCCAGGGTACCTTTGGGTTATCTGGCTTCACTAACATCAGAGATATTGATTAACAGTCAGACGAAGCCGTTTATCAACCTGATAAGTTACCCTCGAGTTTCCAAGAGCGCATTCACACTAAAGGGGCGGAATTAGCTTCATATAACCTATCACAATCGTAACTGGGTCTCCCGTTAGCAGACCGTCATAGCTAACAAACTCTGAACAAACTACATTAATAATATAATGAGGTTTAAAACAAACCCAGAGACTAAAGTTACACAGCTGCAGGAACAACAACTGGCAGAAAAAAGAAACATAACAGAGTATTAATGTCCAAACTACAGATTATTATATTTCAGTCCCATCGTCAGTTCACCTTAGAACCGAAGATAATAACTCCTGTTTTTCCTCTGAACTGGACGTGTGTCTCTGACTCATGTGGAGAGTATAACAGTTTGAGAAGTTATATTTCAGCTCTGAAGATAAAAAACAGAGCAACATGGAGACACTAAACATTCATATGAAAATATCAATCAAAGACATAAGAAGATATTCATCATTTAACATCTTAAAAACACAACTCAAAGGCTCCGGTGCTTTTTTTTAGTCTCTGTTAAAAAGGATGATATCATTCACTTTACGGACTATAATGTTATTATACGGGACACATGAAGGGTCTCTCTCCCTTCTCCCCCCTCTCCATCAGCTCCCTCCACCATCAAGAGATCTGATTTGTCAGTGGGGGGAGACTTTCACAGGTTGATCTCTTATCTCCAATATAACCTGGAGCAGGTTAGGTGTGCAGCAAAGGTTACCATGGCGATATACCCAGATAAGTGAACCCCCTTCGTAGGAATGAAAACCCAGAGTTAACCCTGAAGTGACCTCGCTAACCGCAAATCCTGCTTCGTAGTCCAGGCCCCTGATGTTACTCCTCTGCTCTCCCCCTCGCTGTGTGGCAGATACTTCCTTCTCCTCCTCTCATATCTGTGACTTTGGATGTCTGTATTTGACCTCTTCTCTTGCTATTTAAGATGAAAGCTCTGCAGGATATAATCTGCAGTCGATAAACAGGTGAAGAGTGCTGCAGAACTTTTAGACTCGCTCCGTGAGAATAGGTGTTTACATGAAGCATTTTTATTCCAACCAGGTTTTTATTCCGATTATTTAGTGTCCATGTAAACACAGCTTGTGTCTCACCTTCAACCTGGTCTTTAGCCACCTCCTCCTGCTCCTCATCCAGGGCCTGAAAGATGGCCGACAGGAAAAAGAAGAGCAGCTCACACAGAGGACCTTCAGGGTCAGAACCAACCAGAGCCTCCTCCAGCACCTCTGTGGAGAGAGAGAACATCTGTTAGAACAAACACAACATGTGGAAGAACCAGGACTAGCTGTGACAAAGTCATTAAAACTTGGCTGGAAGTGCTAGCACTGCTAACGTTAGCCTCACTCTGCCAACTCATTTGCGGTTGTTTACCAGCAGACGCTGAGATACGGCTCGGTCTGATGTGACTGAGTTTATTACAACAACAGCTGCATGAAATATTCAGACAAGTGGACGAGGGAATCGGTTGTTAAGAACATAACGGAACCAGAACACAGAACAACACTGTTACAGGGTCCTGGTCCAGGTTCTTTAAAGAACGTGTTCTAACCCAGAGAGACTCCGTCGGGGAACTCGTCCTTCAGGTCAAAGACCTCCCCGAAGGCCCGCAAGAACTCCAGAACCATCAGAGCTTCTCCGAAGAGCTCTGCAGGAAGACGGGTCCTCACAGGTACTGGACTGGGTAGCTCCTGGAGGAACAGACACAGATCCTGGATCAGTCCATCTACTTCACTCATCATGATTTTATTTATTACAGTGTTGACTTCACTGACCTTCAGGTCTTCACACTCCATATCCTCTCTGGGTTTGTTCCACAGTTTCAGTCGTTCAGCGTATTTCTTCTTCTCCTCCTTCAGCTTCTCTCGTTCCTGTCAGAACATTTCAAACATTAAATTACATAAAACTGAAATCTGAAGATTATAAACCTCTCCGAGTGACCTACCCGCTCCTTCTCCAGCTTCCTGAGCTCCTTCTCCTCCCTCCTCTTCTGTTTCTCCTCCTCAAACTTCTTCCTGTGCTCCTCCTTCAGCCTCTCTCTGTTCTCCTTCTCTCTCCTCTTGGACTCCTGCACCTCCTCCTTCTCCTTCTTCAGACGAGCTCTGTCCTGAGCAGAAGCTGCCATCTCCTCCCTCTGCTGCAGCAGCTTCAGCTTCTCCGCCGCCTTCAGCAGCGACGAGCCGGCCTGTGAACACACCACAGAGCTTCATCATAACTCTGACTCCTCCACACCTCACTGAGCAGGACAATTCACAACCAATACAAATAAACTATAAATATATTCATGTAGCAGAAACATTCAATATGTCATGATATCTAAAGAATGTTCATCCTAAACATCAGACATCTAAGCCATCACCTCACCTGTCCAGGTGAACCCCGCCCTCCTCCTTTAGAGGAGGGGCTGAAGGGGAACTGGGGGGGCTCATCAGGGAAGAACTGAGAGAATGTTTGTTCAGACAGTCCGTACTTCATCACTGTGGAGGACTGAGACACACAGAGCACAGGAAGTCACCGTCAGAACACCGGAAGTCACCATCAGACGATGTGACAATAAAACCCTTTTCACACATACGGAAATCTCCTGAAAAACTCCGGAGATTTGGCTACCCGGAGGTTCTTTAGGCTATATGTGAACGCTAACAGCTGCATTTTTCGTACAGACTTTACCCGGAGTTTATCCGGCCAGACCCCTAGTATTTTATCCACAGAATATCCGAGTGAGCTGATGTCTGAACACGGCCGAATATTCTCCGGAGATTTCAATTTCAGCCAATGAAAAGAGAATGACGTTAGATATTTTCCGGAGTGCATATGTGAAAACGGCTTAAGAAAAGAACTTGTTTTGGTAAATCAGTTGAAGATGAATACTAAGTGTAATGTGAGGCGGGTATGTGCGTCACCTTCAGTGCGATGGTCCCGTTCTGTGGCTCACAGTGCTGCTTAAAGAGCAGCTTCAGTTTCTCTCGGGACACCAGGGTCTTCCTGCGACTGAACACACACAGAAGCAGAATGTTTCCTCAGATCACTAACACTGGCTGAAGACAGGACAGCGAGCTGTTGACAGGTTTAAATGATCAGTCAGCTTGTTTGTTCATCAAGTATTCATGTAGACATTCCAGAGTGCAGACATTACATTCAGATTGTTTATATGACAGCCTGTCCTGACAGCACGTGACGACAAAAGCAGCCTGATTCTACTGTTTTCTGTTGGAGTGACCTAAACGCCTGCGAGCTGTGTTTCTATTTTCCTCTGTCGCTCCAGTAGACGGATAAGGAACGTGAAAGGAGGGGTCTCTACAAGGTACTGACTCTCTCCTCCCTCAGCAGAGCTTGTTGTACAAAGTGGAGCTAACGCTGCATTAATAATATCCACATCATGATTGAGATGTTGACCTTTGACAAAAAAACGTTATTCAGCTCGTGGCGAGCCGTTTATTGAAGAGCCTCTGAGTGTTGAGATTTGAGTCAACAGCTCATCAATACAAAGCGCCACACTTCAGTTTGTCCTCCTTCAAAATAAAAGCACCACACTTCAGTTTGTCCAGCTTCAAAATAAAAGCACCACACTTCAGTTTGTCCACCTTCAAAATAAAAGCGCCACACTTCAGTTTGTCCACCTTCAAAATAAAAGTGCCACACTTCAGTTTGTCCAGCTTCAAAATAAAAGCACCACACTTCAGTTTGTCCAGCTTCAAAATAAAAGCACCACACTTCAGTTTGTCCACCTTCAAAATAAAAGCACCACATGTTATAATGTTTACAAGAGGAAACTGAACCAACTGATCAATTACCTCAACAACCAGATTTATCCAAAAACAACACAAATTTATTTAAAGTACACACACAGCCAGTGAGTGTGATGTCACAGGATACAGGTGAACCTCCTCACCTGAGCTGGTTGGCTTTCACAGTGAACGGCTCGCTGTGTTCGTCCTTCATCATCCTCACTGTGTATTTAAACACTGACGGGTTTAGAGACTTCTTCTTCTTCCTGCTGACACATGAACACACACACGAATGCGATACCCGTTTGTTACCATGGCAACAGAAAGACAAGTCCTAAACACCAGATATTGGATCATTTATTTTTAATGGCCAAGAGTTTCAAACAACCTCCTGAACTCGTATCATTTCAAACTCGCAGTATCAAAAAGTAAAGTGTTGAAAATGTTGGCACCCTTAAAGCTGATGAACTTTGACATACTCACCCGTTGACCTGTGCTGTGGGGCTCTGGAAGTCTTTGCTCTCCTCGTCGCTGTCGCTGATGACAATAGTGTCACCTTCAGCTGGTTTGGCATGGCCGTTAACGGCTGGCGCTCCGTTAGCGCTGGAATGAGGAGAGTTAACCTGCAGGATCTCGCACACATGTCTGCAAACACACACACACACAGAGCTGCTGATGACTCCACAGAATCGACTCACACATTCACAACAGCTGCTTGGACAAACATCCTGCAGTCACAACATGCTGAGTTCTCTGCTCCGTGACAGATCTTCATGTTGTTATTTTAAACACTAAATCTCCTCAGCAGAACATCGTTCACCTTCATGTCCTGCAGCATGTCTGAGGAATCCTTTTACCTCAAACCCAGGCCTCCTCTTTTACTTAACTAAGTATTCTGACAACACTACAGGAAGGATTCCTGCAGAGATGTTGGTTCAAGAGGAAGATGATTTTTTTAACCCACAGACACACCAGGTGCACTGTTAAAGTACCTGGCTCCATTGCGTACTGAGACATCTACGGTCTCTCCGGGGAAGAAGCGGTCTTTGACGAAGGTGTAGACGTCCTCGCAGAGCTCCGACAGTCTGCAGCGGTGGCTCAGAGCGGCCAGGTGGAGCAGAGGAACCACCAGTGATGTTGGAAAGCTCTGTAAGCTCTGCTTCGCCCGCCGCTCGCTCTCCACCGCTTCCAGGTAAGTCAGGCCTGCTCGCCCTGTCAGAGCGCAGCTCCACACCAAACTGTTGCAGAGGATGGTGCGCTCGAAAAACTCACTGAGGAGAGATTAGAGGGGAAAATGAGAGGAGTGATACCTCCTGTCAGACACAAAGATGGGAAATACCTTTAAAAACTGTAGCATGGAACAGTCTTTAAATCAGACCTTTAAACTGTGACATGATTCTGTCTGTTACCATGGCAACAGATATACAAGTCCTTGAGACCCGATGTTGGTCATTTTTCTGATTTTAAGTTTTCAGACAACGTTGTAGGAAAATCTCCTGCAGACTTTCTAAACTGTACATAAGCGTTTCCGACTTACTGGTAAAAAATGTTGTTTTTGTGCAGTTCAGACACAGAGCACGAGTTTACCTGCACTCTGTTATGATTTTGTTCTTCTCCAGCACACCTGTCTTATGAAAGAGAGGTCAGACCGTCTCTGTTTGCACCTCAAGTATTGAGAATATGACTTCCATTATTAGACTAAAGTTTAGATTTTCTGTTTGTGTGAAGGAGTTCTTCAGTTAGCAGCTCAGACAGTTTGTGACGTTGTAAGGTCTGAACAAGGAGACGTCAGTTTGTTTTATTATTATTATTAATATTTACAAATTGTTTATATGATGATTATTAACTCAGTGACAGTCATCACAGGACGATCACCAGATCTCTTTTACATTTTGAGACTTTCACTTGACTCAAAGAATATTTTAAAGTTTGATGTTTTGTCAAAGATTCGTTAACATGTCGTCTCCATCGGGATCCCACAATGATGAGCACGAGACAATCAAGATTAAACGATGACTGAGCTGCACGCAGCTTCGCTCATTTTTTCCAAAGGTTTAGTCAATTATCAGTTAAAAAATAATCGCGATGATGATTTCTGACATTACCGAGCCGTCCTACATGAACCTGAGGTCATATTTCACATCGAGGGCCGAGAGAAGTGAATGTTTAAAAGCTTCCACACTTTTTGATCATTAGAACCACAGATTGTATTAATTATAACTTTACTGATATGAGGTACTGAGATGTCACTTCATGTTTGTGTACCTGAAGTTAATTTAATGAAGTAAACACAAGCTGTGAGTTGTTTTAAGTTAGAGGAGAGTTCATGTTGATTTCATGTTAGAGGAGTTTTCAGTCTCTGAACAGCTGATGGCTGAACACACACACAGGAGGACATTTTATTCACCTGTGTGATGTCACACTCCACCTGGGAGGGCTCTCTGACGTCAACTGGCCTACGTCACACAGGTGAGTGTTCCTTTAAGTGACCCTGAGCAGGTGAAGTGTCCGCGGGCCTGTTGGTCTCAGCTAACGGCTAAAAGTAGCTGAGCTAACCGACTGACAGCTTCACTGTTAGCTCACACGGCTAACAGCGGCTAGCTCACTTTAGCTCAGGCGGCTAGCTCACTTCAGCTAACAGTACACCTGTCCTCGAGGTGTTTGGACCCCCTATCTGACAGCAGGAATCTGTTGGAGCTGTATCCTCTCCGTATTTACACACTTTCACCTTTTTTTTTCAGCTCAGTAAACTTCTATTCACACTCTGAAAAAGTTGCTTTTGTTTGTCGCGTCTGGAAGTTTTCCAGCCGACTGTCAGTCAGAAGATCTCAGACTGCTCTCAGGTGAGCCAGGTGAGCTCTCAGGTACTCACTCGTAGCTTCTGAAGATCTCGTGGGTGATCTTACAGAGGAAAACCTCCTCGTCCGGCCGCAGGTCAGCCGGAGGTCTGTGCCGGATGAAGGCTCTCCTGTGGAGGAGCGGCATCTCTCAGCTCCGCGTCCACAGAGCTCTGTGGGGGGAAAAAAAAGGAGGGAAACCGGCTTAGAAACACCGAACCGGGCACACAAACTCCCGCTAAACTCACACAAACTCCCCCGGTACACTTTAACGGAAGCCCTGAGGCGGGAGAAGCGGCCGAAACACCGAGCAGAGCGCGTGCGGAGCGGCGCGGGTCTTTTGTTAGACTCGGTGATAATCTGCCCACATGGAGATGAGCCGCTCACACACTCTCCGTTTACTGCACAACAATGGAAACACACACTCTGCTCTCGCTCTCTCTCACACACACACACACACACTACGACACACACCGGCAGCGGCGACAGTTACCGAGTTGTGTAACGATAAAGCGATAATCCGCCGTTAGGATGAGAGTAGAAGAAGTAGTCCCGGGCTCGGAGCCGCTCGCACTGGCGGCTTGTTGACCAAGTTTTAAACCACTTCACGGACCCGCTGAGAGCTCGGAAACCACAGGGTCTAATTCATACCGGCTTCTATACACTGAAGTTTAAACATGAAATGTTCCCCAGATGATGATTTTTTTTAGTTTTTGCTTGCAATAAAAAAGCAGACTGCAGTGTGAAAATGTTTCTCAGATACAACTTTATTTAATGGTAACAAATGCCGCCCTCAAAAGGGGGGAAATGGGAAAACTATTTGTTATAAAAGAAAGAGTGTGCGCTCAGAAATTTAATTGTTCAGCCACATACTAGTGAATCAAAGTTGAAAGACATGACGTAAAAGTTGTTATATATTCAAAGAAGGACAAAGGTCCACACACTGTTCAGCTCCCAATAAAGGACTTTATTTTAAACAGGGCAATGTTTTGATCCTAAAGATCTTCCTCAGCCAAATGTGGCAGGAGACAAAGTCTTCTAAAATGAGGCAGTCAGCAAAAAAAATCATCATCACCTACAATTCTTTAAGAAGACATCTTTATCCAAAGTAATGAACATCAGAGAGTGAGTACAACACAAGCGATTGTCTAGAGAGGAGAGAACAGTTACTGGGTCTATGTACTGGGTCTTTCAGGGTCTATGTACTGGGTCTTTCAGGGGTCCTGTGTAAATGGAGCTTCTGTGTTTGTTTTTAGTTTTTCTTCTCATCGCCCGTCTTTGTTTTAAAAACCTCCATAATTAGGATAACTAATAAACATTTAAATAATGATTTCTGAGTTTTAACACTTTAATGGAGTCCCATAAATCAACATGACACCAACGAAGAAGAGAGAAAGTGTGTGTGTGTAACTGAGTGTGTGTGTGTGTGTGTGTGTGTATGTCTGCCTGCTGGAATCATAACTCTTCAGATGTTCAACACATCAGTGTTTCTGTACTGAGAGTTAGAAACAGCTGAGTCACAGTTTACCGCCAGTCTGTTTACTCACCTTTACAAATCTGAAATAATTCCAAAATACAAACAACAACATAAAAACCGGAAATCTTCCACATGAAGTCTTTGTCTCGTGTGTCCCGTTTGCGTGATTGACAGTTTATTCGTTTCCAATTAGCGGCGTGCCCCCTGAACGCACCATGAGCAGTGAGTGAGTGGGCGGGGCTTCACCGTCCTCCACAGCGTCGGTTGGCCGGCCGTCCTGCCGCTCCTCCTGTCCAGCCAATGTTTGCCGCGGAAACGCTCGCGCTGCGTGTGTGCAAGGCAGACCGCTGTGATGGAACGGGGGCGGTGACGTCAGAGGGGTTAACGGCAGGAAGTGGTGACTAGAAGGTTGATGACGCAGAGTGAGTGACAGCAGGAGGAAGAGGAGCTGTGTCATCAGAGCGTAAATCAAATCAGCTGTTTGAAGATTATTTATTATCCAATGTTTGAGAAGTGTAGCTGTCGCAGAACATTATATTTCTTTGAACAGGATTTGTTGTAATTACAGAGAAAATGTTTTATTTTGAAATGTGTTCAGATTCTATGCTCTGTTACTGACACCTACTGGTCTAATTGTGTATTGCACTGAGTGTTCTGCATGCAGTGTTCACATGTTTAATTGGAGCAATAAAAACGTGCTGCCAGACGCTAGTACCAACGGTAGGACACAGATGAAGGAGACGCGTCTGTGAAGAACTTTAAAAGACTGCAAAGCCTAAACATTTCTGGTTAGAAGGCGCACACGGTATGTAATTGTGTTTTTATTTGTAAAGGACATTTTGTTTAGCTTTTGTATAGTCATCCATGCTCATGAATGCTTGTGTCTTTATTTACTTCATTTTAGTTTTTCACGGTGTTTGCTGACAAAAGGAAAAGAATAAATATTGGTCAAACATCAGTTGGAGCGTAGCTTATCTGTACCAGATGAAGAAACTTTGGGAGCAGTTATAGTGAAAAACGTAGCCATTCCAGGAGAGAGCAGCACGATTCCTGGACGGCCATGCTTCAAGGACTTCATTACAGCAGCCCACATGGAAGATCTGCCTACATATTCGTGAATCAGCTGGACATTGGAGCTACATGTGTCTAATCCAGCTCGATTGAAAAGGGACCATAAAACAACAGTTTTTGGACAGTGCAGTTCTGCAAATAAATCACAACACCTTTGGAATACCAGGTCAGAGTATCTTTCAAGTTTAGAAACGGTTAATTCCTAGTTAATGTAAAGCGAAAACTGAGCTCTTGTAAATTTATCAGAACTGTATTACTTGTTTGATATTGTTCAATAATTTAGACAGTATATTCTTCTAATGTTTTCTAAGTAATCTTTCACTATATAATATTTAAGAGGTGTTAGTTCAAACTACAGTTGAAAATGGAGCAGAGTACATCAGAAAACACATTAAAGCAAGTACTTGCAGCTCTAGAATATGAGAAAGCACAGTTGCAAGAGCAATTAGAAACTGAACTTGAGGACTCAGAAAGACAAGAAATTGAAACACGTGTAGGAGAAATTTGTGCAGATCTTGAAATACAGAAGATAGGATTGTTCCAACCACCTTCTCAAGTTGAAACAGAGGTTAGACGATCAGAAAGGGAAAAACATCCAACAGAAAAAATGCTTGAGTTTAAAAGAACTGAAATAACAAAAAAGGAAAGAAAGTTTATGTCAAGGTATGTAAACTTTAAAGCAGAGGTTCAACTCACAAGATCTAAACTTAAGGAAGAATGCTCTAAAACTGAGTTAAGTGAAATGTTTAAATCTGTAGAAAAATGTGAGTCAGAACTAAAACAAGAGTATGAGAGTTTACGTGCACTTACCATGCCATCTCAAGACATAAGAAGGAAGATGGATAGCTGCACTTCAGTTACTACTGAAATTACTCTCCTCCTGAAAAGCCGGTATGCAGATGTTGATATCAAGGAGTTTGACTCGTCGGCTGTTAAAGAATCACTCCTTCAGTTACTCCAAAGAGAAGATGCAAAGTCAATTTATGGATCAACTGTTTCTAGAGCTGGACTGAGTAGTCAGCAAAGTCATAGCCAGGAAGGAAGCCATGTAACTGCAAAGAAGGCTGATGCAGCTGCACGTTTGGCATCAAAACGGGCTGAAATAAACAGGGAGATGGAAATCTCTGCTCAGAGAAAAGAGGTTCTAGCTCAGCAAGAGAAGTTAAAATTGTTGGAAGAACAAAGGGATCTTGAAGTCATAGAGGCTGAATACAATGTGTACGCAGAAGAGGAATCAAAATTGAATGCTGAAATAAGAGATATTGAAGTAAAAAGTACTTTGTTTGTAAGTCAGTTTCCAATGCAGCACAACAGCGCTCCATGCACCCAAGTTCCCCAAAGCTCAACAGCCCTTCCTTGCTCTAAAGTTAAATCAAACCAGATTCCCCAGAGTTTTCCAGTTCCTCACTACTCTGACAGGAAACTAGAGCAAAAGGAAAGCGAAGCCTCGCTAGTCCAAGCATTGAAAGAATCCCTGGCAATGACTAGACTTCCAGCACCAGAGCCGTTTATGTTTACAGGAGACCCTCTCAAATTCACAGAGTGGAGCACCTGCTTTAAGGCTCTAATTGAGACAAGTTGTACAGATCCAGCACATAAGTTGTTCTATTTGAAAAAATACATAAGTGGAGAAGCACTTTGTGTGTTAGAAGGAACATTTTATCGGAGTGATGCGGAAGCGTATGCACAGGCTTGGGATGCTCTGAACAAACGCTATGGCCACCCCTTTGTAGTTCAAAGAGCTTTCCGGGGAAAACTGAGCAGCTGGCCAAAGATTGGACCAAAAGAATCTCTTAAATTAAGAGAGTTCAGTGATTTCCTCATCTCATGTAAGAATGCCATTCCCCATGTGCAAGGTCTCAGGGTTTTAGATGATTGTGAGGAAAATCAGAAATTATTACTGAAACTTCCTGACTGGGCAACAACCCGCTGGAACCGGTACGTTACTAGAACACTGGATGAAGGGAAGCATATCCGGGTTTCAAGAATTTGCAGACTTTGTAGCCGAAGAGGCGCGCATAGCATGCAATCCAGTTTCCTCCCTGTATGCATTAAAGCACACATGCGAAAAGCCTGAGAAGGAACAGAAACGTCTGAAAGCCAGTGTCCTAGTAGCTTCAACAAAGGTCTCTAAAAATCCAAAACCCACTCCAAGGGCCACAGGTACGTCTCAGGGTGACAAAAGTTCCAAACCCAGCTATCCTGCAACTCAAAATAAAAGGCAAATTCAATGTATCTACTGTCAACAACAGCACTTTATCTATAAATGTGGAAAATTTGTGGCGATACCTGTTGAAGAAAGGAAAAAATTCATCATTGAAAACAACATGTGCTTCGGTTGCCTCAGAGTTGGCCATATTTCCAAAAATTGTCGTCAGAGAGTCACTTGTAACATTTGCAGGCGAAGCCATCCCTCTCCGCTTCATGAGGAACGCCCTCAAGGAGAAAGGTCTGAAACACCACCACAAGAGGACAGTGCTTCCTCTGTTTCATGCAGTGTGAGAGTGGGAAACAGTGACCGCACTTCGATGATTGTTCCTGTGTGGCTTTCTTGTGCAGCAGGAAACAGCCCAGAAACCTTGGTGTACGCATTACTGGACACACAAAGCAGTAATACATTTATTGACCAAGACATTTGTGAAAAAATTCAGGTAAACACAGAACCTGTTAAGCTAAAGTTAACAACAATGACTGATAGGGGTTCAATCGTGCATTGTCAAAAGGTGGAAGGACTCATAGTAAGAGGATATCATTCACACGAGTACATTGAGCTGCCACCCACTTACACTCGAGAATACATTCCAATGGAGAAAAATAGTATTCCAACTCGTGAGACAGCAAAAAGGTGGACCCATCTTCTCAGCATTGCAGAAGAGATACCAGATTGTTGAACTGTCCTGCAGGACTCCTGATTGGTTTTGACTGTGCAAGGGCTCTGAAACCAAGGAAAGTCATAACAGGAGATGATTACGATCCATATGCAGTCAAAACTGACTTAGGCTGGAGTATCGTGGGATCCATTAAACCTTGGATTAGTTCATTGGACGTGGCAGGGATCTGCCATCGTGTCTCTGTGAAAGAACTTCCATCTATCACACCTGCCTCTGTGATCAAAGCACTGGAAACAGATTTTCAAGACACGAACAATCGAGAAATAAACATATCTCAAGAGGACATCCAGTTTTTACAGCTCTTGAATGGAAACATTCATCAGAATAAGGAAGGCCATCTGGAAATGCCTCTACCCTTCAGAGAACGTCCACAGCTTCCAAACAACAAGCAGCTTGCTACAGTTCGATTGAAGCATTTGAAAAGAAAAATGGAGAAAAATCCCAAGTACAAAGAGGATTATATGAAATTTATGGACGGTGTCTTTGAGGATGGTGATGCTGAAGAAGCAGATAGCACACCAAAGGAGGGTAATACATGGTACATTCCTCACCATGGAGTGTACCACCCAAGGAAGCCAGAGAAAATTAGAGTTGTCTTTGACTGCTCTGCCAGATTTGAAGGCACCTCTCTTAACGACCACCTACTGACAGGACCGGATTTGACCAATGCTCTGGCTGGAGTGTTGTGCAGATTTCGCCAAGGTCAAATCGCAATCATGTGCGATGTGGAGAAAATGTTCCACCGCTTCCATGTTAGCCAAGAAGATCGTGATTTCATAAGGTTCCTGTGGTGGAAAGATGGGAACACAGACACTGAGCCCAAGGAATATCGCATGCGGGTGCATATTTTTGGAGCGGCATCTTCTCCAGGATGTGCCAACTATGGCATGAAACATCTCGCCAGTGAATATGAAAAAGACTACCCTTTGGCAGCCAGCTTCATTCGCAAACATTTCTATGTGGATGATGGGCTCATCAGCGTGGATTCAGTTGACCATGCAAAACAGCTGGTCAATGAAGCACAAGAAATTTGTGTCAAAGGAAAGCTGCGCTTACACAAATTTGTGTGCAACAACAGAGAGGTCCTGGATGCCATTCCAGAGACGGAACGTGCAAGTGACAGGAAAGATGTAAATCTCAGCTACAATGAGGTTCCAATGCAGAGTGTACTTGGAGTAAAGTGGAATCTAGATGCTGATGTGTTCTCATTCAGCGTCGTCCTCAAAGAAAAGCCAGCCACACGACGAGGAATCCTAGCAACAGTGGCAAGTGTGTATGATCCACTAGGATTTCTCTCTCCCTACATCTTGTACGGAAAACAAGTGCTGCAAGAAATGTGCAAGCGTGGTGTTGGATGGGACGAGCCTGTTCCCCCTGCACTCAAGACCAAATGGGAAACATGGCTCTGTGACCTGAAAAATCTTCAAAAAATTCAAATACCAAGATGTCTCATTCCTGAGAATCACGGTACAATCCAAAAGATGGAGCTACATCATTTTTCTGATGCAAGCAGCAGTGGTTATGGACAATGTTCATATATCAGGATTGTTGCCGACGAACAAATACATTGTGCACTGGTCATGGGTAAGGCCCGAGTGGCCCCCACAAACATTGTCACCATCCCACGCCTTGAGCTCACTGCAGCTGCAGTTTCTGCTGGAGTAAGCAACTTCCTCAGAACAGAGCTTGAGCTGAAGATAGATGAAGAGTTTTTCTGGACAGATTCACAGGTGGTGCTCGGGTACATTAAAAATGAAGCTCGGCGCTTTCATGTTTTTGTTGCCAATCGCGTCCAGAAAATAAGAGACACTACAGATCCAAGACAATGGTTCTACATTGAAACAGATCAAAATCCAGCAGACCATGCGTCTAGGGGTCTCAAGGTGGCAGACTTGGTTGACTCAAACTGGCTCACTGGACCGAAGTTTTTATGGGAACGGGAAATTGTCAAGATTCAACATTCTCCAGAACTTCTCGTTGGTGATCCAGAGGTAAAGGTTCTGAAGACAAATGCTCTTGAAAATGACAGCTTTCTTGCAAGGTTCTCAAGATTTTCTGACTGGAATACAACCCTCAATGTTGTCGCAAGGATAAAAAGACTGGCAAAGAGGGACAAGTCAGGGCCCATTAGTGTGGAAGAGAGAAAATTGGCATCTTTTGCACTCATCCAGGCAGCGCAAAGAGAAGACTTTGAAGAGGAGCTTAAATGGTTTACTCAAAAATCAGCTAAACTACCAAAAACTCATAAGATGTTCCAACTTGATCCCATCCTCGTTAATGACTTGCTTAGGGTTGGAGGGCGGTTGAGAAAGTCTTCTGCATCTTTTGAGCTGAAACATCCAGTAATACTTCCTAAGGAAGGCATTATCACACAACTAATACTTGATCATTATCACAAGAAAACACAACATCAAGGCCGAGGCCAAACATTGAACGAACTCAGGGCCAGCGGATATTGGATAATAGGTGCCAGTAGGTAGTGGCCAAGCATATCAAGTGTTGTGTCACTTGCAGAAAGGTACGTGGACCGACTGAAGAACAGCGCATGGCTGACTTGCCAGTTGACCATGTAGATCCTTCACCCCCTTTCTCATACACTGGACTTGACTGTTTCGGCCCCTTCTATACAAAACATGGTCGGAAAGAATGTAAGCGATATGGCCTGTTGTTCACGTGTTTAAGCTCCAGAGCCATTCACATTGAAATGTTAGAGGATCTCACTACTGATGCATTCATAAATGCTTTGAGATGCTTTATAGCAATCAGAGGAGCAGTAAGACAGATTCGATCTGACCAAGGTACGAATTTTGTCGGGGCAAAGAATGAGTTGGAGAAAAGTCTATTGAAGCTAGACAAAGAGAGGATTTCCACCTATCTGGCTCAAAACCAATGCGACTTCCTAATGAATGTTCCTGAAGCAAGCCACAGGGGTGGTGTTTGGGAACGCCAGATCCGGACAGTCAGGAGCGTAATGAGGTCTGTCCTGGCACAAGTCACAGGAAGGCTAGATGACTCTTCACTGAGAACATTCTTCTATGAAGCCATGTCGATTGTGAACAATCGCCCACTAACCACAGATACAATCAGTGACCCCAAAAGTGTTGAGCCTTTGACGCCTAATCATTTACTCACGATGAAGACATCTCTTCCCCTGCCGCCTCCTGGCAATTTTGTCAGAGAAGATTTGTACGCCAGGAAAAGATGGCGGAGGGTGCAATATCTGACAGAACAATTCTGGAGCAGGTGGCGCAAGGAATACTTGACCAACATATGCCTAAGACAACAGTGGCATGCGCCCAAAAGAAATGTACGAGTTGGGGATGTAGTGATTGTTAAAGATGACAATACTCCAAGAAATGAGTGGAAACTAGCCAGAGTAGTTGAGACAAGTGAAGATGATGATGGTCTTGTGCGAAAGGTTAAAATCCAAATAGGAAAGAGAGATTTAGGAAAGAAAGGTGAACGCTTGAAGCCACTTTCTTTTCTTGAACGTCCAGTTCAAAAACTAGTGGTTTTAGTTGAGGATGAATCCTAAACTACAAGTGAAATACTACTAAAATTAGACAAAATAAATACAAAAAGGAGTATAGTTTGTTGGGTTGAGAGTCAATATTATTAATGTCATTGAAGCTCTAATGACTTGAAGATTGATTGTTAATTCATCGAAAATTACTTGATTTAAATGTTTGGTTGGGACATATGATGAATATAAATCTTTGTAATTTTGGTGGCAGTGTAGCTGTCGCAGAACATTATATTTCTTTGAACAGGATTTGTTGTAATTACAGAGAAAATGTTTTATTTTGAAATGTGTTCAGATTCTATGCTCTGTTACTGACACCTACTGGTCTAATTGTGTATTGCACTGAGTGTTCTGCATGCAGTGTTCACATGTTTAATTGGAGCAATAAAAACGTGCTGCCAGACGCTAGTACCAACGGTAGGACACAGATGAAGGAGACGCGTCTGTGAAGAACTTTAAAAGACTGCAAAGCCTAAACATTTCTGGTTAGAAGGCGCACACGGTATGTAATTGTGTTTTTATTTGTAAAGGACATTTTGTTTAGCTTTTGTATAGTCATCCATGCTCATGAATGCTTGTGTCTTTATTTACTTCATTTTAGTTTTTCACGGTGTTTGCTGACAAAAGGAAAAGAATAAATATTGGTCAAACATCAGTTGGAGCGTGGCTTATCTGTACCAGATGAAGAAACTTTGGGAGCAGTTATAAGAAGATTTGACTTATTTGACTTTTATTATTATTTTATTATTTATTTAAATGACAGACATCTTTTTCTTAAATGACATCATCGGACAGGTGTGCAAGAGACAAATTAATGTATCACAAGAAAGCTGTCAAAATTGCACAAATAAGTCGGTAACGTCTCTGTAGTACTTCTAGTGTCCAGCGGGGGGGGGGAGGGTCTGATTGTATTTAAATCTCTGATCAAATGTTGATTTATTCCCTCACTAAACATTTTTCTCACAAGTTTATGGTCTCAATCTCTAGTTTCAAGTCTTCTTCAACACAGCATGATGTTCATTTAGTTAAGTATGGTCCAATTAGAGTCAAAGAGACCAGGAAGAGGGGAGAAGTTAGGGGCGGGGCTATCTGGGCTATCTAATTCTTGCTCTTAGTTTGGTTGTACTAAAAGAAGCTGAGAAAATGATTGTTCATGCTTTCAGTTAGAATGTTTTGTCTACGGAAGTGACCATATTAAGAGGGCAGAGCTAGAGGGGAGCGAGGGAAACTCCGCCCTCTTGTCTAAATATGGTCTCTTCTGCTTCTAAACACAACACATCTTCTTGTCCTTCTGTTGTACAAATGTAAAGCCAAAATACCCATGTGACAGGTGATGTCATTTGGAGCCAGGACATTCACAGAAGGGAGGAATCAACGCCCCGCCCCTTCTACTAATCAAACACGCCTTTAACTTCCTGCTCAAAGGTCAAAGGTCACTCAGGTGGGTTCAGTCCACAGGTTTAGGGCTTCGGTTTGAAGCGAACACAGTTATTGAAAGTAGATGTTCGTTAAGTTTCCTCTCACCTCTGATATTCCAGACGCTGCAGGAGCCTCATTGGTCAACACAGCTGTCAATCATGGCACCTTTTTACATCATCAATTAAAACTAAACTTCTCCGATTCATGAACACTGTGACATAAAACAGCATGACTGAAACCATGTTAGAGAAACAGCTATCTGACATGTTTCAACTTCTGTCCCATCTGTTAACATGGAGGAGGCGGAGCTCATGACCTCCACTGTAGCCGGTCAGAAGGGGGAGGGCTGAATGTTTTGGCTTCACTCCTTGGAAGCTGTTGCACCGTCCATCTTAATATATGACAACAATCCAGACCGACAAACAGTAGATCTGTAGTCTGAGAAGATTCCTGATCCAGAACAGTTCACGAGTTTTCTCTCCTGATGTTCAGACTGGTCCAGGTCAGAGGACTCTGTACAGGTGGATCAGTCTGAGAGAGTCTGGGTCTGAGTCTCTGCCCAGGTACACATCATAGTCCACAGGAAGCTCCTCCACCCAGCCGGGCTGCAGCGCCTCCTGCAGGACAAACACAGGAAGAAAGTGATTTCTCTGTGGTTGTGAATCAGATGACGTCTCCAAGACTCTTCATCTATGTGTGTGTGTGTGTGTGTGTGTGTGTGTGTGTGTGTGTGTGTTACCTGCAGAGGGTTCAGACTCTCCTGCAGACTGGGGACTGTGACCAGCAGAGATCCTTTCTTCCTAAAGTTCTCCATGATGAACCTCCACGCCCTGAACACACACACACAAAGTTGGAGCAGCTGATGAGAAGCTGATAATAAACAGTGTGTTGTTGTTGTTGTGTGTGTGTGTGTGTGTGTGAGTCAGTGTGTGTGTCAGTATGTGTGTGTATTGTTGTGTGCCTGACCTGACTTGTTGTGACGGTTCCATGAAGAACTCGAACACGTTGTTCATGACGAGAACGTCTGCGTTCTGCAGCAGAACGTTCTGCAGGCAGACGTCAGAGTGGAGAACCTGCAGGAGACCAGACCTTCAGGAACACTTTAATGGTTCTACTGGTGTTAATGGTTTAATGGTCAGACAGGTTGTGATTAATACAGTTGTAATCAGCGTTAACGAGTCTTGGTTAATCTCATACTATTTTGTCCCTTCAGGCTCACCGTAGAGAGTCGTTCTCAGTGTCTCCCTGTAGTCTCAGTGATGTAAAAGAAGGACACTGCTGCATCTTTGAATGTCTCATCTCACTTCAACAAACTCTCAGACAGCTCAGCTGACGAGTCCAAAGTAATAACCACCTGATGACATCATGCACTGACCTTTGTTACCGTTCCTTTGAGCTGTTTGACCTCAGTCTGGGATACCTAACCACTCCTGTCCTAAGCTTCCATCTACCAAAAGGGCCTTACTTTATTTCAAAATAAAAGCACACAGCAAGTAAAGTACTCTCAGATTAAGACCGGACACACATTCAAAATAAAAGCCCAACTGTCTGTGTGTGTGTGTGTGTGTGTGTGTGTGTGTGTGTGTGTGTGTGTGTGTGTGTGTGTGTGTTACCTGGATTCGGTCTGTCATGTTGTATTTCATCACGATTTCGTTCTGCAGTTTAACAAACTCTTCACTGAGCTCAACACCGATGAGCTGAGAGGCCGTGCTGAACACATAACCCTGAAAACACACACACACACGCACACACGCACGTACACACAGAGACACACACACACACACACACACACACACACACACACACACACACACACACACACACACACACACACACACACAGAGACACACAGAGACACACAGAGACACATGGACACACACACACAGTCAAATGTTGAGTGTAGTGAGTTTCTGATTACACGTTAAAATCCTATCTGTATGTGTTCGCACGTTAGCTTCAGTTTCTGATATGTTTACTGTATGTAGTCCATGTACTGCTTGTAGTCAATTCAATTCAATTCAATTCAAAAAACTTTATTTGTCCCCGGGGGGCAATTCAAAGGCAGTGCAAGTAAACAAAAAAATAAAGTGTCAATTTAAATACAACTTAAAGCTTAAATTTAACTTAAAATACAAAATATAAAAGAGTAGATATAAGTGGACAGTGATCGGACTGACAGATGTAAACAGATGTAGTGTATGCTCTGGTTCCTACTGACCCCGTACAGGACCGCTCCCAGTCTGGAGCCCACGTCCACCAGCATCCGTCCACCGAGGTCGGGCAGAACGTTCTGGAACAGAAACTGGAGCTCTGATATGGAGAACGAGTGAGAGATGAAGTCTGCAGACAGAGAAAGAAAAACAGCAGAAGAAGAAGAGGATGAAACGGCTCTCCTGTCTGAGTGTGTGATGCTGATGATGAAGATGATGAATGTGAGTTCTGACCGAGCGGGGCCGTTCTGTGGGATCCACAGCTGAGGCAGAACGAGCGGCTCATGGTCCCCTCCTCACAGCGAGAGTCCACCTCGTCTTCATCAAACAAGAAGCTGTCCACGTGGACCGTGGGCTGAGGGCGCTGCTGCATCTGTGACATCATCATTATCATCATCAGTTCAAACATCATCATCATCATCATCATCATCAAGGTTCTGCTCCAGGTTTCTGCCTGTTCAACACGAGTCTGGTTCTGGTCCAGATTTCATAACAGTAATATTACCGTGTTGTATGCAGAAGTCTCAGAGGGCAGCATGGCGTCCGCAGGCAGACGCTCTCTCAGCTCCTCAGAGATGTTCTGTAGAATCACCTTCCTGTTGTCTGACAGCAGCTCGTCCAGCTCATCTGCAGGGAGAGAGAGGGAGAGAGAGAGAGAGAGAGAGAGAGAGAGAGAGCGGGAGAGAGAGAGAGAGAGAGACGCCCACAATTCTTAAACAATACTTAATCATAAAATATGAAAGAAACAAGCTGATAAAGTTTCCGTGTTGAATAATATAAATCACGTATGTGGTAATGAACAGTGATCAAAGGTACACAGAGAGACTGATCCGTGTTCTGATCCGGGATGTGAGCAGATGAGTGTACCTGAGTTCCGGATCCAGGTGATCAGTCTTTGTAAGTGTGTGGGCTCCGTTCTGCTCAGCAGCTGTTTCAGTTCAGCCCTCGCTTCATTAAAATCCATCCTCACGCGTGAAACACTCACTCAGGTTCAAACAGCGTGTTGTGTTCAGAGGCTGCTCCGCTCCGCAGCTCAGAAACGTGTCTGCCGTTTAAGGTGGAGCCTGCAGAGTCACGTCATCACGTTTATCAACCTCTGTTAATATGTGATGTAATCATCTGTCTACCTGCTCAGGTGGTGACGCACTCTGACGTAGGCACAGGTGTGACTCTTAAAGGACGCTAACGATTAAAAACAACACTTTTCTGCGTCGATCGTTCAGACCACCTTAAGAAGAGAAACGTCTGACCCCGGAAGAAAACAACTTTATTCTTTTGGATAAAACTTTATTGTGTTTGGAGTTGGCATGACAGTAATTATATAAAAACCTTAAAGATGGTATTCTGATATTTTAATGAATATATTATAACTGAATAATATACAAACAAAGAAATGTGGGAAAAGACATAAATATGTATTTTAGTTTGAAAACAGAGTATTTGATTTTATATCAAGTTTAAAAAATAAACGTTTTATAAATATATGGGTGTATGATATTTAAACTGAGCTTTCTTCTTCTTCTTCTTCTTCTTCTTATTATTATTATTATTAATAATAATAGTAATAATAATAATAATAACGATGTTCTGTTTACAGTTTCACGTAATTGGATACAAACTTTATAAAACAGTTGAATTGTTGAAATGATCTTTTATGTTTTCAGCTTCATTCAGAACAGCTTCCGGTTTGTTTTCAGCTCCTGTGACATTAATCAAACAGACACAAAGACGAGACGGCATGTTTGTCTGAAAGAATATTTGAATCAAACTTTATGAATGTAATGTTTCTGATGATGTCGCTTTGATCAGGCGCTCACTATAAAGGTGGAGGTGGACAGGTGTCCCCTCACCTGTAATAATTGTCTGTGCAGAGACTGAAAGACTGACTGAAAAATAAGAATAAACTCTTCTTACAAAACATGACAATAATATTCTGTTTATGCAGAATAAAGACATAAAAGTTACAAAGTTACTTTAAATGAACAGACGAGAGAAAAGATTGTATTTACATCATATTTATATTTTATATGTAGATGTTGTTACCGACCAACAGGGGGCGGTGTTTTGTTGCACCGCGTAATCCAG